GCGAAAAATGTGAATAAGGACAGATGGTGCAATGTTAAATGTAATGATGGATGATGTAGGCGGATGTATGTGTGTCAGGCGCGCGCCTAAGTCGCGCCTGAATGGCTGATTGAAGTATGGGTCATGATGAATGTGAGGAATGCAATTTAAAAATGATAAAATGGTAAAAATGCGATGGAGGGAAAACTTTGATGTAATGATGGGCGCCTTAGGCGCGTGAATTAAGGCGTGGGGCGCGCGACTGTGGCGCCTGAGTGAGGGAATGATGGTAAGCTTAAATGAAGGCAAAGGCGAAGCATTAGCAACTGATGAAAAACTCAATGAGAGTGAAAAACGCGAAATAAGCGAAAAAGGCGAAATGAGCGAAGGTTGAATATACAGTGCCTCAAAGTGCGTGACATGTGCGACCTCAGGCGCCATAGGGTGCACTGGAGGCGTGTCAGGGTCGCCTGAGACATGTTCTACTTGGTGGGTGGGTGACTTGATACATGGGTGTTTGACTGGCAAGTGGAAGTCGCTGAAAGCGGAAAACGCGATATGCGCGGTATTGTCAGTAACAAGCGGATTTAGTAGAGACAAACTGTGGTTGAAATGAGGCGCATTTTGGAGCTCTGTCACTGCAGAATGCTCCTGAATAGGCGCGCTAAAATGCGATTGGGGTTGAAGGTCATTGCTGATGATGGATGGCGTGATCTCGTCTGGTAGCGCATTTGGCACGTTCGCGATAGCGGTAGGTTCACATATGTCGAGCTGGGGTGAAACCACTTCGTCCAACTGATCTTCTGTGTCGCTCTGATGCTCTGTAGGTTCGCCTACAATAGGCGCCTCGATGTGTGCTGGTGTGAACGCGATTTCAATGATAGGCAATGTTGGAGTAGGCGGAAGGGGAAGGGTTTCGCGTATTTCGCATATTGGCGCCATAGCTGCTGCTACTAGCTGATCTTGGGCGCGTTCTGGTTGCTGAGGCGCACCTACAGGTGGCGCTTCAGGGGACGCTTCAAGGGGCGGAAGTGGAATAGCGGAAATCGCGCTAGTAGGGCGCATGTAGCGCTTAATTGCGCATTCTGGATACATGAACAAGGCGAAGTTAGCAAAATCTTCATAGGTGTTGTTACCTTCATAGCACTGGAACACCTCTCTCTCATTAGGCGCAGAATACTTCAAGGCATACTTGATAATGTCCTTATCTGACAGCCCAAGTGGTTGCGCGAGTCGTTCTACTGACTCCAGGAAGTTGACCAGTTGGGTGTAGTCACCTCCAAAACGTGGAGCAGCGCTGCAGGTGCGCAAAGGCATGCCAAAGGAATCTACTGGCGTGTTCATGGTGTGAAAGCGAAGGGGCGTAAATCGCGAATTTCGCGATTTAGGCAGAAAAGCGGAAAAGGCGGATATGCGGATGCGCGGAATAGGCGGAATAGCAAAGGCGGAATAGGCGGAAACGCGATAATGTGAATAAGGCGAAAATGTGGGAAGCGGATATGCGGATAGTGGAGTAGAGTGGAATGGAGTTGGATATGTGTGGATGTGCTGACTGATCCCCTCGCGGTGGGCTCCAGTTGAAGGATCTTCAACTCAGCTGAGGGTGCAGCTGATATAATTGTTGAAGGGAGGAAAATATGAGTGCGATATGTTCGTCCCTTAGGGGAAGCGGAGAAAGCAAATATCCACTGGTCAACTCTAGGGGGAATGCGCAAAGCGCGTGATAAGGCGAAAGCGCGGGAACAAAGGCGCTATAGGCGCGCGAAGCGCGGGAAAGTCGCGCGTCGAAAAGCGGAACTGGGTGAAAGCGGTATGCGAGCGATAGTGAGATGTTAAGACGTGTACTGAGATGCTGATAAGACAACTGATGCGGATATGGCCACTAGAGCTAACTGCTACTAGGGCTTGCGATGATTTATTCAAAACATAATAAAAACTCGGAGATGGTGACTGTCTATGATGATGGTGGTCCGTGGTAATGTGTGTTCTTTCAAGTAAAAAAAATGTGTAATGAAAAATGTGTACCAAGTGAAAATAAACATGGTATGATGTTGAAATAAATGATAAATGGAGAAATGCATACCTGGGAACTTGGTTGGACATGGGAAAACACAGTGGGAAGTCAGGCGCCCTATAGCGCTTAGGCGCGGGAAAATTCGCCTAAAGCGCGCGCAAGTCGCGCAAGTGTCGCCTATGTCGCGGAAGTGTCGCCTAAGTCGCGCGCGTCACGCGAACGTCGCGTTTATCGCGCTAGTGTCGCGTTGCATGCATAGTATTGTAGACTCGACCTACAGTGCAATATATGCCATTGTGAGGCTACTCAGGATCGAGTCTCTACAACGGTCACATGTCCTTGCCTGCCAGTGTACCTGTGTCAAGGCTTCAAATGGGCCATGTTCATTGTTTTTCTGATGAGTCAAGGACGAGTACTTCGAAGAAGTGATCGGTGAGCATCAAGCACATGCAGACAGCCATTAATGTTCTTCAGTGTTCACTCTGCCTGTATAATCATATATGCCATCTGAGTCAGTGAGTCATGAGGCCGTGACATTGTCACAGTAGTTGTGGGAACCATAGAAGTGTGTTACCCTGACTCTAGCGAGCTTTGCAGAATGACCTTTCCAACATTCAGAGGTGTCTTGCTTTTCTAGGTGACTGTCTCCTCAGAGGTACACTTGCCCTTCTATTTGTTTACACCCAATGTGCTGCATGCTAGATTCTTTGCCTGAAGTCCAAGTCATGTGTTGAAATTCAACTCAACCAACACGAGTAGTTTGGGCAGTATCCTGATGTTCAGAATCAAAGGTGAATAATCTGGGAGTGTACATTTCTTCATGGACCATTTAGAATTTTGGTTATCGAGCTGATCTCTGCCTTTTCAGTCCTACTAGTGTAACTGACAACAGTGACAGCCCAGGCTGGTTTCATATCCCTTCTTAAACCAAACGATGCATGGCAACTTCATATTTAAAACACTTCCTCCTGAACGTCAGCTGGTTATGGGAGGGAACTGGAGCAAGTTCACAGGAAGTGCATCTTCGGAATGGTGATTACAGCCACAATACAAGTAAGCATTGCTGTTGATCTTAATGGGAAGGCTGTCAATGTGTACTGAAGTATTATTGAGACTGGGGGCCAGTTTTGATGACCATTGGCCCTCAGAAGCCTATCACCCTTCACATGTACAACGTCTACCTCACAGATGTTCAAGTTGACGTCAGAGGTGATGTCTCGGAGGCTCTGAGTGTCACCAAGGGTCACTGTTGACTTGACGCTGTCTGAGAAGACTTCTGTTGGGTTGGCACCTGTGGTGCTGAAAAGTGCACTGAATTCTGTGATCCTCTCAGAGAGCATCAGTTCTAGGAGTGCCCGCGTTCAAGTTGAGTTTCGCATCCTGCCCTGAGTGCTTGAATTATCATATAGTCGAGGTAACTATTTCTGACTCGGTGAGTCCTTCCTCGTATAGCACATTATGTGGCCTAACGCATGGTTTTACAGGAAGGAAATAGTCTGGATATGAAAACTCAGAGGTGATCATTCTGTCGTGTTCAAGTTGGAGCCTCTGGCGAGTCAGCTTGTTGACCAGGAGGTGCTCACTTTCTTGTTCGAAGTCAACGACATCAGGATTTTTTGTAGTGGTAGTAAGCAATGCCTCTTTCTTGAGGGAATGCCATATAAGTGAAACTATGTCTATCATGATAGGTTCTGACTGGATTCCTGCCGACTCTTTTCTTAAGGCTAGTATGACATTGGATGATGACATGATGCGGCTGCTGCCACCCTTATCAAAGCCTGAGCCAAATGTGTACAAAAATGTTTCATACCCTTGCCTTATGTCCGAGTCCTGCTGGAGTTCACAGTGGCATGACCCATATGGTCTTCAAGTTGTGTTCAGAAGGCAGTGGCCACCTGGTAGATTTGACAATGGAGTTGATAGGAACTGGCAGCCACCACACAGATTGGAAGTAAGCATGCTGTAATCTTTAAGATGTTTGACATTCATCGTTCCTTAAATTAACCTAAAGAGGCTTGAGAAAATGACCCAGAAACGCTCATATCAGATCAGGGTGTGCAAAACTGGTTGTGACCAGATCACCAATTAAGGCTCAAGACAGGCTACCAAGTAAGGCAATCCTCTGCTGCTTAATTCAGGAACAACTCATTCAAGTCCTTAGGTCATTAGTGCACTTGGCAAACATATACAGTGGCTCAAAAACTGTCCGCATGTTTTGACATTTTTCACTATCTATGATATTGTGTGAGAATGAACAAATTCCTCAAGGACATACTTATACCACATTGTAGTATGGCTTCAGGGCTTTTATTTGAGCCCTACACCGTGGGAATCGGCGGAGATATGGTGGAGATATAAGGCTTATAAAATGATGACTCATGTGGACAGTTTTTTGAGTGTATATTAAAACTATATAAATCATTATTTATGACACCATAAAAATCATGCCACTATTATATAAATTATAAAGTGGTGTCATTATGTTATTTTATGACTATATCTAACTATATAAACCAGAATATCTCATGTATCATAGTCATAATCACCATGAAAGCCATCTCCTCTGCTCAAAGAGATAATATCCTCTCTCTGTCTTATGCTAACCCCCCATCAACACTGCCGCCACCGACTGTTCCTGTGGAGCCGTCACCTTGTGTTCAAACGTCTCCTCATGCTAGAGTGAAGCGAAGAATTGCCACCCTCTTGGAGGAGGTCAAAACTTTGAAGCAAGATAAAGCAACAAAACAAAGGCATGGAGAACATTTCTTGGCCTCACATAGTGATTTTGATCTATCATTGTCATCTAGGAAGACAACCTACTATGTTTCGCAGGGATGAGCAATTTGTCACATTGTCGCCCTCTACACTCCCATAGAGGATTTGGTTGCCAAAAATGTCCGGTGTTGTGAAGACAGGGATGGTGACTCTACTCCGGAGTAAGTATTCATGTTCATGTTGTTGAAGTTATGCTGGTTTATGCAAAGGAACAGACAAAACCAGCTTCAGCATGGCTACATTGAACTCACTAAGATATTACCGTGGATTCATGACAAACTGGCAAGCCTCGACTCGGAAGGAGTTGGAGGACGTGCTCCAAAAGGTTTTTCTCAATGTCACTTTATCATACTTCACGCTAATTTTTTATTTAGCTCAAGTGGGGCGCGGACTCAGCTCACGGTGACAATATGGGAACCCTAAAAGAACTTGTAGCCTCATGGGTGAACATTGAGTGTAATCCAACTCCGCTCATCAGGACTGATGACAAGCACCATCAAGGTTTCATAAACGATGCATCCGGTAAACTTCTCTGCCCATCGGAATGGTGCTGGGAAGACCCAGTGTAAGTGTTTGTCTTTGTCACCTACATGTTGCTAATATCATGTCTAGTGTCAGGGCTGGTATTCGTGACTGTACAACGACTTTCATCGTGTCTGAGAATTTGTGGCCGTCTTTCTTGTATGAAACCTATAAAGCTGACACCACAAATTTGGAGTGTGGTCTCTTTAAGTCGAAACTGTTGGTGATGGTGAGTGGCCTGTAGTTTTACAACTGATTCATACAGCTGATTCACAGCCCATCACATTACAGGGGTTCAAGGCAATATTTACTTCTCCCTCCTCCGCCAACGAAGTGGATGTGGATGGTGATGGTGCTGATGTCATTGAGAACAACCGACGTGCACAGAGATGCTCAGATCAAGCCAAAGTCAAGACATGCATTGCCTCTATTATAGGTATGAGGAAGGTGACTCCTTGCACAATTGTGTATGCAGCTTGCCAGGTAAGTCATCACAATACTAAGTTGCCTCTCACTGTGAAGCTGGAATTCAATTGTGCAGATCTGATTCACACTTTCTCACATCACCTCATGGCGCACCATTGATGGAGACTTCAACTATCAGGTATTCTGGGACAACATTGTAGATTTCTTCAAGGAAGCCCCAGGTCCAGCGGCGCAGACCAGAGTAAAAGCTCTCCTTAAATGGTGGACTAGGTAAGCTACTGACCGTCACCGATTCACCCGGATCACTAACTTTCTGTGCAGAAAGGTGTTTGGAAGAAACCATCAGGATGACTTGATGCTTAACGTTATTTCTCAAATGTCTGTCAGCACTCTGGCCGCCCAGAGAGAGGAAATGGAGGACACTGCATTTGACTAGTTGTTTGACATTTTACTTCATGTACCACTCCTACATTACCCTGTCTTTGATGCACTACTATCGCTACTACTACTAATGCAATGTTTTAATCTGCATATGGACTGTCTGAATTTGATGTTCCTATTGTCCGAAATGTGTAGTGCTTGATCTTTCAACACATTGCCCTTGTATGCTGCAAGGTCCAACACTATACATGATCAGCAATTTTAGGAACTCTGTTTGTTTTTTGGACAACCGGCCATACTAAAAGCAATGTCTGGTGCTGCTTATCAGTTCCCAGAAGAATCATTTGATAATTTTATATATGCATGTTCAGAAATGCACGAGACGAAGAGTAGGATGGTCCTGTGGCAATGGAGTAGAAGTGGTGTTCATACTCAGAATACAGAATGACTTGTGATGAGGCAGATACCATGAGGTCAGACAATAGCCCACCGAAGTCTGAAGAACCCTACAGCTTGTCGAAATAGTTAATTTAGGATGCCAATGACCCATCCAATCAAGCATTATTGATAGCTCACCACTACATATTCTAAAGCTCAGTGGCGAGGTTGATAAACACTGATTTTCCTTGTTCTCACAAATCTGGGAGGGTTGTCTTCCCCGGCTGATACAAATTTATTGTCTCTGTCTGTGATAATTGCCTGGTCTGTATCGCAGCAACAAAGCCACAGCAGTGGAAATTTGTTCTCAGAAATCCGGGAGGGTTATCTTCCCCAGCTGATACAAACTTATTCGTCTCTCTCCATGATAATGACCTCGTCTACATTGTGACAACGGAGTCAGAGTGCAGAAATTTCAGGCTGAGGTGCCATTAGAATTTAAATTGTGAAGATGTCAATGATTGCGTGAGATTACAATTTAGCACTACTCATTATGTATGCTTACAGTGTTACACCAGAGTTTGAATCATTTATAAATGTTGTCACTACCGTGGACTCTTTGACCTTGATCAAAATTGTACGCTTTTGATCCTACCTGAAGAAATGATCTGATGTGAGCCCATTCAGTCACATTGCATGTATTATACATGCAGCAAATGTTGAAAATATGCCATTCCACACAGGCCAGCAGACGTTGGCCAACTGAATATCTATGTCCATGTTTAACATTCGGCCGGTGGGCTCATGGAGTGATGGTTTTAACAGCTGGGCCCATGTATTGGGATGCTCAACATTAACATGTCAGCTGAGGGCTAGTAAAATCGGTGGTGTGATATTGTCAGCTGGGCCCACACACTATAGCTACTGTGTGTACCGATTGGCCGATGGCAAGTGTCTCATTCAGCCGATGATGGGGGTGAAGCATATATGTTCCTGTGTGGATTGATCTGGCAATTGTGGGTATGATGCCATCATATGGGCCGAGAGACATGAATACCTGTTCATGTTCTTGGCCGATGTGATTGCATCAGATATGCAGTTTTGTCGGCCCATACATTCGCATCAGTTTCATCAGCCGATCTGATAGCATCAGGTATTCAGTATTCTCAGCCCATGTGATGACATCAGGCAGTTACATCGGCCGACCTGATGGAATCAGGCATTCATTTATGTCGGCCCATAAGATAACATCAAGTATTCAGTTTCGTTGGCCCATACATTTTGATCAGTGCCATCGGCTGACCTGATGGCATCAGGAATTCATTTCCATTGGCCCATACGATAACATCAGGCATTCAGTTTCGTCAGCCCATATGTTTTCATCAGTACCATCGGCTGACATGATGGTATCAGGAATTCATTTCTGTTGGCCCATACAATAATATCAGGCATTTAGTATATTTGGCTGACATGATGGCATCAGGTATTTGTTTTGTCAGCCCATATGATAATATCAGGCATTCAGTATATTTGGCTGACATGATGGTATCAGGTCTTTTGGCCAACATGAGGGCATCATGTATGTATTTCCTTGTAAATAGCTGACACCATCATGTTGGCCGATGGTACTGATGCACACTTATGGACTGACAAAACTGAATACATGATGTTGTCATATGGGCTGACAGAAAGGTATACCTAATGGCATCAGGTCGGCCGATGAAACTGCATACCTGATGTTATCATATGGGCCAAGAATACTGAATACATGATGCTATAAGGGTGGACCAGTGTGACAATCATACCAGCACTAGGCACATATGAGTGTCATAGGCATATTTTGCCTTACCTAGAGGAAAAGAGTAAAGTGCTAGTCACCAGAGCTATTCAACTCCCAAGCTATCCGCTTTGGAACTGCTTTTCTCCCATAGCGCGCTACCCAGTCCGACTTCTAGGTATTCTGTCCTCCCATGTCCTGCCTATGTCCACCTACCTCCACTGGTGCATTATTATTCCTTAAATGTCGCTACTGATCAGTTGCAGGTCTTATTACACATATCCTCGTGTTCCGCTGCGCTGCATGTTTTATTACCTGTCACTACATTGTGCCCTCACCAGTGTCGCTACTATTCTCGCCTATGCACTCCCGAACTCTTATGCAGTATGATAAAATGACCCATCGCACATACAGTACTTTACTTCCCTTCCCCGGACCTTTGCTGGTGTCGGAGTCACTTTAGTCGCTATATCTCAGTCTTGGTGCAATCAATTTTACTCTTGCCAATCTCTTTGATCGCGTGTCGCTTGACTTGCTTTAAGTGCATGTTGCTAAAGTTCCCTCTTAAATTTGACTTTCACAATGTCGGGATTGCTATTGGTAGTCGCGCTACAATCTAGTCGCTACCAGGCATTTCACTTGTACTGTCTTATCTTACTTCTTGCTCTCGCTCTCTTTGATTTCTTCTCACTGTCGCTAGTCGGACGTTGCATCGCACTATCGCATAAAACAACTTGCATAGCGCATCTCACTTATACGCACATTTCTCTATCGGAACTCACTTGTCACTGATCACTATAGCGCTACTCATTGGTTATTGGTCTTAGGTCACTATAGGTTTTTAGCCCTTCACGCTATCGCTTCCCTTGCTTATTAGTAGGGAGTTGCTTCAATAGCAGTCCTCTTGGGTCGAATACTACACTTGCGCCTATTTGGATAAGTTGCACTAGTTTTCTAACAGCCTGATCGCTATTTCTCTTTCACACCGCATAGAGGAGATGTAGGAGTCAAAGTCGTGCTCCATCGCATCCACCCTAGCAAGGGTGTTGTGGTCGGCCATTTCCATGGCAGCGACTCTAGCTGCCAGAGAGACCACACAATCATGGATAGTTGGTTTGGCCAATGAGGTGGTGGGTGTGGCCGCAGGAGCAGGTGGTGGTGGTGGTGGTGGTGGTAGGATGGGGGTTTCATTGGTGACCTCCTGCCAATGCTCAGCAGGAAAGTCTTTCACCGATGCCATGGCTGCCGGCCAATCAATGGTCTCACTTGGCATCACCGCAGTGACATCAGTCTGCTGCTCAGTATTAGCCACATGAGACATGGCAATGTCTTCATCAGCCTCAACAGCGACATCTAAAATCGAGTTAAATATCGTTGACCTTTACAAAAAAAAACAGGTGACTCACCCTTATCATCCATGGTGTCCTCAGATTCTACCACAGGTGTTGGTTGACGTGCACAGGAGGCCACCCTTGTCGCCCTGGGCTGCAGTTTGGATGTAGAGGCGAGTGGGGCCTTTGACTGAGGACATTTCCGATTCGTCTATGGGCGTGTATCGGATCGCAGCCTTGATGTGCTGCTCAGCGGTAAGTCCTGCATAGTCAGCAAGTAGTTCCACATCCTCAAAGAATGGTATGAGGCGCGTTGGTGTGCCATTGAACTTTGGCGCAGCATTGGTTCCTCTAAGAGGCATTTTGAATGGTGCGGAAGACATGATGGTGGGTTGGACAGGTTGAGTGGGTTGAGCAGGTTGTACGACTGGAGGAAGGGCGGTAGTAAATGATGCTGTCGAGGAAGATGTGGTATGGATTGCGGGGTCAGGTACGGATGGAGGGAGAGTGCTTAGTCGCTTTTGCGGAGACAGGATAGAACTAGGTATGAAAGAGGCGGGTACGAAAAGGTTCTGCCTTTCAGGTGACTCGTCACAAGACAGAGTAGAAGGGGTAAGTGATGATGCAGTGGAGGGAGTGTCTACAGTAACGAACGGAACTTGAGGGAGCGGAAGGTAATGTGATGTTAATTGTCCAAGGGGTTCTTCCTCTTCTTCGGGATCTGGTGAGTTGGGAGTAAGATGGTGGATAACAGTAGCTTCTGAAGATGAGCGAGATCGTGAGTCAAATGCAGCGCGGTCGACTTCTTTGTTGGTGGTTTCTATTACTGAGTAGAAAAAATCTTCTTGTGAAATGTCGCTAAGGTTGTGAGGTTTTCAGGTCTCAGTAGGTCTAGGTGGTATGCCTTCCAGCTTCAAATGGACCCCTCACGGTGGGCTCCAGTTGTGAAAAACACAACCTGACTAGGCACTTGTAAAAGTACTCAATCAGTATATGTCTAATGCACTGCCTATGCTGCTATACTTGCAACAAATATGCAAGAACGTTCGACCCGAGGGGATAGCTACTAAGGACAACTCAAGATAAAAAGACCCGAAAGAGCGCTAAAGTGCGGGAATGGCGCATTGCAAGATAGAGTGCTAATGTGTGGGAAAGAGCGGAAGTTAAGAAAGCGGACACTGAGTCAAAGGAGGGTAATGGATAGCGAGTGAGATCAGAGGTATTGATTGCAAGGGTAAGGAAAGTCAAATAGGGGCCATAGAGCGCAACTAAAGGGTGACTACTTCTAAGTAAAACCTAAGGGGAAGGAATACAGTCAAAGGGAGGTAATGTCAAGGTAATCACCATAGGCTTCTTATACTAGTAAACTATACCATCTCGGACTCGGAAGGGATAGGATATACATACATGTAATAAGACTGTAGCACTTTTTACAAACTCGAGGCAAGGCAAATTACATACCAATGAGGTAGGATGGACAATGGATGGATTCCAATGTTTCGGGTGGATCCTAGAGCGTGAGAACAGCGCGCTGGATAAGCGCTAGATAGAGCGGACATGCACTAATGCTCCTATATGTAGACACATTGCTGGTAGTTCTGATAGTGCTATAAGCACGGGAATAGCGTCGGATAAGTCGTGGGAGCATGAATAGTGCTGTGGGAATGTGCGTGCATAGTGCAGGAAAGTGCAGAATAGGCATCACACAAGGGTATTGGCTGAGACAAGTGAAGACTGCTGATAGGGGAGTAGTGAATAATATGAGGGATAACTTTGGTCCACCTATTGAAGGTTTATGCAGGTATACATGCCTAGCGCCAGTATGATTGTCACAGTGGGCCGAGTTTTCCGACATCCAACTCAGCTTCAATGCCACGGTGGATGTGGTAAACAGTCTTGCCAACATGGTGGAGAAATTCAGGCAGGAACGCTTGGTCCTGATCCATCTTTCCCACCACCAGCGATGGGCCCAACCAGTGGTTCCACAGCCACAGCAATGGGCATCAAATACTTGACCGGTGTGTTCGGCCCTTCGGTTGCTCCCAATGCTAATTCTGTCGCTGTCGGTCAACCCTCAGCATCTCGCCCATTCAGTCGTCCTGATGTGCAAGGCAGCACATTTTCCAGTGGGCAACCATCATCTGAGTCAGTGCAGGCTAGTCCTTCATCTGCTCCTGCCATCCAATGTGATTTTAGTGTTTCATGCCCTGCTTCTACTACTTCCTCCCTCCCTTGATTGCAAATATACCCTTATGTAGCACATCATCAGTTAGTTAGATACTGTTGTCTACATGAATTGAATGACATTGATTTGGCCTGGATTGTATGTGATTGATTGTGTGATTCCAGTAGCAATTGCGCTTTGGTAATATATTGTATTTGACCAACCATATATTTGACCAACCATGTCTCTTACATTGCATATGACCGAGCTATTGACCGACTATCCTGTCTATCATCACAGAGGTATATGTTGTAAGCTAGTCCATGGTGCATCATATTTGACCTGACATATTTTGACTGACTGACTGACCGACCACCTCATCTATCATGAGGCCAGTATATTCTGTAAGCCATTCCATTACCACCGACCATGTCTCTCATACATCACATATGACCGAGCTATTGACCAACTGCCTCATACTTGACCGACATAGTCCTGACAAGTATATTTTGCACAAGTGACTCAGGGGACAGACCCAATGTTCACATATTTGACTGACCAATTGACCGACTTCCCGAGTCTATCATGGGCAAGTATATTTGTAAGACCAATCCATTGATAGAGCAGTGTCCATGATACATCTATATGCTTTGGGTGTCGGCCCATTTGTATATATCGGTACCTACTGCCCACTTGGCCGACCTGTTCATATCAAGCACATATTTCATACACTACCTACCACACAATACCTACCAAAGGCTATAGGAAAGTGTACACTTATCTACTATACCACACTATGGGCTCACTGTTGGTATCACATACACACTTGACATAGGGGCTTCGGCCCATCTGTATAATATGTCAGTACCACCGCCCACTCAGTCAACCTGTTTATATCGGGCACATATTTCATACACTACCTACCACACAATACCTACCAAAGGCAATAGGAAAGTGTACACTTATCTACTATACCACATACTATGGGCCCACTGTTGGTATCACATACATACTTGGCATGGGGCCACCTGTATGTATCACAACAATACATTGATGGGCCCACATTGGCTGGCATGTGTAGAACATGGATATTTCAAGCATTAGTTGTATGTATTTATCAAGGGTAAAGTGACTGCAGTATGTGCTGATGTAGGGTTGTGTTCAATGATAATTTGATATGCATGACTCTGACATTATTGTTTGTATGCAACTCAGCATCCATTGAGTAGTAACATCTACTCTAACACACCTTGGAACATTGTCTATCCTCCAAGGAATGTACTGTTCCAAGTGACAGGCAACAAACAATCAGTCAAGACAGGCAGTCTGTCCATTGTGAAGTAATCTCTACACCTGCATACATGAGGAGTAAGATTTGCTTTAACTTATATTTGAACATTGTCAGTGCTCTATGAAATATACTTTGTTGAGTCATGGTCGACTAATGAACATGCAACGTGTACAACTCTGCTGTTATGACCTCGTTTCAACACAGACTCACACATTTTACCCTCAAGCAAGTTACATGCATGTCATAGTCATCTCGAGTTAGCAAAAATATATGGGGTGAAGATGAAATGATATCCCATCCGCACCACCAGGGACATCACTAAAGGCTCTTTTACTTGGCACATTGCAACCTCCTTCCTTGACCCTCTCAATCTTGATCTGTATTTAATTTAATGAACAGGTGCCTGTTCATTTTTTCTTAAATCCATCTAAATGAAAAAGGGCACAAATCAAATAATTCTACTAGGCTGGTGTGCTTGCAAATTTGTCTTTCCTCGACAATGCCAAATATTCCCATGTCAAAGCAGTCAGCAGATATACAAAGAAGCACTGATCACCTGCAAATTGACAGTCCAGCTGAAGCTGACAAAGCCGGAAAAAGCTGGCACCACCACCATGCCACACACCACCTAAACTGAGTAAGAAGAGAAGGATGCGACCCCAGCCAGCATCGTCATCTGCCATCACCCTTCTTCCAAGACTGGAATAGATCACGTGGAGGGACGGAGGATGAGTGATCAATGTCGTAGATGGAAAAAATGGGACATTTTTGAGCTGTGGAGGAGCTCCAGCTGCTGCTGGGTCAGCCAAGGTGAGCCAAATTCACGCACCAGGGAACATTCCGAACGGACTGCAAATCTCCCACACTAGGACCGTCAATTTACCATCTGGATGCAGCTGATGCTTTGGTGGGGATGTGTCTTTTCCTCCGCGAAAAATTGACCTTGCAGCTGATGGACTGCAAATTGACAGTCCTCAGATTTGCAGTCCAGGCAAGGTGGCTGCTGGGTGCCGCCCAATTTGGCATACAGGTGCATGTCAGTATTTACTCCTTTCCTTGTCCTCCTCTCCTCACCATCATCTCCAAGTGTAGCGTCCACGACCATACTCATCCTCGTCCTCCTCTCCTCACCATTAGCGTCCACGACCATACTGCCCATCCACCTTGATTCAATAAGGCACCTTGCCATGGGCGTCAATGACCTATGGGATGTACATATTCATGCCTTTTCCAGTTGGTAGTTATGCCTCACCTCCATTTTTGCAGATGCTTGAGCCTGCCGTGACGACGGTGCCGATTGTGTCACTTGCCCTCTCAGAATGCTACATAGGACCTGCACCTCACTCTCCCTTCATTGTGGGCGTCAACGCAAGGTTAGTTTTGTATGTTGATTGTGCCTGTGTTTGATGACTCACTGCTCTGCAGCAGATGGTTCAAACAATGTCAGCAAGGAAAATGGCACCGTGCGCATGCACAGACTGGGATGAACCCTACCCTTCAAACCTTTCTCTTTCGTCTTTCTTGACTCGTGCAGTACCCAGTAAAGCTCATTTTCTGTTATGACAGCAATCAGCGGCCCAAGATCAAAAGAGGCCATCATGTGTCTACAAAGGACCACTGGATGGTGGATCCTACTCAATGGATCCTCAACATGTTCAACACGCAATGGATCACGGTATGTTATTTTTCTTTTAGCCTTTGTTTGCTGTCATTATTTCTCACCACCTAGGCTGCTGGAGAAGCTGAAGTGCAACTGGGGTTGATGAACCATGCGGGAGTCATTGATGCTGTCATGACTGACAACAGTGATGTGTTCGTGTTTGGTGCTCACATGGTCCTTCAAAAGTAAGGTCACCATATCTTTCCTGCTGGCACTTTCAAACTGTTCTTTTCTAGCTCAATGTTTTCTACAGATGCAACCATCAAGCTGTACACCACCAGTTCCGTCCAGGAACTGGTGGAGCCTCGCCTTACTGGTGATGTGTTTAAAACCATTGCAATTTGCTGCGGGGACGATTACGATAAGGTAACGAGCAATAATGTATCATTTGTCTTACTGACATCTCTGTTTAGAAGGGCCTTCCAGGGTGTGATTGTGAGACGGCTCTTGGCCTCATTCGTTGCATGGACACCACAACACTATGTGATGCTGTGTGTGGTGACAACTCACCTGATCAGTCTCTGCAACACTGGCAGGATGCTGCTTGGTACCACCTCATGAGTGATCCCACTGGTCAAATGGGCTGAGCTCACCCTGCCCTTGCTTGCTCCCTCCCAGATTTGTTTCCTGATCCCAATGTCATAGATTTGTATGTGAAACCTGCTGTCACTCCACTCATGGAACTGCCTGTTCTACGTTCTCTGGTGCCACCTGACCTTGCTCCACTGGCCCTGCTTATCCACAACCTCCTTGGTTTGGAAGCAACAAAACTCGTTAGTGCATTTTATTCTGCTGTCTGGCCTGTGGTTGTGTTGCATGAGGTCCTTGAGGACCCCATCAAAAACTCCCCTGTGAGTGACAAGGTCAGTTGAAATGTTGTGTTTGCTTGTAGATATACTGATGGGTGCTGTACACAGTCTGCCCTTGCCTCAGGCTGCACGAGGGTAGTGTCTCACTGCCATGCAAGGCAGCCAAAAAAGATCCTCGCAGGTGTTGCAGGGCGTCACAATGATGTGCCCATCAGTGATCTTGTACGAGCAATGCTCCAGCTGCTTCCAGCTGGAAGTTCCAATGGTCCGGATGATAGGACTCCATTGAACAAGTATATTCGAGTATGGATGGCTGACCAAATCTACGACTGTTGGGTACAAACAATGTTCCCTTCATCTCCTTCTTCCTCCACTTCACGTCCAAATAATTTGATTGACCTCACAGATTACATGATGCCCTGTCCTCCGTCGTCTGCAACTATCACTACCACTGCCATCCCTGTTGCTACCTCGTCCTCTCTGGGTGTCACAGACCTCACAGGAGACGAAGAAGAGGGTGATGTTGTTGATCTTACAGGCGAAGGTGGAGACGCCGAAATAATTAATCTTACTCTCTGATTGTCCGTGTATTTGTACTAGGCTACTCTCAAGCGCAATGACAAGTTCTACCACAAGCATGGCAAGGGTCCTTCCTTGGCCAGTTAGGATTCATATAGTGCTCTTGCTGCTCCCGAGGATTGTTGTTCCACGACAACAGGTACTTAAAAATGGTACCTGGATTGTCGAAGTTTTCAGCCCATCCTCCCCAGTCACAAATGTCCCGAAAGTCCCATCTGCACACTTTGTATAAAAACTGACACCCTCCCCATTGAAACAAATGAGTACCATAGGGACGTGGATCTACTCTGATGTCCAGGAGGTTGTTACGAAAACACTCGAGAAAAGAATCGGAGGTCTAGACTTGGCTAAGAAGAAGGTAGTGCAAAAAGCAAAGCAAACACACCATGCCGTCTGTGGGGTTCACACTGATACTGTCTGTGCCAATTTTCTTTCGGAAAACAAAACCATCCAGGTTCTCACACCTCTCTCTTGCCAACACCCACCAAACTGCAAACATACGCACAAGGCACATCCATGGACATTCCCCATCAGGATATACATAGAACGGTGCTATCCCTGTGCAGTCATGAGCTATACTACTGTGCTCTCTGAGTAAAGCACGCACCTCCATACTGATGTGTTTTTATAAACGGCAGCTTGAGTTTCACACAGAAGTCAGCAGGTCAAAGCTTTGTTGTGTCCTGCAGGAATTGTTCTGCAGATGCGTCTTGCCAGTTACCTTTGATTACCTTGTCCCTGACTTGAAAAGTGACATCTGCCCAAGTGATTCGAAGGGCCTCGTCATAACGCAAGAGGCAGATCATTGGTACAAGGTAAAGTAACAGAAGCATTGTGCAGATCACAAATCCTGCCCACTCAGCTGGATTTTCAGCCTTCCGTTTGCAGGATGTCAGTCCATATTCCTTTTGTGGTGTTGCCCATGCGAAATCCCAAAGTTACTTCGTGGTCGCCTTGTCCATAGCTCGGGCACTCGTGACAGCTTCACCAGACCGAACCTGGAGGACAATGAGTGGGATGTTGGCAGTTTTGATATGTGAGTGCACTTACCTTTCTCCGACGATGACTGACCATGTATTGGGAGATGGTTACAGAAAGTGATGGGTTCCCAATGTGCTTCCCAGCAACCATTGTGTGCCCGGACCATGGCTGTGTGCCCAGCTTATGATCACGACCATATTTGTGACTGACAGCGGCCCTCATCTTCTGTGCCATGCCATATGTCGCACATGGAACACTAGGAGCCTTTGCTTGGCCAGTCCAGATATCATTTTTGTCACACCTGTAGATTAGTTCAGTCATATTGCAGTGTACCATGTCGGGTCAGAATTGAGGAATATTGGACTTACTTATCCATGATCCAGAGTGCAACCCAAGTTGGAAATTTGGCTGGGAGGTTGAGGAAGAGGCTATCAACATCACTGGTAGATTGAACCTTGTCTATTGCTGCGCAAAAATCTTTAAATTGATTCCATACCTGCATGGCATGTTGTTAAGACCGTAGCTCAAGGGTTAATGGATCCGAAGGGCTTGGCCTCAGCTCATGCGCTGTGCCCCTTACCTGAGTACGTGCCCTTGATTTCAGAATGAAGTCCAGATGGAACCAACGAAGTCTGAAGGACTTCCGGAGGCTGGCTACTCTGGTGGAGTGCTAGAGGACTTCTGGATGAGCACGGGAAACTTCCGGAGGAGTTTCATCCACCGCATTAGATCTGAAGATAAGACTTCCCAAGGTAAGCTTCTTAGATGGAAACACATAGAGGAGGGACTGCAATGGACAGAGTCCAAAACAGGATAGGATAGGAGGAGTGGTCCAAAGGACAGGACATCCGGAGGTCCAAAGGGTACGTCATCTGAAGGTTACAGTGTCCGAAGGTTACGATGTCCGAAGATTAAGACGTCCAAAGGTCAGGAGGACCAGTGTAGGGACTCAAGTCTCTGCAGGCGCATATAGCCCATATCGCGACTCATGGCAACTGGCCTTTACTGCACAAACTTGCACCATCATCCATATGCGACTTCCATCATGTCTCTAGTCATTCTGCATACAACATGCAGCTTCCCCGCAAAACGCGCCATAAGTGCGTTTCTTTCCTGCACAACACGCAACATTCCCACACGCACGCGCTTAGTGCATTTCTCGCGCTTAAGCGCCCTGCATTGCCTATCATCCAGGAATGTCCGTCTATGTTCATCCACCTCATTGATATGTCATATCCCTTGCCTCGTGGTTTGTAACAAGCATTGCAGCGCTATTACATGTCATTACGTATTCATAGCGCTTATTCCTCCTATCCCTTCCACATCCGATGTGATTTCCATAGTATAAAGTTTGCTGACTTACTACTCAATCATCATTACTCTCCTTTGCTGTACTTCCCTCGCTATTGGGTTTTACTCTAAAGTAGTAGTCACCACTTGGGCGCACTTTGTGTTTCCAATGGTTATCGTTATCCGCTTATACTAGACTATTATCCGCACTCGTTATAACACTCGCTCTGCATTTGCACTCACTTTGCACACCTGTTTCCTCATCTGGTATTCTCTCGCACAACGCACACCTTAGCACGCACTCTCTCGCACTTCGCGCTTCATAACGCGCACTTTCCCATGCTCGCGCTTACATCGCGCTTTCGCATTTACTTCACTTTTCTTCTTGCGCTTTCGCGCATCTGTTGCAATACAAGGGTCATTCATTCCTCTGGTTCTGAGTTCAGTAGCAGTCCCCTTTAGGGTTGAACATTCTTGCATTCTGCGAGTATAGCAGCTAGGCAGAGCTTAGACTCACTTATACTGGTTGAGCACTTTTATTTCTTTGTGCCTAGCCAGGTTGTGATCCACACACCAGAGGAGCGAACAGGATTAGGACAAGAGATGAGAGGCTACTACGGACAAGGTCCAGAGTAGAAACAAACAGAGGTGGACTACTCTTAAGTAGAGACGGAGTTGACAGGAAGTAGACAGAAGTCTCGGAAAGACAGGAAGTGCCAGAAAGGCAAAACTCACTGCAGGCATTTTCCCATTTTTCTCCAAAAAACATCCAAAAAACATTGATTGAAAAGATAGAATTTTCCTCCCATGTTGCCTGTCAAAACATTGAAAAGAATTAATTCATGTGTTAAAGATTTTCTGTGCATGGGACATGATGCAAAAATTTGACATGTTCCTTCAAGGATAATACTGAATTTTCTATCTATTGTCTTTTAAGTAGCAGCTTACAATAATGTTAAATTTTTGTCAAAATATACTATGTTTTTCAAATGTTTTGTGTATATTTGAAAACACAGACAAGAAATTTAACCTCATTGTAAGGTGCTGTTTAAAAGAAAATAGATGGAAAATCCAGTATTATCCTTGAAGGAACATGTCCAATTTTTGCATCATGGCCCATGCACAAAAAATCTTTAACACATGAATTAATTTTTTCCAATGTTTTGATAGGCAACATGAGAGGAAATTCCTGTCTTCTCAATCAATGTTTTTTTGGATATTTGTTGGAGAAAAATAGGAATATGCCTGCAGTGACTGCGGCTTAGGGAGTCAATCCCTAAGCATGGATGTAGACAGAAGGATAAATCTGGAGGACCGGAAAGTCGGCCTAGGGAATCCTTCCCTAGGCCTAAGGAAAGGCAATACTAAGATGGACTGAAGTCCAAGAGCAGATGCGAGAGAGAGCAAGTCTATGTTGATATTTGAACTAAGGAAACTTTACAGGAGTTTTACAGAGGTTTATATACTGGAAGGGATCTGAGAGGATCATTGAGCTGAACACAAATGCTATGTACGAGCATGTGGAAACATATTGGTAAATATGAATGGAACATAAGTAAATGAACTCAGAGATGAACAGAGTACAAGGATCAATAAGCAAGACAGAAACACAGATAACCGAAGTCTGGAGTCAAGGGGATCACCATAAGGAGATAGATGCTGATTTAAGGTTTGAGCTTCGGATATGAGTATAGGTTGGATCCGGAGGTCTAGAGATATCGGATGAAGCGTCTGGATATCGGATGAGTGGATCCGGAGATATAGGTGAAGATGGAACTAGGATATGAATTGTGGATATAGACCGATAGTCTAGGGAAGGTAGAGTCTGAGATGGAATGAGCTTGGATCTGATAGGATCAAGGGTAAATGAAGCAGGCTTAGCTGCGGAGGTCCGGAGGTATAGATATATGGATGTACGAAGGTGTACGGATCCGAACCAATAGTGGACTGGAGGATTAAAGGCATGGATAAGGGTATGGAGGTCCGGATGTGCATCCGGAAGGTGTGGGAACATCATCGGACGAAGGTCCGGAATGCGGGATATGACACATGTTAATGACATGGTTCCAGAGACAAAACGAGATGTACCGCTGATAATCTGACAGAGTGGTGTCTACCACAACACCAGCCGATGCTGTTTTGAGGCTCGAAGAGAGTTGGCCATGGTCCACTAGTCTGGCAGCCATCTTCTTGGATTTTAATGGTAGAGGAACAGCCTCATTGGTGACTCTGACGGGATGCAGGGCGCCACATGCAGCCTGATTGTTGACATCAAAACTGTTGAGTAGTGACTCGACCTCCTCATCCTGGTCTTTGATGACAGCTTCAATACTGATACCTTGAGACTCGTCAAGGTAAACAGTGGCACCTTTGAGTTGAGTTAGAGACATTGTGGGTGCAGGATTACAGGATTATTGAAAAAAACTTACAAATTATTGCCAGAACATGCCGCTGATGGCTTGGAGTGGAGGCAACAACAACTTGGTTCAAGTTGCATGCTAGTATCACCTCCATCAAAGCTATGGCAGAGTCTGGTAATCAGATGCTTCGCCTCCCTGTCATCGGCCAGGAGTACACTCCTGGAGTGCCACTCGCTACATATCAATTTGTAGTGTAAGTAAATGAGCCCCTAGGACATAAGGTGACACTGAACACTCACCAACAGGACTTGAAGGACCACAAAGAATGATGTAAAGGAGAAGCTGAAGCAATACGGGAAGCCAATCAGTGGCAACCAAGAGGAGGTCATACAGCGCCTTTGCGAGTTTTCCAGTGACGAGGCTGACTGGCTGAGGTGCAGGGCTGCTCAATCTAACCTATTCTCATCTGACCTATAATCATGTCAGCTTGTTCCAACCAAAGCTCAAACAAAAGCGGGGGGAACATACCTCTCAGATGTCATTGTCCTGCAAGCGGATTGAGGACACATTCAGATCTGCAAAACAAATGGTCACTTACAAGAGCAAGAAGGGGGCAGATCACACACAATGTGCCCTGAAGGATAACGATCGTACTGCAAACACACACTGGGTAAGCTTCCCTATTAAAAAAATGAAATCAATCACTCACTGCTGCATTTCATACATTATGGCAGGCCAAGGCGGTCTTCAAAGCTTTTGGAATGCCAGCTGACCTCAGTTGCATGCCATCTGTCCCAAAACGCAGGTGCACAATGGAGGATGGGGTGCTGGGAGAAGACACATCATTGCCGGAGACTCTTGGTTCCCTACAGGAAAAGGTGTGTGAAGGTTAATTGGAAGATTAATGAGCTGCTCACCTGAAACACACTATTAACCGTGACTTAGGATTCATTTGCTGTCCGCATGTGCAGAGTCAAGCGCAATGTATTTTCAGTCAGGGACGATATCTACAACATTGAGGGCAATCTCAACAATGTGGCGTCTCACGTCATGGATTTGAAGACACTCATCTTGAATGGGCAATGCTCCACACTGCCACCGCCAGTGATATCTGTGAACACTGCTCCCCGCTGCAATGAAGTTGAACAACCTAGTAGTATGGTTTGCGCTGCCCAAATTCCCACTGTGTCAGCACCTCTCTCCAAGTCCCGTAGTTTGCCTCACCATAAGCTTGGGGTCATGATGCTTGATGGTGAATGGTTCAAATATGACAAGACCAAAGTCCCAGAGCCACCAACAATCCATTTCTCTCAGGATATTGACCGGTTGTGTGATGAGTGGGAGAGTTCAAACTTACTCTGCATTGGCGGCCACAGGATTCCCATCAAACACTGGGGCAAGTTCTACAAGAGAGCCAAGGGTGTCAAGAGTACAGCATGGGACGCTCTGCGAGTGGAATGGGGCAACTTGAAGGTGTGTTCTCTGTTTCTAGGTGCTGTCCAATATATTCTAGTATCTGAGGGAATCCACACACAGTTCATTGCTGAGGAACGTCAGAAATATCTGGACAACAACTCTTTCTGGCAGGCCTTCAGTGACAAGAATGGGAAGAATTTGTCTTATCAGCAACTCTTGAACCATCTTGCAGAGTATTGGCTTTCAGCAGCAGCTCAAGATGCCAATGATGCACGAACATTCTTTCATGGCAATCTCAATCACCCTATGGCTCGCAGCGCTTTTGATTACACCAAGGCTGGCAAGACCAATCTATCAAGCAAGGACGACACTATTGCAAAAAAATGGCACGAGCTGCTAGCAATGCGCCCTGACATTGTTGAACAATGCCAGGCAGACCAAGTCATCCCTCCCAGTTCACCTCAGTGACCATGTCACCTCCAACACTCAGGAGCGGGTTTATTTATCATATCTACCTACTTCTCTACTAACTGCCCTTGCACCAACATTCAGGAACATGTTTCTTTATCATATTTCAAGTGAGCGGATTTCTTTATCATATTTACCTACTTCTATACTAACCACCCTCACACCAAACTCCCAGCAGTGGGTTTCTTTATCATATTTACATACACCTACTTCTACTATCCCCCTACTTACTTCAATCTCTCTCTCTGGCATCTCTCCAATCATGATACTCATTAATTCCAAGGTTCATAGTCCATTATTTTCATTCTAATCAACTACTGTACATGAGAGTATGAGCTACATAATCTCAATGAATCACCATCTGCTACCTCCAAAATGCATCCAGTGGGTAACCCGAATTGGCAGTTCTTTGTGGCGGGCAGTGCTGCCACTCCTCCATTTCAGCATGTCTTGAGAGGATGACCATGGCATTCATTGACAAACGAGTTGATGATGGCCATGGCCTTGTTGGAGATGCCCATACCAGGGTGCACCGGTGCATTCAAAGATATCATTGACAAATGAGTTCAGGATGGCCATGGCCTTGTTGGAGATACCTGTATTGGGGTGGACCTACCTCAACACTAGTTAGCCTTGTCAGTAGTCTTTGCAGGTGCTTTCAAGGCAGGACTCAATGAAGAAGAGGGAGGGCATACCGATGTTACATCGTTGACAAACAAGTTGAGGATGGCCATGGCCTTGTTTGAGATACCTGTATCGGGGTGGACCTGCCTCAACACTCATTAGCCTTGTCAGTAGTCTTTACAGGTGCCTTTGAGGCAGGACTCAATGATGAAGAGGGAGGGCATACCGGATGCTATATCATTGACAAACGAGTTGAGGATGGCCATGGCCTCATTGGAGATACCGGTATCGGGGTGGACCTGCCTCAACACCTTCAAGGCTAACCCTGTCAGTAGTCTTTGCAGGTGTCTTGGAGGCAGTTGAGACACTTAGCTTATGTTGTTAGGTTGTTGATATTTGATTGACCTGATGGATATGGAGATGAAAGCAGATCAGATGTGAGTGGATCAGTGAGTGCCGAAAAGAAGATGTGGACGCACAAGAAGGATATTGTAAAGCACGTCTGATCCTGCCCCAAAACAGCAGTTCTTCGACATTTCAGTCTGTCTTGCGATCTGTGTCATTGATCATAGGTGGTTGAGGTCCAGGTGGAGTGCGATTGGAAATCAAGCCCAAGATGGAAGGGAACACTGTGGCTGAGCAGTCATGTGTCATGTTTGCAGTCTCAAGTGAGACTGCAAACCACATCAAATGGACCGTCAATTTTTCACACAAAGATTGTTACGATGCTTTACAATATATTGCCTTAAATAGCTTTCTCATCTGTTTACAGTTTCACTGATGGTCGCAGCAGGGGGCATTGATGCACATGTGATGTGACACTGACAAGTCTTGACGAATGAGAATGTGCGACAGCACAGACACCATTGTGCTTCCATCCCTTGCTGACTGCGAAGGCAGTATATCACGACTTTGTCATGAACCGCCAGCTCAATCTATATATGTTGACAAGGGTAAAGCAATTGTGCAGCACAAAGTCTTCAAAAAGTTCTTAATATGAAATATAAACGTTTGTAAATGAGAATGTTCGACAACACAGACATCATTGCGCTTCCATCCCTCGCTGGCTGCAAAGGCAGCCTGACACAATTTTGTCACAAACTCCTCCTGCTAGTCCATATTGGTGACCATCCATGGCTAAGAGCCCGTTCGGTAACCAGTATTTGGTCCACTTTACAATATATACATAACAACTGTACAACGGCGGCATAAGCAGCCATAGGTGGAGTCGGAAATATCTTTGCTTCTGACCATGACCACATATGCTCCTGCCAGTCATATTGATTTCGAGTATTGAAAGTGTGTCTTTGCTGCTGCCACTGTCATTATCCTCTGCACCCAATTCCAGATCATGCAGATGACACAACAAGACCCTAAGGCTGAGAAGGCCCACTGGAATGATGCAGAGACTATGGCGATGCTAGATTATCTTATCCTGCATCAATCAAAGTTAGGTGGCATGACCTTCAAGCTTTCGACATTCAATGATGCTGCTACCGATCTCCGTACCAAGAACTTGAAAACTCAAGGCGCCACAAAGACAGGAATACATTGCAGAAGCAAATGGAATACAGTATGTATCTCTCATCCCACTCAGCCACTACTACCATCTCACTGATCTTAATCAGTTGAAGACTGGGTACACTCAAATCAACAAATACCTTCAGAAATTGGGTGTTCATTGGGATCCTGTGGTTGGGGCCAATATTCAGGGGAAAGCCGCTGAAGATGCATGGTCAGATTATGTTGGCAAATTGGTATGTGATCATACGCTGATCTCCTCATGACACTCACTGATCTGTTAACAGTCCAACTCTGGTATGAAGCAGTTCAAACACGGATGGAGATTCTATACCAAGATGCAGCAAGTTCTGATGCGCATCAGTGCTGCGCATGGGGTGGCAGCCTATAATCCTGCTGCACTGGCAGCCACTGACCCTGCCACAGAAAATGTGCCAGTGCCAGGTTCCTCTACTCAGCCTGGTGGGGCGGGTGCTCCTACTAGCGACCCCAGCACTCTTGATGTGAGTGTGGTGGCTACCGCTAAAGATTTCACATGGGGGATTCCATCCCTTCATATTCCTGCACCAGTAGCCTCAACCTCTGTGATGGCTGCTCCCCCTGTATCCAGCTCTGGGAATTCCGGAAAGTGCTCTCATCATGACATGATTTCTGAAAGCACACCTCCCTCTGTCACCTCTTATACGCCAACATCAGAAGTAGCTATGTCAGAGGCGCCACACACACACACTCAGAGACGGACTTGAAGAAGCTGAAGCTTTTGGTGCAGGGTAAAAAACATAGTGCCATCGGCACCAACAAGACACATGTAACATCTAACAAGGGCATAAAGGAGGCTGCCAACACCGCTGCATTAATGAACCTGCAAGGCACAATCAACCACCTATTGGACTCTATCACAACGTCATTCACTGTCACTAACGAAAGCCACGTAGCCGATGAAAGATCGCATGCCTTGCAGAGCATGCAGGATGAGGAGGACTTGTCGCTGGATGATAAGCTGGCGCATGTGCACACACACTCATGAGGAGTCCAATCACTTGTTCTTCTTACTTGAACATCACGCAGCCTGAGCTGCGCATACCATTCTTATGTTCAATCCTCGTGGAGGCAAGGCAGGTCGTGAATTTGTAACCCTACCACATCCAATATCTTGTACATCCATTTCTACTCAATCGCCACATCATGCATATCACTTGTTGTTCTTGAATGTCTTGTATGTAGGATACACGAAGTTGTCAATGGTCATCATTCATCTATCTGCTCGATGTCAGAATAATCGTCTAAGTCAAGCTCACCCATATCCAATGTGTCAAGGTCATCATCATTGTCATCATCTCATTCCTGCAAGTAAGCTTGGTAGTCATCCCACATCTGTATTGCTATGCGATTACGCAGCGCATTCAAATTTGCGCTTGCATGCACATGCGCATCCATGTCCGTATTGTCAGGATCAGCTTCATCAAGCTGTCCCTGATGCGTGGGGTTGTTGTTGACAACAGTAGCTTGTGAGATATCCCCTTCATTTGGGTCGTTGATGGAGATATAATTGTGGAGCACACAAAGCGCAGCAGGGATGCATGCTTGTATCTCCATTTTATACTCTGGTGCAAGCAGCAGAATATGAAAACAGCGCTTCAAGACACCAAAAATATGTTCGATCACATTGCATGCAGAGGCATGTCAAAGATTAAACAACTCTTCCTTATTGAGTGGTCTAAAAGATAGCATCAATTCAAGCCCATGTTGAAAAAAAGTAGTCTCACCTAATGCTGGCGCCCCCCATTCTGCAAGATGGTAGTGGACACCACAATAAGGCACTAGGAGCTCAGGGCACGAGGGGAACCCAGCATCAGCAAGAAAGTACTTGCCAGGCAGAAGCTTCAAGCCCCCCTCAAGGGCTTCATCCCAAAGATGTGCATCAGTTGCTGATCCTTCCCAGCCAGTAAGCACATAGGTAAACTTGAGGTCGAAATCGCAGCTGAAAAGGCAATTTTGCGACACAAAACCTTTGTGGTTCTGATAGAGGTGATGGTCATATGAGCGGGGGAATGCATGAATATGGCTGCTGTCAATGGCACCAATAGTGTCCATGAAATATGGCCAGTGCTTTGGGTTGTCACGAATTTTAGAGGAGACCGGTGCATCATCTACAGGAAGATGAATGTATTGTGTGTAGAATGGGTGGGAGGATAGAATGTCAAGCATCTTGCGAAAGTAGCTATGAAGGAGTGATCAGTAGGCATCAATGTTGAACAAATAGATAAAACTTACTTTGAAATTGTTTCATTTGAACACTGAAAGCGCTCCCTGACATGTCTTATAGTAAGCCCTGTGACACACATGTAGAGAAAAATAGCAAGTTGGTCCTCTAGGGAGACATGGCGTGAGTCTGTGTGACCGAGTGCACGAAGCTTGTTTACCAGACCCTCAAATACATGCACATGCACACTGAGCTCACAATGCATTCGTTCAGGGTGGCCAACAATGAGTTCAATCACCCATTCTTGACCGGTAAGTGCAGATGTGTGGTAAGGTTCTGGATCATCGGGGATTTGTATTGATATGATTGAGTGAGTTGCAGCAGCAAGAAGGATATTGATTAGGAGCGCAATATAGCGAAATGCACGCTGCTGGACTTGAGCTCGCGCTAGCTGGTTTTGATTGGGTTGGTGACCAAGCTGGGCAGTGATGAGAGGACCCTGGGGGATCAGGGCTGTAGTAAATATTGGGTGTTGGAGTATTCACCCAAGATCCATCATCATGGCACTATGTATGAGCTTTGATGCTATTACTGCCCTTATCCTGATCGACTCACCCATCACTTTCTGACTCCGCCTACGGCTGCTCATGCCGCCGTCGTACAGTTGTTATGTATATATTGTAAAGTGGACCAAATACTGGTTACCGAATGGGCTCTTAGTAAGTACGAACAAGTCAAATTTCTCGTAGCATACACGGTCATATTTGGCAGGAGCAGAATTACGTCCTCCTACAGTTCCCACAGCTACAATTTCAAGCTTAAGGACTCATGCGTTCACTGATGTTGAACATAATCTGTACCCTAGTATTTGTGACGGAGCCGCGTACAGGCGCGTCAATTTCACCTGGCCCCGCAGCAGGCACAGCATTTTCCTAGTGCCTTAAAAACTGGCTTCCCTCCAATTTGCTAGACCAGCATCAACGGCGAGGATGACGTTCTCACCTGTTCGTATCACGAAGGTCCCTTCTATAAAAAATGCACCGCTACTTGGTTTAGCAGAAGGCAATGGTTACTTCTCAAATCTTCAACTCGCTGCTCTCGTCCTCGTCGTACCATGGGTCATCAAATGCATCCTTCCCTTTGTAAACCGTGGCGGTCTTAAGACATATCTCTTCATGCTCGTCATCACAGGTATCCCTGTCACTGTCGCTTATTGGGCTGTAGCGAGCACCTATGGTCGTCGCAAAAACGTCAAAGTTCTTATGCCCGGTAAAGACCTCGAAGACTACATCACTATCCACGACCCGGAACTCAAGGAAAAATACCACGGCAACACGAAAATCCCAATGCAGGTCTTCCACGACGCGTACTTTGAAGGCAAGATTGACTTTAAGGGTAATTTTTATTTTTGCGTTTCTGCTATGATTTCACCCTCACAACGCGCACAGGTGACGTGTTGGACATCATGGAGGAACGTCATGATTGGGCAAAAATGGTCATGACACCTGAACTTTTCAAATACGTCTTCACGAATCTCCTTCCCGAGGTCATCGTTCACTCTCAATCTCAAGACGAAGAACAGGTCCGCGACCACTACGACAGTAAGTTGTCTTCTACTTTTGTATTCACTCTAATTACTTGAACCATGTAGGAGGCGATGACTTTTACTCATGGTACGTGTCCTTCCTCAATTTGACGATATTCTTTCTAAAACATCACAGGTTCCTCGGTCCACGCATGATCTACACCTCCGGAGTCATCGCAGACGCCAACAAAGACGCCTCCCTTGAAGAACTCCAAGACAACAAACTCCGCCTCGTCTGTTCCAAACTGAACCTTAAACCCGATGACCGTCTCCTCGATGTCGGCTGCGGCTGGGGTACCCTTGCAGCCTACGCAGCCAAGAACTACAAATGCGACGTCACAGGTATCACCCTTGGTAAAAACCAGACCAAATTTGGTAACGAGCGCATCAAGACCAATGGCGTCACCCCCGACAAGGCTCGTATCCTGTGCATGGACTACAGGGATATCCCAGGCGGCCCTGGACACTTTACCAAGATCGTCAGTCTGGAAATGGCAGAGGCAAGTACTGCTTCCTCCTCGCGCCTTCTCGTTCTAACTCTCAATAGCACGTCGGAATCAGGCGCTACGGTTCATTCATGCGTCAAATGTACGACCTCCTCGAGGACGATGGCATCTTCGTCTTCCAAGTCGCCGGTTTCCGTCCTTCGTGGCAATACGAGGACCTGATCTGGTGGGTGTCGTTGCCGTCTGATATCTCATACGCTAACGCCGCGCAGGGGTCTCTTCCTGAACAAATACGTCTTCCCCGGTGCAGACGCTTCTTGCTCTCTCGGCTGGGTTATCAATCAAGTCGAAGCCGCCGGGTTTGAAGTGAAGAATATCGATGTCTTGGGCGTGCATTATAGCGCTACTATCTGGAGGTGGTATTTGAACTGGGTTAGCAACCGCAAGAAGGTGTGTCCATCTTCTCTTTTCCTACTCATTCTACTCACGCGATACTGATCTGACGCGTTCTAGGTCGTAGAGAAATACGGCGAACGCTGGTACCGAATCTGGGTCTTCTTCCTCGCCTACAGCACCATCGCCTCCCGCCAAGGTAGTGCCAGCGTCTTCCAACTCACCTTGCACAAGAACCTCAACGCCTACCACCGTGTTCTGGGCGTTGAGAATCATTGGAGTTTGCAGGTGCGTGATGGGAGGGATGCGGAGATTAGGTGAGTTTTTTTCTAGATTGGTTATGCTTGTTGAACTGGGCTGATGCGCGCGTTGGAAGCTTGGTGGAGTGAAAAACTACGTATACATATACGGACGGACGATGCGCGATGCGCTATATACCACTTGCTTGAATTAATGTTTTGGTCGTACAATATACCGACTTATTTGGAGCCCCAGCGTGATGTGCTTCTGCTGTTCCCTCCTTTGTGAATGCCGCCCTACACGGTACTGCTCAGATAGGCGCATATATGATATGAACTTTGCGATCGTGGTGCCAGTATTGCTTTACATTTATTTGTCTACGATCCGCACGTGCACGGCGGCTTATAAACGGTAAATTCAACCTTTGTCTCACTCAACTCTTACTTTTACCTTTTCGTCTGCCATAAACGGTTTCCACGATTGCGATATAACTCCTTACCAACATCAGCGTCCTTGCGCGACTCGTACGCGCGCATATATGTCATCTCTGACGTACGTACGGTATCAGGGATGAGACGTCCACAGCGCCACGGTTCATGGACTTGGTCTTGGCAAGTCCGGGTTAAATCTCGAGAGTCGATCGTCCTACCTAAGCCTCGTTCATATTGTTTTGGGCAGCGGTGACACGTACTCATGCAAAAGACGTCGAGTGTCGGGGTCTGGACTGTTCGGATGCGTTTTGCGGAATCGTGCGATACCCATCCCAATAGTACAGCGCTCGATGCCATATCACTGTTCACCATGCTAGTGTTTTTGACCTGGTCTCGAGTGTTATATTCCTGGTCGATCATCTGATTTGGGATCTAGCCGTTGACATCTGACATCTAGAGCAGCGCAGATGATCGAACTTTTGTAAGTTTCTTTCCTGGCACCTTTTCCTTGCGAACGTTCACGTTCGAACCATTCAGTTTATAGTTTATCAATGGGCACTGTCACATTTTGACCATGAATCTATTCAGATTGTGATACACACTCCCTCAAAAGATGTTGACTCGCCTCACGCTCTCAGCGGGCATTCCATCGAGTGGTGAACTACTAGTGTGAATATCATCGCTGCTCGTGCAGCGATAATATTCACACTAGCCACATCGAAACCTAGTAGCTATGGTGTTTTTCACCTGAGCGGAGTGTTTCTTGGCAATAGCGGTTGGCATCTGGTATTTGGTCGTTGAAATGTCGACGTCTGAAGCGGCGCACGGAATACTGTATGAATCGAATTCAAATAGTAAGTATTTTTTTGCATCCATTCATCGCAAATGCTCATCGATATCTACGTTCGAATCATCTCAGTGCTTGTTTTGCTTTCATCCGTCGTTGTTTTCCTTTTCCAGGAACACCACGATCCTGGATCCATGGATTCTTTCTGCGCCTTACCGACCTTGTCTGGTATATATGGCGGTTAGACGTCGTCCCGTGGGGCCTCGCACTTTGGCGCCGAGTTGATGTTTGAGAGCTCGAGCGTGTACATTTATGTGGACCCCCGCGGACCTGATTTCACAGCGTCTACTTCCCCATCACGGGTGCAAATCCAGACTTCACAAGTACAAGCGCATACGGATAGAAAAGCGATGGCGATGGACGGCCTTTTGTGCTGTTACTGCTGGGATGCCGATCAAGCTTGCGCTGTCTGGCTGCGTTTCGCAAAGCTCCTGCGCCGGTACTCAGGAAATCTGCCCACGTTGTGCCTGCACCGGTCGTTACAGAGTCCTGCGAGGGGCATGCTTGTGCAGGTTGGGGATCTGTTATTTGAACGGTAGTGTTGTGTGGTGGTATTCGTAGTCTTGTATGAGTACGCTTTTGTGTTTGGGACTTCTGTAGATGCACAAATATGGATGCGTATTTGAATTTTGTGGATGTGTGATGGTGTTTTGCTCAGACAGACTCCGACTAACTTCGGTGCTGCTAGTAAGTACAACGGCAGAAATCCGAAAGTGCCCTGGACTGACCACGATAGATTGCTTTGCAGTAGAAGGTACAATCGGCATCAAGTTACATGCACACACTAATCTACAATCCATTTAATTGTATACAAAAACTGCAAGCCTCTCCAGCCCATCGTCCGACTGCGGAAAGATATGAGGAAACATCCACCACCCATGCGTCAAATCCGCATACTCCACAAGCTCAGCTATCCCGCCTGCATCTTGGATACCACTCACGATTCTCCGTGAGCTCTCAGCAACATTATCAGCCGTGCCGGTCATCACCAATGTCTTCGGCCAGCTTGCAGTGAATGGAATTAAGATGCCTGATGCTAGAGGGTCGTTGGCAGGGAAATTGCCTAGATATTGAGAAGAACAGGCTTGGTAGCTTGATAGAGGTATGATGTCGTGAGGTACGGAAGTGGAGGAGGCGTAAGTGAGGTCTGCATCTGGGGAGAAGAGTACGATGCGACCTGGCCTCGGGAGAGTGGATTGCGAGATGATGTACGTGAGGACAAGAGCTAGATGAAAGTGAGATACGAATACGAGAAGAACTTGATAAATCATTACGCACCCAAGTTTCCGCCTGCGCTATCACCTGCGATAGTGATATTCTCGGCGGTAAAGCCTTTTAAAATCAGGTGGTGGTATGCAGAGAATAGGTCTTGTAACGCCGCTGGAAAGAGGTTATCGGCGACTGTCGCGAGTCTATAGGAAGGAGCTGCGATGATGGGTGCAGGGGATCCTTGTGCGCCAAATTTCTTCCCGAGTGCACAAAGTATGCGAGAGAAGAATGATATAAACCTCTGTTCTGCTGGATGCCCAGAGACGTTGCCGCCTCCGTGCACATGAAATATGACTTTGACGTCTTTCTTCGCATCAGCAAAGGACTCGGAAGGCGCATCAGTATAAAAGAAGATGGGAACCTGATCCGGTTGGATCGAGGTTGAGTGAATGGATGCAGGGATTTGAGAGGAAGGCAGAGCTAATTCACAAGAGATGTGAATTCCTTCCGGGATTCCTTCGCTGGGCACCTGTGCGCGCTCAGCAAGTGATTGGGCCTGTCCGAACGTAGGCTTGAAAGCACCCATTGCGGTGCGGATGCCATGAAGAGCTGCTGCTTGCGCAGGGGTCCAGGTGAGTCGAGTCAGTGGTGAAGACATTTCTGAAAATTGTATTTGTGATCTATCATTCGTGTGTAGGTATTTATGCGGGGTTCTATATGTATTATGCAGGCCTATGTAGTTAGGCTGATTAATGATTCAGACGAAAAGTGACAGATGCGGATTGCTTCGGTGCGTATTCAGAGCGCTACAGCGAGGGAAACGGACTATGATGATGTGTAGGGATGCGCATCGGGATCATCATGCATCATGGTCCGTTTGACATCGGTGCTCACTTCGTCGTTACAAAATAGCATTAATATAATATGTACTTAGCTTTATGTAAGTTAGTAACGGTGCTTACGCGCCAAGCCCCCAACGTCTGAGTTTTTCGCACGCTTGCTCATCCCTGGAGTGATGAATGCCCTGTTACCGTCCGTGGTGTATAAGCCAGGCTGGTCATCGTCGAGCCTACGCTGTTACCCCTCAACGAATCGGTAGCGGTGCGTGTGCACCAAGTCCCCGACTCCCGCTTCTGATCATTTTCTAATTGCCACCTGTTCACTGTGCACTTCAAGCTCTACGTTTGCGCCGGCTCTTTATGTGTTCATTCTTTCGCCCCCTGTCAGGGTGCATACGGAAATGATAGACGCGACGCGACACACGAGACACAGCCGACACAATCTAATCGCACCACAAGTATATAATTAGTTCAACCGCCGTGATGGAAATGCTAAGCCTCCTGGAGTCTGGACGGCCAAGGTAGGGGCAGCCGCAGAATGTTCTAGAATGCTGACGATAACAGTGCCCCCAAGCTAACAGGATGTGTGTGACAGTGATTGTATCTAGATGCCAGCTCCGCCGTGATGAGATTGGCGATGCTCTACAGGAAATCCTGACATTGTCCATAATTTGGCAAACACTTCATCGCACAGGCTATTCAAGGAAGAAAGTCAGTGCCTCATCACCAACAATTCTAATATGATGTTTGATTGATGTACGATAGATCGCTCAAGAAGCGAAAGCCTGAGAACGGAACATTCGCGCGATAAACCTGAGTTGACGTGGGGGTTGTGTGAGGGTACAAATCTGACATGTTAGTTGGACTGCCAACAGTGGACATATCCATAAGGTTTGACCTGGGCGGCGGCTCTTCAAGCTCTTTGACGCACGTCTGTTCTTCAATCAAGAAGGAACGATTGGTTGTCTTCCATGTTCCTTCTATCTGATCTACCCGTAGGAGACTACGTTTCTTCGCCATCAGCCACTCATGAGATTCAGTTTCAGACATACCAATGCCAACTGCTACAACGATCATAACATCTGTATCGCTTCATGGATTCAGGTGATATTTCGAAGGCCCAATTTGATCATGAGCGCTGAGCGCTAAGCAATGGACCGGCGTTTAACATCTTCTGAAGGTGTATCTGGTGTGTTTCACATTACATCAATCAAGCAACACAACAACGAATATAATCCCTTTATGCTCGTTTGGGCTCAGTCTCCCCTAAACAGCCCTTTACGACCAAGGAACATAGCCATCACTTCCAGTTCAGCCGTACAATCGCCAGATGGTGATATATCTGCCGGCACAAACGCCATCGTCAAACATCCACCAAGTTCTCAAGCTCACTCATATCCATTCTCGAAATACTATGACCCTAGTCTCGTATAATCCTTGTTAGTGGCCGTCCATTTATTCATATCGTATTTCCAGCTATTTTGTGGGTTTGTGGATGGCCAGTCGAATGATTTCCTGACCTAAGCTGAACTATGGTTTCGCAGTTGCCGGCTTCGCTGTGGTGATGTATGATTGGGGTGAGCAAGCTAGTAGCAAAAAAAGCTCATGTTCATATATCTTTAGTCCTGACGTTCGGACAAGAGGTATGTTCATGTCATGAGCGGAGCAAGAATCTCACTAACTGAATGATCCCATAGGTTGAACTGGTCTGGGTGAGCCGATTCCCGCACTAGAAGAGCAGCTTGAAAATAAAATTGATTCGTGCCAGAGGCAACGCTGGTCCCTTATGACCGTCTTATATCTCGGTGTATGTAGTCTGTGTTATAAGTGTGGTTGGCAAGGTCGTACTGATGTGGAAAATATTTTAGGTGCGCTATCTTGGAATATCATATGCTGTGTATGTCAAAGGCTAAGTAATTGGCGTTGTGCTAACAGTCCGCTTCATGTCTTGCAATCAGCATCAACATACTGCGTACGTATGTCTCCTCGTATACACTATTTATTTCTTCTGACTGGCGGCATGCAGTTTGGGTTCCAACGATCTCAATGGCAGATGCAGTGAGTATTCCCACCGATGTTTATGGCCGTTTAATGAACTGCACTCCCATGTAGGGGTGAATGGGATTCTCGACTATCTTGTTGGTCCGATTTTAATGACTGCCACAGCTGTGAGCTGGTTTTGAGTATGCGAGTCTTTGGGGCTGACCGCCAACATTACTGGATTCGTCAGGCCTTGTTCTGAACTCCACAAGGGATTGGATGGGTGTCATTGTATATGCAATATTAGGTGGTGCGCTGCGCAATACCTCCATGGTATCGAGTTGACTGAAACATCATGCAAGTCATCTTGATTGCTCGGTTACAGGCTATGTACCAGCAATCTAGAAAGGTGCTGATATTTCTCATTGTCACCTTCCTTGCTGTCAACATTTTCGACGGAGTGGTCATTGCGATATCAGCGAGGAATTCATGGGGTACGCTTAATCATGGATCAAAGATCTATGTGTCAGGCTCATGGAATAATAGCAGAGGAGCTGATTCTATCCGGCACCTTTCAGTGCACAGTTAGCTCCGGTGATTTACTTCTGCATTCCATGACTTGGATATTCACCACTGTATGGGAGGTCCTCGCGTTGTTTTTCACATTGTGGATTGCTGTGAAACACTTCCGTGAACTGCGACAACATTCAGCAGGAGGAATTATCGGGGACTGCTTCAGGGTGTTGATGGAAACTCACGTGGTTTACTTTGCGAGGTGAGCTCATAGTGGAATGTGGGTCCCTTGGTCCGCTGATCTGCACACGGTAGCGTTGTTGTCGTTTCATGCTTCGATCTCGGTTATTTTTTTTCGACGTTGCCAGCGGTAGGCTGATCTGCCACTACTTCTGCATGCAACAACTATTCATCATTTCTACAGGATACACTTGCCCTGGGAACTCAGATTTACTTTGGTTTGCTTGACATCTTCCAACTTGTGCGGATGTTTATACTAGGACCGCGCCTGATTCTTCGTGTTCGAGAATATCAGGCCAAGCTCGTGGCCGACCTGGATGCAGGAACCAACATGACTTCAATTTCTTTTCAGGAGCGCGTGCATGTGTCAACTAGCAGGAGTGTGTAGCGGGAGATGCTTGATGTGATTAACATTCGTCTGGAAAGAGCGAGAATTTACTCTTTGTTCGAAGTTTCGTCGTGATATCTATACAGGTCATTCGGTGTTCTGAAGGAGATTTGAAATCATCGTGAGTGGCGTCCAGAACTTGCACCGCACGTGCACTAAGTAAGACGTCAATAATTGCGTTGTGTACTGCAATCACCTTGAGATCAGGAATTTTCATTCCATGTCGACAGTGGTCCTAGAAGTAGTATTCCTTGAATTGATCAAACCCAAAACCAGGGAAGGCGTCGAACCAGTGCTTACGACTTGCTTACGACAATCGACATTTGAGAATTGAGCATCCCTACTAGTAACTAGCCTAGAATGTCTGAACTTAATTCGACAGTCACACAACAGCCACATCGGCGGCCTCCACTTTACATAAATGCTGCGCGTGAAGCACTCATGACATTGCACAGTAGATACCCACAATGATTTTACTCACTCTCTCCACTGAACGCTGTTCGCAATACCGTTATCACCAACGAGGAAGGTCAAATTATTTACAAGACAGAGACTCCGTTCGGAGTCGGACTAGCTGGCTTCCATACTACGACCATTCAGAAAATCAAGCCAAATGACGGCCAGCATCATATGCACGACCAGTTCGATGTTTTGGGAGAGATCGAGTGGCACAGCTTTACTTCCTCAAAGTTTCGTTATGGTGGAACTGAAGTAGAGACAAAGGAGTTCATTCCGAGGAGAGGCCTATTGGGTCGGTGAGTACATAGTGACCTTCTAAGAAATCCGGGCCATCATAATGAAATTCTGGCAGGAAGCGCATCTTCACAGGACCAGATAGCCGTCCCTATCGCTGGGACCTGAAGCCCAGAGTGGTAGTTGTGAGTGCGCTTCCACTTCAATGTTACTAATGCCTCTGTTTCTCACGAGGAGTCGGATTTTAGCTCTCACGGGACGATGCGTCTCGAATGGAGGTCGCTCGCTTTCATAGAGCGACTCTCGGAATTGTAGGAAGGAAACGTAAAGCCATGCTGGAAGTATCACCTGAAGTGGCTCATATGATGGATACCATCATCATGACGTTTATCTATGTCGAGAAACTCAGAAAGGATAAAGAAAAGTGAATGTCAGAGTTCTGGTCAGTCTGCGCACAAGTCTGTGCAGGCTCCAGGTTTCCCTGGGTACCCCTCAGCAGACTCGGCAAATTCAAGCGGAGTCAGCCATTCGCAGATGGGGCTCACCAGGATCCCCTTCTACTTATTCCTCAGGCGCTTAGTGATGGGCTTGCAGTATGATAATGAAGTATTCATTATCAGTGCTTGAGACATCTGTGCAATAATACTTGTGTAAATAGCCGTCCACGGACAACACTTTCCATCGAGGATATTAAAGTCTGGCTTTTTCGCCGGTTTGAATGATTTCCGCGGCTTTGTGAGCCAGCCTAGAAAGATCTTCTCAGAGCAAGTCGCAAGATCATCGTTGATGGCTTACCCATAAAGCGTGGCTTGAGGATGAGTTCCCAAGTGCTAAGATCACCCGTATTAGTATGCCCAAGACAACAACTTTCAGGCTTACGATTGGGAAGATGCTGGCGTCTGCCTATGAAGTGTATGTTAAGGAAGCTGAGCTCAGTTTGTCAAGAGAGATATACACACCACTCTCAGGTTGGTTGTCCCATACACCTGTAGAAAATCCGTGAGTTCGTCTCGCAGACAATTATACTCAAGGTTAACTTTGACCTTCAGTTCGTTATCGACGACGCCATTGGCGGATCGAGGGAGCATTGAGGCCGTCCCTTTCGAAGGATAACTTGCATTAGAAAAGTTTGCAGTTATCAAGTTAAACAACCTACCTATAGGATGGAATCCGCTGACGACATCTGAGCGGATGTAATCCATCAATTGTTCATCTGACCAAGAAGGTTTAGGATCGATGATTTCCGCAGTCAAGTTGCCCAGAGCCCCTGTCTCCATGATCTTGAAAGCATATTTCATAGCCTCCAAAAGCATCATCATATCTCGAAGAAGATTCAATAGTCTGTCTACGGGAAATAATAATTCATTTACCAATGTTCCCCAGAGAATCGAGCGTTGCTGGGTCAATTTCTGGTGAATCCAACACAGACGAAGAAGTCGCATGCACCTGTGGTGGAAGCATGAGTTCAAGTAGAAATTTGAAGAAAAAACAAACAAACATGTCCTCGACTCCAAGCATGCTGCAGGAAGACCGATATCGTGTAATGCTTAGCTTTTTCGTTTGTGCATCCGGCGTGGGTGTAAGCTGTGGGCGATCAACACCACATCCATACGTGACGGACAAAAGACGCACAAGGGAATAAAGCCACCTCTAACTGAGCAATACCATCGTTCTCCAGCCAGGCGCGTTGGACGTCGTACCATTTTTTCCAGGGCGAGTTTTGGACTTGCGGTAATTTCAAGGCCTCATCCAGGGTTGACAGTATACTCTGCATCTTGTCGAGTGGGATGAAAGATGACAATGGAATGAATACCAGGGTAGACAGTGTACTACTGAGCATCCCTGTTCTGGAATGCCGATATTGTTCTAGACTTTGTTGAGCAAAGGTTTCTGAATTGAGGTCATCCGTGGTCTCGTGCAAGCCTTTCAGCTCGGCGCCCATGGATACCCTAGGGTGGTCCTAAGGCAGGTATCAGGCTCCATTCGGTTCTCAACTGGAGGTGGCACCAACTTGAAAGTTTTCGCCAACGCCAGGTAAATCAATTTTTATGGGAATGTTCAGTCGACGCAAGAGGTCTGGATTCCCGATCCCTGGTAATGTAGAAATTCAATTCTAAATGGACCATCTGATACCATAGCTAGAGTGTCGCACCTGAAAGTTCTAGAAGCTGGGGGGTTTGCAGAGCACCTCACCTCATCATTTGGGTTGACATTTCAACCATCACAATAGACACTTACCAGTCGATATGATCACTTCCCGGCGCACAGGGACTTTGTAAGTCCGCCCCCCTTTATGATATTCAACCGCCGTAGCTTGCAAGTCACTGCTGGAGGTTTGTCTGAAAATCACTCTAGAGGCTTGTGCACCAGTGAGTACAACGATGTTTGGTCGGTTAGAAACCCGATCATAATACGCCTGGAAGAATAATTCAGCGTCAAATATTTCAAAATGACCTTTTCTGCCCCCTTACATTTGTGCTGTAAGAGCGTGTATTAGTTTGAGGATCAATGGACGCTGTGTACGTCCAAATGCCTATAATGTCTCCGGAAGCCTGATAACAACTTCAATTACGCTCATTTTGCCAATATTCAACCGCACTTCAGATTGGTTCGTGACTACACCCAACTGATTCATAGTCTCGAAAAATGGCAGAACGAGATCATAATAGTAGCTATATGCAGTCGTCTTGACATAGCCATACCTGGCACGGGAATGGAGCGTCAACACAAATTTGCATCCACTATGCTAGTCTTACCTGCCATGATTTTTCGCAACATTATCTGCGTTGTGCGCCTTGGCGTGGCGAGTTGGAGGGCTCCAAGCCTCGGCGGATTTAATTGCATCACTGATAGCATTCCAATTCCATCCTGAACGAGTTAAATCGGCAATGTGTTCCGTTCCATACTGAACGACGTATTACTGACCTTTGATGCCGAGTTTCTCCCAGTCTTTCGGCACATGAGTATAGAATTTATCAATTGAGTTACATGGCCCACTGTACTAACCATTATGCTCGAGCTCTGGAGCCACTATGAAGGTGAACGTTAGTATCTGATGGTACGAGCACGTAGAATGCATGCACGCACCGACAGTAAGCCATATAATTCAATGCTGATGAACCACCCAGAACTTTACCTCTAGAAATTGGTATCTCCCGATTCTGAGCAAATGGTTGGGGTTTTGTGATAAAATTCCAGTCGTATTTGGGATCTAAGCTCGAACTGTGATGCGCTGTCTTTAAAGCACACCTCCAGACTCACTTCCAACTGCCTTGCCGATCATGCCTTTACCGAGAGAAGTCGGAAAATAATGATAATCGTGAATACAAGGTTAATCAGTCATTGGACTCCTTACCGGGGACAAGAATCATCTCATCGTCCTTCCTCAGACCTGCTTCAATGACTCCTACGCGAACGCTAGCATTAGTTGAGAGGCTACAATATCCCAAAGTTAGATTTGAAGGGAAGGAAGAACAAAGATAAGTGTGTACATCGAGGCCAATGCAAGACCAGTTGTTCCACCCCCTGTAAAATTGTGATATGTATCAAAAAATCGCACACAGGCATAACTTGACATACCAATGATAATATAATCAAAATCCTCTTGAGAGAAGTCTGCAGCAGACACCATCATGTACCCAGGAGCTGAGAGGGGTAAAGGTTATCATATATAGGGCTCAGAATTCTTGTACACCTTGAAATAACTTGAAAATCCTCCACGATATGCCATGAATTGTAACATGTCAATGTCGACTTAACCTTACTGCGATCATTCTCTCGGCCCGTAAGTTACCTATGTAGACCCTAAACCTTTCCTGTTCTCGAGAAGTTGGTGGTCTTGAAATATCGTTATAGGATGGGAATGCTGTAACAGACGAACTGCAAATTTATGTAAGAGAGTCGTTGGAGAGCTTGACATCGTAACTGTAAGTGCATTCCAAATAGTCACAATTTGTATCATACCCATGTGATCAAGAGGGACGAAATTTCACATGGAGTAACCAAATTGAATTACCCAACCATGGCCACTGATACGCGATTCGAAGCACTGAAGGTGAAAAATCTATAATCGGCAAAGTCAAATGACAAACGCCTATCAATGTCATGTTATCTGCAGAACAAGCAGTCTAAACTTAATTGTGGTCAGCGCCACTTGAACTGTCTCACCACCTCCAGACATCGCATCAAACTCGTGTGGACAAGATAACATTTCCGTCGAAGGCATCGATTGGTATGTGGGAAGACCAGCACCTTGTTCGCTGGAAAATCGAATAGTATGCGAGAAGCAAGAACGCTGTGCGCAACAATCTGAGGTCTAAAATGGAGGGATGAGCTTCGACGATATGTAACATCTACATGTATGATCGACCAGACTAACGTGTCTAGCATCTCGCTGTACGAGAGCTCGGGACCTACTCAGTTCTTCGAGATCAAGTCAACAAAGAAAGAACTCACAGGTAGTAGCACAGCGAGTACAATCACATATCATATATCATGATCGGAGTCTGAGTCTGAGTGACGAGCAAAAGTTAATTCTAACTCCGACAAGCCATTGAGTCGGGCGTAACTTACAACATCTAGTCAAATTACATATTCTGCCAACTCTCTGAGCTCAGCCAGTACTACAGGTCTAACCCGAAGACCGGTTTATATTTGAGTTGCAGAGAAGCACTTCAAAATTGCTTTGCAAACTCCAAGTCTCCCACTGTTCGAGCTTCGAATATGTAATGGAACCCAGCTGTGGGAGGTGCATGAACATTTACAAGTTGGTGCGTTTGATCTTCGGTAGCATGATTGTTCTCATGTGAAGTTCTCGGCAACACATAGTACGTAGTGTCATCGAATCCACCGCATCCGCTCGCACCAAGGTCTAACCCTTCATAAAGTGCTATAGAAATAACCAGCTTCTCCCGTCAATCCACCGCCATCCACATGAGATACCCATCGTTTCGCAGATTCCAGACTGAGGCAACTGTATTGCACCACATTTCCTGTGACATCGGAAGTCAGACGCCGTGAGGTTATTCATGATGTCAATGCGGATGAATGTTAGAAGAATCTCGGGACTCGGGGCGTTTCTCGTTAGTATCGTAATGTGATTAACGACTGCGCACTGGTCAACCGGTCACATCTCCAGCACTGGCCGATATTCAACGGCTTCGCTGATAAATCAGTACTCCTGATCTGATGCAAGCACGGCGTAAATTAACTTCTCGAGAATGGATGGTCTGATGGCATCTATTTCAAGACAGCCGTCTGACAACCGGTGTTCAAACGTTCCACGCGACTCTACTTTGCAAATCCGCATGCCAGTGTTGCCAGTGCGGCGCAAGTCTGCTTGAAGCTTTCATTCTAGTACACCAAGTCGCTACTCGCTACTTGCTGATACTAATCATCGGAATATGGGTCAAATCTCAAATGATCGTATTTGGTGGCCAGTAATCAGTTCGTGGTTCGTGTACAGCTATCACGCAGGTTCGCTATTACTAGTAGTGATGGTCTCACTGAATAATCTTTTATTTGGGTTTCGCAGTTGCGTCCTCCACTGTGGTGGTGTACGATTGGAGTGAGCGAGATTATACTTGTCACGAGGCGATTATTGATATCCTTATATGCGGTTCTTCAGCGCTAACATCTGGACAAGAGGTAGGTTAATGAAATTAAAATTAGCGGAGAAGTCGTCTCACAAAGTATGGTTTTATAGTTCGAACTTGTCTGGGTGAGTGAACTTCGTATCAACATGGATAATATATTCAATTCGAGGCAGTCGCAGCCCTGGTCCCTCATCACTGTCATGTATCTTGGTGTACGCACCTTATCTTGTAACTACTATTGGCAAGCTGTACTGACTAGTTATAGGTGCGCTTCCTTGGAGTAATATACTGTGGGTATGTCATCAAGGCTAACAAGTTGGTGCTGCGCTAACGAGCCGTCTCTTACGAGCAGCACCATCATCATGTGTATGTCTTCTCACATTCATTATTCATTGTCTCTTACTGGCGGGATCAGGGAGTGTCCCGACAGTCTCGGTGACTGATACAGTGGGTCTTCCACACTGAGCCTGGCTAATTCTAGTCCAACTGACTATCCTTCTACATAGGGGTGAGTAAGACTCTTGGCCAACGTGTTCGTTCAACATAACGACCACTTACAGCTGTGCGTTTTTTTGAAAGAGCTCCGGGGCACCTCAGTGACCGGGATTTTCAGGCAATATTCTTTCGCGCTTACTCGACTGGACCCCCGCCGTCGTAATGGTCATGCTGGGTGGTGAGCTGCTCAGCTGCAGTAGCTCTGATTTCACTTAAATGTCTTGCAAAGTTGTCATGATCCTTCGGTTACATGCAATGTATCTAGGATCCAGAAAGATGCTCATCTTTCTCATTGTGATCTTCCTGGCTCTCACGATCACAACCGGAGTGGTCCTCATAATAGTAGAGAACTACGCTCGATGGAGTAAGTTTGATTGTGTATGAAATATTCAAGTGCACCAGGCTCATGAGATGAATACCAGAGGAGCTTGTCCTCTCTGGCACCTATCTGTGCATGTATCACTCCTCAGCAACAAACCTCCCATTTCTGACAGGCGGTGATTGGGAGTTCGTACCTGGACTCGTGTGGGAGGTCCTCACGTTGTGTCTTGCAGTCTGGGTTGTTATCAAACATTTCCGTCAACTGCGACGACAATCAACAGGATGGACTGTCAGGGATTTTTTCATGGTCTTAATAAAGACACATGTGCTTTACTTTGCAGCGTGAGCTCGTCATTTGAATATGATTATCTTTGTTCTTCTGAAGTTCTTCATGCGCTAGCTTTGCTGTTGCCTCTTGCTTTCGCACTCGGAAACCTGTCCCCATCCATGTCGGTAAGCACAATCTGCGATTGAGCTTCCGCATTTGACCACCATTGATCATACTTAAAGAACTACAACTCCTCTGTGGATTTCAGGTTTATAACGGTGTTTATCAAATTGCCCTCGAGATGCAGTTATTTGTACTGGGACCGCGCCTCATCCTTAGCGTCCGAGCACATCATGCTCAGCTTCTAGCTAACTCTGATGAAGAGACTGTCATGACTACAGTCGTTTTCCAAGGGCATATACACGAGTCGACTGACAGTGAAGCACAGCATGGGGGCAGTCTTGCAGGTGCTTTCAGGGGTATTTTGGTAAGGGAATAGTGACGCACGACATGTTCGGCTATGAGGTGGGAGATGCATGGAAAAGTGAGATGGACTCGGAAAGTGTTGCATTACCTGACACCGATACGCTATGATGTGTTTTCCTACATTATTTTGCCTATGGGAAGTCATCCATTAATGTAGCCTGGTAGAGAGCAATCCCTCCTCGATCACGGTTTTTCTGTCCACCCGGCCCTATCTATTACACAATAAAACAGCGAATGAATACAGGTATATACAATTTGAGGCGAGAATGACACCACAAGGAACATCAGCTGGCTGTGTATAACCCAAAGGAGAACCAAGCGTCACATCCAACGGCTTCATCTATTCAGATGTCTCGCCGACGTCAAGGAGTATCATGCAAGTCCCTGAGTTACACGTGTTCAACATCATTTATATATTATGTCAGATAAAAACTCAGAAACACCTACCGCAGGACGGAAAGGATGACTTCCACTATTCACCGACCCTCAGCAGGCCTCACATATCTGTGTAGGTTATAATTATCAATGACTATATATAAGCTGCTTTCGATGCCACCTACATAACCAATGCAACAATGAGAACAACAGTCGTCATCCCGTATGCAGTACTCGCCGTTCCCGAGGCATTCGCTGGTGGCAAATACTGTGGAAGCCGAGGCGTTGACACCCATGAAGATAGAACAGGTAAGGATGATCAAATAAGAAAGCTGCATGTCAATAGAGGTTTACTGGGTAGGAGTGAAGAGACAAGTTGAGCGAGAATGTGTAGTGACTTTATACCTTGAATTGATATACAGAAATTCCGTGACCGCCTGACAGGACAGGCCGATCATACATGCGAACATGACAATAGTGCTAGTGAAGAGGATCAGCACATCCCGGGGTATCTTGCGACAAGGAAATTGATCGCTGCATTCAATAAGTGCATCAGGGCATGAATAATTGTGTGGTTCGAGAGTGCAATAATAGGACTGGAAATCCTTCATCAAGTGAATTGTATTAGCCTCTAGGTTACGATTTGCCTCTGGTGGTGTTCGAGGAAGGCCCGAACCAAAACGATCGTATCACAGGGTCACATGAGGCTGTATGTGCATGTATTCAGCTTTCGCTACTGTACGCAAAAATGTCAGTAAGATTCCTGCTTGTTTAAAGCATCTGGGGAGTTGCGACGTGCCTTAATGCTTCAGGAAACACAACCATCCTGTCGACAGTTGAAACGTTGACCGGTGATCGGTGTCACAGTCCAACCATGTGCAGATCAGCAAGAAGATTGACCTTGTTACAAGTATAATTTGACGTTAACATTCAGTACTCCGAGTCAGTGCGCTTCATCCGTCGTGCAGTTTGAACGGTTTTCCTTTTCTAGGAACGCCATGGGCAATAGGAAAATGCTGCGCCACTGCTGCGACTGCTGCGGGGTTTGCCGCGACATTCCAAACTTTGACCTGTACGCTACTACTACTAAGTAAACACACAACTTGCTTGTTGCCGGCCACATGCTCTGGACTCTGCATCAGTGCCTTGAAGGACTTTACACAATTAATACAAAATCACTCGGTTATTGTTGTCTTGAACTGCGGCACTGAAGACTAATTTCCAGTGTGTTCCGAACTTCCAACTCCCGAGTCACCAGATTTCAGACTTCAGCTTTCCGGATTCTGAGATGATACGAAAGTCCACTATTAAAGTATGTATTACAATGTGAGTCTGTGTAGCAACCTGAGTTTTGACATTATCAACTTTCCAGCAAGTTATGTTGCAGCACCTTTGTCGCGGTCGTCGCGGTCACAATGTCGCAGCACACCCCAAATATGGAAAGAGGGGTTCCCGCGACGACCGCGACAAATCAGTGCATAACCAGTCAGTCAAATGTCAGTAGCCAATATTCAATTCCAAATGAGGGTCGATTTTCACCGGTATCGATGGCTTGAGCAATCTGTATCGTCTCGCGTCACTCAGTGTTTCCCTCATCCTCAACTTGAAAGATTATGAACTAGTACTAACTATTGGTAGGATACGTCGTCATCAATTTTAATCAAGCCCACTACCCCCTTCAGCTCGTGATCTGCCCAGGCTCAGCGATGCACATGCCAATCGATTCGAGACTGTACAGCTCAGTTTATACACCCAATCCAACACACTTGCCACCCACCTGTTCCCAGCAGCCCAGTCGGTCATTGGTACTGATGGGCAAGAAGTTCTGGCCACCGCCACCAAGCTGGATGCTCCTCAAAACACGAACATGGTCCCTCTCAGAGTAGCCGCATCGGCTGCTGCTGTCCTGCAACCGCAAACCTGACGGAAGTTGTGCTCACCTGTTTTCTTGGGGAGGAAGCCTATCAGACAGATCTCCTGATGGAACACTGGGCCAACAGGAACTGAGGAGGCGATAAGGGACGAAGCGACGATGTTGAGAACTGGCAAGATGGTTTTCGGACATGGCGTACATGTCTCGGAATCAGAACCATGAGGATTGTAATGAAGGAGATCCCGGTTATGATGAAGACGAGCTTGAGGTACTATGCTTTCCGACTTTCGAAACGGTCCTAGTTGACGATCAACTTAGCGCGGGCCAGGTTTCAGTGACAGCGATGATGTCGAGCAACATACGTCACGACCTCGGAATCGACAGGTAACAAAATCCCATGGAGGACCAAGAAAGCGAAGAAAGGTGGCACTGACCGCGTCTTGAGATAATACCCGCGACTGCGCAGTCACTCGCTTAGAAGAAAGAAAAATAGCATTGTATACGCAGGAATAAGACTACAATGCAATATGAAAGATTGTTTGGCGACAAGGAAGATAGTCGTTGAAACGATATATGGGAGACCTGACTTGCAGACCACTTCGAAGTACTTGTGAAGTTGTGATGATACCGTCTGACCGTGACTTTGTGAGCGTGATTATAATAATAAGGAGTGGGCGCACGCTCGACTCCATGGTTCGTTTGGAGGACAAGGATTGGGAGGTTCCAGTGACTAGCAGTAAGTGTAATTGATGCGCACTCACTATTTGGGAGCAGCGCAGTGGTCGCGGCAGTTGCCGCAGCAGTTGTGCAGCATTTTCACGATGCCCGAACGCCACGATCCTGGATCTAAGTAGTGAACCGGTGAACAAATTAAAATCTCATAGTTAACTGTATATGGTCAGACCACTGCTGCCTCCTTGGAGACAACCGTCTGTTCCACAGCTATCCAACAACCGTGTATTCGAACATTCCGCACAACACTGGTTAGCGGATCTACTACATAACAGCTAAAGTTTACAAGCTTTGATTCTACTCCGCCAGGTTGCCACTCATTGATACCAATCGCTTGAATATGACCTATACGTCAAATGATCCACAGTGGTGGCCAACGATCAATTTTGCGATCGTTTACAGCTATTACGCAGGTTTGTTGGAAACAAGTCGGAAGATGTTGGCGATGCTCTCACTGAATGATAATATTTGGTTTTGGTTTCGCAGTTGCATCCTCTATTCTGGTGATATACAATTGGGGTGAGCGAGGTTCGACTTATCGCGAGGCAATTACTGATCTCCTTATCATATTCTTCAGTACTAACGTCTGGACAAGAGGTAGGTTGATGAATTTATTGGAGATGTCATCTCACCAAGTACGTTTCCATAGTTCGAACTCGTCTGGGTGAGTACAGTCCCCGTATCAACATGGATAATATATTCAATTCTGGGCAGTTGCAACCCTGGTCCCTCATCACGGTTCTATATCTCGGTGTACGCACCTTATCTTACGACCACCGTTGGCAAGCTGTACTGACTAGTGATAGGTGCGCTGCCTTGGAGTGATTTACTGTAGGTATGTCGTTAATGCTGTCAAGTTGGTGCTGTACTGACAAGCCATCTCACGAGCAGCACCAACATCCTGTGTATGTCTTCTCACACACAGTGTTCTTTGTCTCTGACTGGCAGGATGCAGTCTATGTCCCGACAGTCTCGGTGAATGATGCAGTGGGTCTTCCACACTGAGCCTTTGCACTCCAGACCAACTAACTATACTTCTACATAGGGGTGAGTAAGATTCTTGGTCAACGTGCTCGTTCAACATAATGACCGCTTACAGCTGTGAGTTTGTTTGAAGGAACTCTGAGACTCATCAGTAAGTAACCGGGGTTTTCAGGCGAAATTCTCTGGGGCTTGCATAACTGGACGCCCGTCGTCACAATAGTCATATTGGGCGGTGAGTTGCTCAACTGCAGTGGCACTGACTTCACTGAAATATCATGCAAAGTTGCCATGATCATTCGGATATACGCCATGTATCAAAGATCTCGAAAGATACTGATCTTTCTTGCTGTAATCTTGTTGACTCTCTCCATCACGACCGGAGTGCTCCTTACGATAGTAGAGAGCCATGTTCGATCAGGTAAGTTTTGATTTTGTATGAAAGATTCAAGTGCACCAGGCTCATGAAACGAATCCCAGAGGAGTTCGTCCTCTCTGGCGCCTATCAGTGCATGACCTACTCTACGGAAGCAAACACCCCACTCTTGATTGGCCTTGATTGGGTGTACGTGACTGGACTCACATGGGAAGTCCTCGCCTTGTCTTTTGCAGTCTGGATTGTCATAAAACACTTCCGTGAACTGCAACGACGATCGAGATGGAACACCAAGGACTGTTTCACGGTGTTAATAAAGACACACGTGCTTTACTTTGCAGCGTGAGCTTGCGATTTAACTGTGACCGTGGTTTTTCTGCTGAAGTTCCTTATGCGCTAGCTTTGCCGTTATGTCTTTCTTTTCATTCGGCTATCTGTCTAACAATCTGGCGGTATGCACAATCTGCGACTGATGTCTGAATCTTACCACTCATCGTTATTCCTATAGAACCTCTCTTCTGTGGGAGTCCAGATTTATAACGGCGTTAGCCAAATCGTTTCCATCGTGCAATTGTTTGTGCTGGGACCACGCCTCATCCTTAGCATCCGAGCACATCACGCTTGGTTTCTGGCCGACTCTGATGAAGGAACTGTGATGACTACGATCGCTTTCCAAGAGGGCATACACGAGTTGACTGACAGTGACGTATAGCTCGGAGCAGTCTTGCAGGTACTTTCAGTGATATTTTGGTAAGGAAATAGTGGAAAACGCTCATCAAAGTCTTGGATTTTAGTTATGAGAACCCTCGTAAATGATGCCCCAATCGACAAGCCTACGATGGGTCCTTGGTATACATACACGTAATATATTCGATTGGTGTCTATGTTCACGTGCCAGGAAACCGGATACGTGACAAGACTCGGTCAGTTGGAACTTTCTCCTCGAGACCTGCGCTCAGAAGAGACATAGCCTGGTAGAGCGTAATCCCTCCTCAATCACGGTTCTCTATCCACCAGGCCTCATCTATTACACAATCAACGGCGAATGGCTACAGGTACCCACATTTTGAGACGAGAATGACACCACAAGGAACTTCCATCAGCTGTATATAACCAACGAAGGAGAACTAAGTGATACATCCAACAGCTTCATCTATTCAAATGTCCCACCGACGTCAAGGAGTATCATGCAAGTCCCTAAGTTACACGTGTTCAACATCATGTATCATGTCAGACAAAAACTTGGAAACACCTACCGCAGGACGGAAAGCCTGGATGACCTCAACGATTCACCGACCCCCAGCCAAGCATACCTGTGTAGGTCGTAAGTATCAATGGCTATAAGCCACCTTCGGGGCCACCTACATAGCTAAGGCAAGATCCAGAGCAACAGTCCCGATCCTCCACACAGACCTCCAAGTCCCCGATGCATTCGCTAGTGGCAAATGCTGGGGAAGCTGAGGCGTTGACGCCCATAAAGATGGAACATACAAAGATGGTCAAATAAAAAAGCTGCATGTCAATGGAGGTTTGCTGGGTAGGAGTAAAAATTCAAGTTGAGCGAGAACGCGTAGTGACTTTATACCTTGGCAGAGGGACTTCGCAGGTCTTACGTTGAATTGATATACGGAAATTCCGTGTCGGCTTGACAGGACGGGCCGATCATACAGGCGAACGTGTCAATAGTGCTGGTGAGGAGGATCAGTGCATCCTGATCTGAATTGCGACGAGGAAATCGATCGCTACCTTCAATCAGTGCGTGAGGGCACGAATAATTGTGCGGTCCGAGAGTGCAATGATAGAACTGGAAATCCTTCATTGACTGAACTGTGTTAGCGCCTAGGTTACAATTTGTCTCTGAGGAAGGCCCGAACCAAAACGCTCGTATCACAGGGATCACATGAGGCTGTACACTATTGCATTCAGCTTTTACTACTGTACGCGAAAATGTCAGTAAGATTCCTGCTCATCTGAGTCGCGACGTGCCTTGATGCTTCCGGAAACACAAGCATCCAATTGACAGTTGATCGGTGATCGGTGCCATGGTCCATCCATGTGCAGATCAGCAAGAACACTGACCTTGTTACAAGCATTGGGGTGCCAGGTTACCGCAAATGGCGATACAACAGACGTGTTATGCAAATTTGGGCGTCTCCCTACTCAAATGTCGTTTCCTTCTTGCGGGTTACATTCTTGGAATATATTTATAAATTCCGAGTATCCATAATTTCACAAGAGCATGTAAGGTAAGAGCGCAATAGGGCATGTCGGGAGCAAATCTAGGATACGAGGTAAGTAAGATTGTGTTCATGTCGGCAAGGGAAAAGACCCAGGAATCGTACGACGACGCTCAGGGTGATGATAATATGTGCCATGTCGTCGCTTGCCGGGCGAAGCAAGAGGTGTGGATGGTGATTGACTGTTAGTAGATAACAAGTTCTCCTGAGATGCATTAGCTCGGGCTGTGGACTGTCTCAGGCGTTGGACTCATAGTCCCGTAATCATCGTCCGAGTCGTCGTCTATCAACCAATCACCGTCTTCTGGTAACATGATAACACCCGACGCAGGATCGAAGCTCAGGCGGTGATTGAGGTTGCTATGCGGCTGAGATCCCCGCGCGGTGCGCGTATCCACCCATGGGTTCGAAGGTCCAGCATCCGGAGGAGGAACACCATCCTGGTTTTCAGAGGTACTCATGTCGGTAAGAGTGCCATCAATAGCGGGGTGAGATCGCCGTGATGCTCGAATCTTTCCTCGTAGCATGGTGTAGCGGTTACGGAGGTTGAGAACAATGCCTTGGTTGACATATGGAGACGCTCTTGACCCTCCTGCACGGTGCCCATTGACAAGGGTTTGCCCTTTCTTCAACGGAAGCCAGGGCTCAGGAAGCACGCCAGTTAGAGCAGGATGTCCGTATCTTCTTTTCCCGGTGCTAAATAAGGGATGAATACGTGACAATTAATCGAAACAAGTAACTCACTTCAACACGCCATTATACCAATTAGCCATAGGTGGTTGTGACTGAAAGAGGAGTAGGTCAAACGTTCTTTCCGCATATCGTATTACCTACGTAGTCCGTCCGTTCGTCTTCTGGAGCAACATAGAGCATGTCGTCGTTTCGTGCGTATCTCCGACGCATCAAATTGCTGAAAGTAAGTCTGCATCAGGGTCCAACAGAAACATTTGTAGACCTTACCTCTGCGACCACGTCACTGGATGTCCCTCCCGCAACCTCACTACATCCGCTGAATCTTCGCCCCGCTCTACCTCGCACACAGAACTGAGACAGACTGCGCTACTGAGAGGCTTGAAGGTTTCATAGATGTACCAGGACCAGATTGCGGTACCCGCAAGTAGCGGAACAAGAAGAGAAGACATAATATAGCATTTCCGCAAGGTTAAGATGCCGATCATAAACGTTTGGAAAATGATTATGCCCCAAATAAGCCTGACGAACGTGAGAGGCCATGCTTGGCCTTGAGATTCGTAGGGCTTATAAAACACTGAACCAGCGAGCTCAGAAACCCTCCAGCGAAACATAGCTTAAATCTACTCACCAAACAACAACTTGTACTTGTACACGAAGTAGGCCATTCCAAAATAGATTGCACCAAAGATAACAATCAATGGCTGGACGACGCTGTACAGGATGGTGACAACGAAAACGAGAATCGCTTGAGGGTATACGACACCATAGTTGATCATGGGAGGGGCATTCAACTCAGCGAAATCTGCCCAGATTAAGAATTAGGTTTACCATTGACATGTATAAGTGCTTACCTCGAGGTGTACGAGTCCTGAACATGCGTAAAATCATCCGGGGTATTATCACCCCCAGGTTAAGCAGCTGAAGTGGCATGATACCAAAGCCTGTCGTTCTAATTCAGCACTCTCAAGTACAAGTAAGATGATATACCCACCTTGAAGTATAACATACGAAAGGAAAAAGTGCCTGAAGGACATGCCTGAATAAAAAGGTGCAGATTACAAAGACACTGCCACTTACTTTGCCCTTCCCTGTTGAAGCGCTGTAGCTAGCTTTTCCGGGATCTTCGCGGGCGAGTTGGCGAGCTCGCGCACCAACTGCCAGTACGTGCTCGCCAAAAGGAAAATGAATACCACATTGATGAGGAGGAACAAGAAGTATCTTTCAAAGTCTCAGAAAGTGGATTTTCTGGCAAGTGGAATGAACTGACTTCCGCATCAGAGAGTATTCGATCAAGCTTCGTGCTCTGTACCCCTGAATATAGGTCAAAGCTAGTAATGCCAATCATAAGCTGCGCCAAATGTCTAGTAGGACAACACACCTTCAAGGATAAAAGGCAGAAGTGCGTTCAGCGTAACCATGGCGACAGATGGTAATGAATTCTGTACGATGGCACGTATTTTGTCGTTGCGATCGATGAGTCTTCCAAGCCAAGGCATTATTTTCTTGATCTCCTTGTAACTCAGCAGACTCGCAAGCGCGGTGATCGGGAATATCCAGAAGAATAGCAGTAGTAATACACAACCCATTACAAACACCTCACGAGCCAAGAGGTTTCCTGGAGTGTGAGTAATGTTCGACCAAACGATGTCTCGCGGTTCAGGGGCTGGGCTGGTTTTCACTTCCCCTGGGTCACATGAATGCGCCGCTTGCACAGCAATTTGCTATAGAGCAATTAGCGAAGGGCTATAAGCGCCAATAAACTCGACGCTTACTGCACTGGACATCTTCTCAAATGTAACGAAGGCAACTTGCGTTGCCTTCGTTTTCCCGATGCGACGCCACCTCCTGACTTTCTCGTCGGCCTCCGTAAACTTTGTCTCGAGATACTCGAGTGCATCGACTTTTCTGGAGAACCATCCTGGTCTTGTGATCGGACGCCGGCGATGTGGTACGACGAAACGCCCCTGCTGATTTTCCAGCAGTGACGGCTCTCCATCCGAGAAGTGGGGAATGACGTTCTCGGACGGGTCGTAGGATTCCACCACGCTCGGATTCCCCACGTAATTCGTCCATGCGCTCTCCAACTTCAGCAATGCTTTTGTCCTAAGGTCAAGAAGGGCTTTCAGGGTGCCGACTTCTCTGCAGACCGTCACGCTCTCAACGCTGAGCCCAATGTTTTCAAAGTACTCAGCGAGAGCCCGCTCAGACCGAAGATGGTTAGGCAGGCTAGTCACCATGACAGTCCTTCCGGGAATAGAATGAACCAGTTCGAGGGAGAACAGCTGCCGCGAGCGAATGAAGCGACGGTAGTTCCTATAAAGGAACCGCAGCGCAAGCAAAGTGAAAAGGTACGTAAAGAGAAAGTGAATCGTCAGATATGAGTTGGCATCGCTGATGAGGTCGAGCCAGTCCCGTCCAGGTGTCATAGGATCGTCTTCAAAACTGGTGGTGACTAGTCCCGGCCAATCGTTATCGTCTTCGTCAGTGCCACCTCCGATGCCGATGTTATTCTACAAGTAACATGAACCAGTGTTTCTCAGACATGCAGAGATACATACATTCCAATTAATGGGCATGATGACCGTGACAGCACATAAAGAGCAAACGGAAAAGAGGTAAAAGGAGGTCTTGAAGAAACTAAGGAGCTGTTTTGCACGTGAGTGATGTCTTAGCATACGCGTTTTGTGGCAAACTTGCCACTGCCGCGTCCAATCCAACAATTTGCAGCACAGTATACTCGGACACTTTCATAGTTGGAACAATCCATCCAAAAAACGCCTCGTGAGCATGTGCCTCGTGCGGAGAGAAGTCTGAAGGAGATTAGTTCCAACTACATACTACCTAGCAAGACCTTAACTACGCACCTTTTAGCATCGTTCTTGGTGCAAATAACAATGGCCATCGCTTGCGACAGTACGAGAAAATCAGGAAAGATGATAGTCCTATGGTGGAAGAGAGTAAGATTTGTGTCGTAAACCATGGACCCTCGAACTTGACTAGAGGTAGCAAGAGTGTGAGGTTGACAAATTTACATCTGGTTTGAACCTACATGTTGGGGGCGACCCTGGCGGTAATTCTGGCTCTTCGTCGCCCATCGCACGGACCAGGATGGACTGGATGACATCCATGAGGTTGAGTGAGAGGTGGTGCACGTGCCGGTAAAGCCCAACGACGAAGCAAAGCCGGATTCCCATAAATGGGTGTTTGGCAAAGGCCCTGGAACCAAACAACCGCTCCGACTTTTTAAGTTACGTCATGATATAGCACAGAAAATATAAACCAGTGATATATATATAGTAAGTAATTCTACAAACATTAAATCTCATCTCGTAAAAGGCAAACTGCTCTGGCGCCGTGGGCGACGTCGCACACGAAAACCGTCATGGCCGCATAATTCGGAGATTTTTTCGCAAACGTCGATTTTTGACTGGTAGCGGCGATCACGGTATGAGTCTCCGGGAAGAGTACATATACAAGCATGGGCATCAAACCGGATCCCAAGGCTCTCCACAGTTTTCCCATTCCTCTTCCACCATTCACCTGCTTCCGACAGGTCATCGACGCATGTCACAGCAAGAACGACCGGGACTTTCATCCCTGCAATCGCCGCAGCAAAGGTTTCGTAACTGTGGCGCAGTGCTCTGGTGGCCCTTGACCCACGCACACAGTATACTAGAAGATGCAGACCATCTTCTTCAGATATCTTCCTCAAGAAATATTTCAACTTTTTGGCAGGGAGCCAAGTCCGTTGGTATTGGTCCATGACTTCCCTCCCCGAGACCCACTGTATCGTGCAGAGTGTACCTCTGGCCACGTATATCGATCTCGTAGGCATGCTCTTCAGTGGTGCAGGGAAGTGCATCTGGGGATGTGGGGGCGATATCCTTGCCTGCAATCAGATTGATCAAGGAGCTTTTACCGACTCCAGTCTTCTCCGAAAATTACGATGTTTCTGCCAGTTACTGGACGACTCTGCTCGATTATGATCACTTAGAACGATCCATCGTACATCGCAGACGCACCTCAGATCTTGGCTCAAGATTGTCATCGAACTGAACAGGGTCTACACTACGAGAGCGAGCCCGATTGGTCCACCAGGTTTCACTGGACCGGTCAAGATATCGTTCAGACATGACTTGAAACACGAACTGTCATTTTTGATATCCAGAATCTCGGAGCGAAATGAGCTTACCTTATTGTCAGCACCAAATGGTTCAGGGATAGATCGAGCGGGGGGGTGGGACAGATGAAGGGTTTTATAGATAATCAGGGAATCTCCGTACAGATCTTGCATGTGGCGGCGCACCACAAACTCCTAACATGAGACAGACGTATCAGGTGACTTGAAGATCATGAGTTGGCTTCTTGGTTCAGATATGGATGGAAGCAGTGCCACCCATGAAGCGCGGGCCGCGATACAAGGTTCAGAGGTAGTCTCCCATAGGCAGACCAAATAGAAGGAATATGGTCGCCCCAGCTATCACTGTGGTCGAGGGTCAAGGGGCTTAACTGATTCTTCATCGTTACTATCCGGTATAGTGCTGAAGAAGGATCGGTAAAACCCCAGGATTAAGAAACTGGGAACCAAAAGGACAAAAAGCCGCTCGTAGTTTAATGCAACAGTATTACTATGTACAAAAGCAACACCGTCGCACTATTGTTGAACGGGAATGATGGAAGTGCACCGCAAAGTTCAAAATTTCGGACTCGTCCGTTTTTGGAAGAGGTTGTTTGCCAAAACCTTCCAAACATAACAAAACCTACTCATGCTTAGTGACTTCAGTCTTTCATGAGTCTTCATGCACATGTTCCGCTTTCTGTGCCGCTCCCATAGTCCATTAAAACCCTACCAACGTTTCTTTTCTAGCACCCGTCCATACCTCGCAGACGCTCATCCTGCTTCCTCCAATGTCATCCACCAAATCGAACAAGACGGTGCTCGCATCCTTCAGGCTGTAAAGAAGCGCGTCAAACTCAGGGATGAATTGCTAGCAAATGTAAGACCACCACTATCAACACCAGTCCAAAATACTAACTCAATATTCATCAGATGTCCGAGGATATGTCCTCTCCAGAGGACATAACACGCGCACGTCAACTCAAAGAATTAGAACCCTTGCACGAAGCATGGTCAAACTGGACACACGCTCGTCAGGTTTGTAATATTACATCCCATCGCTGTTAGCCCTGGCTCAATGCTACCACAGTAGTCCTTGGAAGAAACACTACCCCTCATACAAGATCCAGACCCAGCCATGCGCACCCTAGCATCGGAAGAATTCACCTCCCTCACTCATACCCTATCCACCCACATATCTACAACGTTTCCCTCTCTTCTCGTTCCTCCATCGTCTACGCGCGACTTACATGCTCTACTGGAATTGAAAGCCGGCGTTGGTGGATCTGAAGCAGCTCTGTTCCTGTTGGACCTCCTGCGGGTCTACGTTCGGTACGCCGGTTCAGTCGGGTGGCGAACAAGTATCATACAGAGCAGCGAAACCGAAAGCGGAGGGATGCGCGATGCTATCCTCGAGATTAAAGGTGAAGGGGCTTATGATGCACTGAGGTGGGAGAGCGGTGTACATCGTGTGCAGCGCGTCCCCGCAACGGAGTCGAGTGGACGGACTCATACGAGTACCGTTGCAGTGATAGTGAGTATCTAGTAAAATTGATTGGGTTATGGGTGACCTAACCCCTTCCAGGTTTTGCCGCTAAGCGAAGATGCTGAGAGCATGAGTGGGAATGATGAACTCTTCAAAATGGAGGATGTGAAGATCGAGGTAATGCGTGCACGCGGCGCAGGTGGACAGGTGAGCCTTTTGATTTCATGCAGAGTAATAGACTTTGACCATTGTCTTCAGCACGTCAACAAAACAGAGTCTGCAGTCCGTCTTACTCATACACCCACCGGTATCACTGTTTCCATGCAAGACGAACGCAGTCAGCATCAGGTAACCTGCACTCATTTTGTCGTTAAGGTACATCTAACATATAATTTGAACAGAACAAGCGTCGTGCTTTCCAAGTCCTTCGCGCTCGCCTAATGGATGTAAAACTTTCACAAGACATTGCAAGCCGCCGAGCTACTCGCCGGAATCTGGTGCGCACCGCGGACCGCAGCGAGAAGATTCGAACGTACAATTATGCGCAAGATCGCGTGACAGATCATCGAATCGGTCTCTCCCTCATGAACCTCACTAGCTTCCTGGAAGGTGATGGCGTGCAAGATTTCCTGGATGCCTTGCGCCGAAACTGGCAAGAAGAAATCATGGAGGATGTTGTTGGAGAGTCTGAATAAAACATGGCACCTGTCGTCTCTTATCATCGCAAGCACCCCTTCATTATCTTTCTGCTTAAATAGAAAACATAATTTAACCACGTCCGAAATATACGCAGTCCTACAAGGTATCACATTCCGATAAAAATAGCGTATCATAACGCACCTCTAGAACCCAAATCCAAACTGTCTAGACAAGACCCTCGTCCCGGTTATGATTTACATCACTCGACATCCTACAGAAAACCCAAGCTCCTCAATCTCCTCCCTTGCTGCCTCGCGCTCATTAGTACTCAGCTTCGCACGCGACTCCAGGGGGAACCAGTCAGCCATAAAGTTCAAGAGAGCATAATCAACGTTAGCTATGAAAACGTAAGCCACCCAAAAGCACAATGAGGGGCAAGCGAAGGACTCACTATGGTCGGCCTTTAGCACCGTAGGGGCCCTGCAAATAGGGCAATTCGCTTTCCCGAGCTTTTGAAGCTTTACTAGACATCTATGACGAACCAAGTCAGTCGATTTGGTCGTAACAATCAGTCTGAGAATAGCCATGCAATCACCTTACGCAAAATAAATGACCACAACCAAGTCTGATTGGCTTGAACGCGAGACTGGTACAGATAAGACACGAATAATCGTCGACGTGAGGCACAATTGGAAGTAGAGTTTCGCCAATAGCTTGCACGAGAAGTCGAGACAAAGGTGTTGAAGGTTGAGGGAACAAAGCCAACTCCGCCGACGGTGGAGGCGCCGGCAATGGTCCGTTCCAAAGTGAAAGAAGATGGGAAGGAAGGGGTAATGCGGTCCGCTTCGTATGCTTCTTTAGAATCTTGCGTGTCGCCTCGGCATTCGCGAATTGGAACTGCACGGCAGAAAATAAATATTGATACCAACTGACAGCAAAAAATACGCTCACCCTCTTCAAATCCAAGATAAAAAAGTTCATCCGCATGAAAATATCCAGCGCGTCCTTGCTTCCAGCCAGCTTGAGCTTGCTTCTCTTCTCCTGCATGCGTGCTTCGAACCGCTTCATCCGAGTCTCTGTTCCTCGATACTGCGTTCCCCACGAGTTCTCTCCCCGAAACTCTCAAAGATTTCACCTTCAACATACATCTGGAATATCTCCCTCCATGAGTATAGATCCGTATTTCGACTGCCAGAGCGGGGTCGTAATGTAGCAGCATTACTGACGGCCATTGAATAAGCCGAAAAGGAACGAGGTGCTGACGAGGAGGTGGGACGTGCTGTCGTACTAATAGCATACGCCAGACTTTGTAGCGTGGATGTGAAACCGCCATGCACAGTATTAAGGTGTTCAGCGAGTGATGCAAGGGCGGTGTTCAATAGCTGAAAGAACGCGGTATCAGACTGTAATGGTATGATAAGATCGTGGGTGCTGGGTTCTAAGGTATCAACGGGAGAACATTGAAAAACACATCGGACGTACTTCTTGGATGAGTAGCAGATATCTACCAGGGCCGTATTGGTTTCTAGAGCTCGGGAATGAAGCTGAAGAGCCTCTAGGATGCTGCCCGGTGTGGTCGTGTGACTAGATGCAACATCCGTAGCGTCTGTTGGATACTTGACTGAGAGCCGGAGACGAGGTTCAATATGAGAGGATGTCCCAGTAAACTCGTAGACCACAGTGGCGTGCAGTTGGTGGTCATCCGAGTCATCGCTGTCAGAGACTCGATCACACTGCTGTCGTATTCCCTCGATCTGGGCGGTCAAACTGGCAGGATTCTGTTGTTCTAGTAATTGTTGGAGCACAATCGGACTGAGACCAAGAGAAGAGAGCTCTTGGACCAGTTGATTGATAAGTTTCTTGAGCTGTCAGATGATGGTCAATGCTACCGTTGTGCAATTAACTACCATTAGACTTACTTGGCGGTACTGTATGGCGTTTTCACGTAGCTCTGGCGGTAATGTGAGCAGCAGTTGCGAGTATGTCTTTGAGAAGTGCATTTCGTGTCAACGTGCATGATACATGCATGAATTTACTAGGAGATTAGTTATTAGTGCCTGTCATAGATCTGAATATTTGTGGCGCGCGAAAAACATTGACAAGTTGACAACACTGTGAGTTTGTGCCATTCACTGAGCTAATGACAGGCCTGGCAGCTACTAGCGCCGTGTGGGCTTGGGAATAGTTCTACCTGCGACAGCCTGAGAGGCAGACAAATAGAAAATGGACCATTCACGAATGAAAAGTAGTAGTGTAGAACCATATCATTTCATCAAGAAGTATGATACTTTCTCATATATATATATAGGCGTCATAGAAACCTTATCGTGCTGCAAGAGTAGTAGTACTGCCAGGCCTCATGCATGTAACTCTGTGGGGCATTTTGAAGGTATCACAGGTGTGGGTGGATCCGCGCGGGTAGCCTGGTGTGTACTATGTAGTACGTTGAGAACGTACTCTGGAGTCTGCACTTATGAAATTGAAAATGAAAAATTGGAGGTCATGTGACACCATTACACAACCCATTGGGAGATCTTCTCGGAGTCCTCCGAGTACTTTACCTTCTCGTGAGTCGTGAGATATAGGTCTATCGATACCGTTTCGATATCCACACGTCTGTACGCGCTCTTGCAACCTTAAATTTATTCTCAATGGGTCCTACACTAACAGGATGACATAATCTGAAACACTCAATCGCATCGTCTTATCTTTCCCCCATCTGCCAGTGGGTGTTACTGCGGACACAATGCATTTCACACATACCCCTGAGGGTACGTGAGGTTGGTTGATCCAGGTGATTCTGTCTTCCCATCTAAATGATCCCTCAAGGCCTCACTCCCAGCAATGTACCTTGCCTGGTATATATTTGATAGGTGCATTCTAGCTCTACAGTTCAATCCCGCTGGTGTGCTGAAATCACGATAGCGCATACAGACTCACATGGCCCTTGCTACACCATCCAAAACTGCCTGTGTGTCACACAGATCTTGAGGCAAAACAGGATCACAGACATGTCCCACTTGTATGTTCATGTTTAAAGTGGAACGTGCAATCTGAATCAAATCGATCAACGTCAATTCACCGCCAGTCCTCTATGTCTTACAGCCAAGGCACCATGAAAATATTTTTAGGCCTTCTTTCCTTTTAAAATCTGGACTCCCTGGCCCTGCGCTTCCGGTCACGTCCTATGCCGTCGTTCCCATCCTCAGTCAATTCTTCTACTTTGTTTGCGGATGCTGATACAGGAGGTGATGTGAATTGCAAGCATGAACTTTGTGTGCGTGTCGATGAGGCATGGCGGTCCCCTCTGGCAAAGAAATCCCAGGCCGTTACTGTCTGATTTGTCACCTTGATACAGTTGAAGCAGTCAACCTCTCTCATGATCAATCCGCGTGACTTCAGACAATCAGCGGAGAGCATTTATCATCTTTCGTTTCTCATCCGGAATGGGACATGTGCCCTCCGCGTCGCAGACAACGAAGAACCGATGGTTTGTCAGTTGCACTTCCTGTGATCTTATCCTCTGTTGAACTCGCTCAGGCCAGGCCGTGCCACCCACTCACCAAGAACATGCTAACGGCGTGAATCGCACTCAAATGATCATGGAGTTCAACATGGCCACGGGGCGATGGATGCAGCGGGAAGTCCGTCTTCAGCGTGGAGAGGACCACAAACTTCCTGGGAGAGCCTTGCTGTACGAGGTGCCTCTCTCTCTGGTGAAATGTTGCAGACAACGGGGCGCAGATACTGCTCGTGCTGGAGTGGGACCTTAGGTTTTCCACGCAAGCCGTCATCGACCGTTCACAAACAATGTGGCGTTTGGCATTGTACTGCCAGAACAGACTCTGCTGTTACAACCCCGACAACAACGCCTGCACTGCAACCCTGCCTGCGACACCTGCGCCGGGAAATCTCACGAGGATTCAGCTGCAAGAGGCACATTATTAATGAGCACTGACCGATGAGTGGTATCAAACCCGGTAGCTGAAAATACCTCTGACGGCAAGCGATCCAGGCATTATGAAGGGTCTGTGCGAGAGCTGCTCTATGGAACGAGCCCCTGCACTCACCATGTGGTCTTCTACTGGACCATTCCGCAAAACTTACAATTTCATTGCGGAGATGCCTGCCGGAGCCCCAGCGCTCGGATACACGTTCTTTCACGAACGTTCCATGCATCCAACAGTTTGATTCGCGGAATACTGAGCAGGCATTACAGCGAACTCCGACGACGTCTCTGGCAACGTGTTGGAATATGCCCAGGGGAAAAAGAACGAGATCATCGACTGCGACGAGGTGGACATACCATGGTTGGTCGAACGGTATCATGAGACAGTGAGCACAAAGTCGCGGTTGTAATTATCCACTGACAAATGCCAGGTCCGTGAAGCGGGGTAGATTCTGGGTCGAAACTAGAATAGGCTATGGAATGCGGAATGTTTGTAAACGACAACTGAGAAATGCGAGCCAATACTAGGAGTCGGGGACTTGCTGCGGCAGCGGCGATAATATTGATACAGAACATAACATTTTAAAAGTGAACGCGAAGATACTTGACTAAAAAGTCACAAACTAAGTACATCATGACGCTGGCAGATTGCTTAGAGACAACATCTTCAATGACAAGCGGTGAACAGAATATTATCCGGCGTCCTACTGGTGCTCCTGCCAGTCTTGCCTAGCAAACACTGTTTGATTCATTTCCGACGTTTTGATGAGCTATTGGAGGTGTCCGATTCGAGTGTGCTGTTGCTATTGACCGGAAACTCATCCGAAGTTCGCTTTCTGGATGTGCCAATATCTGGGAATACAGCGGTGTTGGGCCTCGGAGAGGGGAAGGGTGGCCGAAGCTTCCGTTGTTGAGTGCCGGAAAATAGGACTGATGGCTGACAACCGTTCATTAGACTGTGCATTGAAGGTTCAACCTGAGGATGAGAGTGAGTTAAAAGGGGTTTCACAAAATAAAAAACAAAGTCAAACCTGAAGCAAGGCAATAACCTTCGCAAGTTTCTGTCCCTCTGATAAGATATCAAAACAAGACCGCAGTCCCTTCAAACACCACTGCCGTTCGAGCCAGGAAAGGAGGTGATCATTCCAGAAAACCTGGAATATATGGTTGAGAGTGTCGTCCCATGGATTTGGAACACGCGACAGGTGAACAACCCAGTTTTGAGATGCATACTTGAGAGCATCGGAAGATGATTGACTTCTTTCCTGTGCCTCGTTTGCAAAAGCTATAAAGAGATTCATAGCACGGATGATCTCCCTGTCAGGAACTTCTGGCGATACAGAGGTGAAATGGTCTTGGGGTATCAACGCCAGGAACATGGGAAACATCAAGAAATCCGGTGAGCTTTTGAGCTGCTGGACTACTTCGAAGGTTGGCAGTAAAGCCAATTCTGGGGAAATGATAAAGTTGCTAATTGTTTCCAACGTGCTCGAGAATTCTTCCATGGTCGCCCATACAAACCCCGCAGGAGTGGATTGCCACGCTTGACCATGGGGCGTCTGGAGCCAGTTTCGCCCGTCCGTGGTCTGAAGCCACTCTCGTCCTCCCTCAGTTTGGAGCCACTCTCGTCCTTCGTCAGTCTGGAGCCAGTTTCGCCCGTCCGTGGTCTGAAGCCACTCTCGTCCTCCCTCAGTCTGGAGCCACTCTCGTCCTTCGTCAGTCTGGAGCCACTCTCGTCCTTCCTCGGTCTCCAGCCACTCTCGTCCTTCCTCGGTCTCCAGCCACTCTCGTCCTCCCTCGATCTGCAGCCACTCTCGTCCTCCCTCGATCTGCAGCCACTCTCGTCCTCCCTCGATCTGCAGCCACTCTCGTCCTCCTCGATCTGCAGCCACTCTCGTCCTCCCTCGGTCTGGAGCCAGTTTTCGTCCTCCCTCGATCTGGAGCCAGTTTTGTCCTCCTCGGGTTTGCAGCCACTCTCGTCCTCCCTCGGTCTGCAGCCAGTTTTGTCCTCCCCAGGTCTGCAGCCAGTTTTGTCCCCCCCAGGTCTGCAGCCACTCTGGTCCTCCCTCGGTCTGCAGCCACTTTTGTCTTCCCCAGGTCTGCAGCCAGTTTCGTCTCTCCCCAGGTTTGCAGGCCACTCTCGTCCTTCGTCGGTCTGTGGCCAGTTTCGTCCTTTCTTGGTCTGTAGCCAGTTTCGCCCTTGCTTAGTCTGCAACCACTCTCGTCCTCCCTCGCTCTGCAGCCAGTTTCGTCCTTCCTTGGTCTGCAGCCACTCTCGCCCTCCCCAGGTCTGCAGCCACTTTCGTCCTTCCTCGGTCTGCAGCCACTCTCGTCCTTCCTCGGTCGCCAGCCACTTTGGTCCTTCCTCGGTCATCAGCCACTCTCCTCCTCCCTCGGTCTGCAGCCACTCTCGTCCTCCCTCGGTCTGCAACCAGTTGCGCCCGTCCGAGGTCTGAAGCCACTCTCGTCCTCCCTCTGTCTGGAGCCACTCTCGTCCCTCCTCGGTCTGGAGCCACTCTCGTTCTGCCTCGGTCTGCAGCCACTTTTGTCTTCCCCAGGTCGGCAGCCACATTTGTCCTCCCTCGGTCTTCAGCCACTTTCGTCCTTCCTCGGTCTGCAGCCAGTTTTGTCCTTCCTCGGTCTGCAGCCAGTTTTGTCCTTTCTTGGTCTGCAGCCAGTTTTGTCCGTCCTTCTGCAGCCAGCCTTGTCCTCCCTCAGTCTGCAGCCACTTTCGTCCTTCGTCGGTCTGCAACCACTCTCGTCCTGCGTCGGTCTGCAGCCACTCTTGTCCTTCGTCGGTCTGAAGCCAGTTTCGTTCCTCCCCAGGTATGAAGCCAGCTTCGTCCTCCCCAGGTCTGAAGCCAGTTTCGTCCTCCACAGGTCTGAAGCCACTCTCGTCCTTCCTCGGTCTGCAGCCACTCTCGGCCTTCATCGGTCTGCAGCCAGTTTCGTCCTCCTCCGGTCAGCAGCCACTCTCGTCCTTCGTCGGTCTGCAGCCACTCTCGTCCTCCCTCGGTCTGGAGCCACTCTCGTCCTCCCTCGGTCTGGAGCCACTCTCGTGCTTCCTCGGTCTGCAGCCACTGATGTCCTCCCTTAGTTGCAGCCACTCTTGTCCATTAGCGGTTTGCACCCAGGCACGTCCATCCACGGTTCTCAGCCAATATTGTAAATCTGAAGTACGATCTCCCCGAAGCCAGAGCATACAGATGAGAACTGACAGTGGCTCTGGTGGTCGAACAAGGAAGGATAGCGAAAATTTTAGTCGATGGGGGTTGTCAGGTTGCATAGCCTGGCTCTGTTTCTTCAGTTCTGAGAGCGCATCGAAAAGGGCCGTGCTTTCTGGAATATTTTTCATCATCAAGCGAAAAGAGGAATCTGTGAGTAGGGAGTGGGGTGATTGCATATTGTGTTCGCGTACTTGAGAGAGGCTGCAATTTGAGGGGTCGGAAACATAGTCGCGAATGGACGAGTGATAGATGTTCGCGGGGAGAATGCTGTCTGTAGGGATATCCATGACAGATCGTAGCTGTATCAATGTTGTCTGCACATCTCTGCCCAAACCAGGGCCAAGAAGTGACGAGATTTGCGAGATGGGAAGAGGGTCTGCGAGGGCGGAGACGATGGACAAGTACATGTAAGCCCGCTTGGGGTCGGCACACGTGGAGAGGATACAATCGTATAACTTGTACACCTCCGTTCCTGGTAGCAGCTTGCTCGTGAGCTCGAGCATGAGCTGCAACCGATCGCGGGGATCTTTGTCTTCATCATCAATAATAAACTTCATCATTGTAGACGCCACGATGAAACGTCTGCCCGCTCGGCTCGCCAGCTTCGCAAGGTTAACATCCGATGGCTGCGGGAAATCGGGATGGCGACATCCCAGCTCTTCGAAGGAATGCCGCAAGAAAATACAGATATCGTTGTCGACGTCTGCGCCGTCCAACGAAATCATGCCACCCTCCCCAGAAGTTCTCACAGGTATCTCACGCACCAATGGGCGCACCTCCTCGTTCTGAAAGACTTTGCGGATATGCGATTTCGAGCGACTCGTGAGTAGAACATGTGTTACGGGTAGATCAGTCTCACGAAGAGCCCGTGCAAGGGAAAGGATAAGATCGGTAAGCTCGAGTTCGGATGTGCATTCATCAAGGGCATCGACAACAAACGTCAGAGGCGGACACTCGCGCAATCTGGATCGAAGCCACCGGAGAGGTTTGAGGAAGAGAGCCTCCATCTGGTCACAGAGAGGTGTGTCGGGGCGTAGTAGAGCAGGATTGTCGCGGATGACTCTGTTCACATCCTTCCGGATGGAAGGAAAATTGTTGGCAAGCTGGTAGGCAAGCGTTGCGAAGAAATATCCAGTCGTGCACCATTTCGTCTGCTTGCGCGAGAAAAAGAATGTTCCCGCTAGCCGCTTTTCGACATTCGTCTCCTCTGTCACTGTTAGACCTTGCATTCTCTCAGCTACGGTGAACGCGACGGCAGACTTTCCGACGCCTGCCGTGCCATGCAGCCAAACAAGTTGATTCTGCTTCTCTTCGTCCAGTATTCGGTGGATGTATTTGAGGAGATCCACTCGGGTCCCTTCCAGACACTTCGGGTGGGGTAGACGTTCAGGGGAGTTATATTGGGCACCCTGGACAGCAACTTGGGACAGCCTCGCCCAAGTTCCTTCAAACGATGGAAGAACTGTCAAAAGGTCAGAAAGTAAGAGAGGGACAAGAGTGGGAAAACCGACATTGTTCCTCACTCATTCACGAAGGTTGTGATATGCGTGATGAAATAGACAAATTGGGAGTACTAGCTGGGTGCGGTCAGAAATTATCTGGGACCTATGTGATATTTATCTCCAGGGACGACGTACGAAGATTTGAATCAAAGTGTGAATTTGTTGTCAATGGTCCCGAAGCGCGATGGAGATGGGATGGAAAACTTGCTGGATGGTGGTGGGTGATACTTGGGTGATACAGTTCAACGTTCATGAACGTTCAAGCTTCAAGGACGAGTGGGTGTTTGTCCGGTTGCAGGCCCAGGCCACGAGGTTGCTGTGCATGCTGTACACTGTATAATTATCAACTTATCAAAATTTTCCGACGGTCGATACTTGGCTGGAACTAGTAGCCCCACACCCATTGTGCCTTAATCTTCGGCACAGGAAGCCAAAGGAGTACTTATGAGTCATGACGGGACGCGCTGGACAAAAATTCTTCCACACAGAAACAGTAATAGTACTGCAAGTTCTTTCTCCAAAATAACAAATTCAGTTGTCATTGTCAATCTTCTGATGGCCGTTGTTTACATTTGGCTGGCATCAGTGCAGGACATGGGACGATTGCACATGTAAACAAAGTCGCCAGCTCCAGAGGTGCGTGTATATTGTGTTTTATGCTGTTTCACTGCTTCGCTGCGTCAACCTGCCTCATTTTCATAGACGCCTAGGACACGAGGCTGTTCACCTCAGTGCATTCATGGGTCCGATTCTTGTCTCCACAGCTTCCAGAATGTATCCCATCGCATCTGATCGCGAGCAGTTGGTGCTTCCCAGCGCTCGAATCTGACCATCTATCCCACACGATCGCTGGATATCTTTTTTTTGTGTCGAGCAAGCTACTCCAGCACATCACTATGTCACTCCTAGGTCAAACGCATGCATATAGCTTACTGCAATATCACCCTTCATCGCGTCGACTCCCAAGACCTGCTTGTGCACCGGATGCAGCAGATGTTCTCTCTTCTAGCGTCTCAAACTCGTCAGTGATTCTGTGACGGAGGAGCGCTGCGCTCTGTTCGTGATGCATCTCTACTTTGAGCTTCGCTCACTCCCGGCCCAACTGGTTTTAGTTCTCTCATTCGTCAATCCTCTCCCAAGTCCATCATCATTGGAAACCTGCACTACACAAGTAGCAGTGCAACATGGTCGCTAATCCAGTTCTATTCCTGAGCTCACGTCCGTGAAGCTCGACGTCCTAGCGGAATTAATTGTGAAGATCGGAAGTATTTCCGGCATTGTTCTCTTCTCCACTCTGATGAGAACCTCCTGGTGGGCGTCTTGGGCTCCTGCGAGATAACGACCAACTCCGTCATCTGCGCCGACAAGACCGGTACACTCACGTTTCATTGGTCTGGCAACTTAGTATCACAGAGCCCGAATCGACTTCTACGTCAAATTCTCACCAGCAATATAATTCAAAATACCGCATTCAGCTTCAGCGCTCTCGTACATTTAACCTATCTGACTCGCATCTTCAAGTTTCACGATGGGATTCGCTGGTGATATAACGTCGAGGGAAAGCGAGGAGCCGGCGATGCAGAGGAGACGATAATAAATTGAATTATTTTTGTATGAAATATCTACATGAGCCGTCCTCCTTTTTCAACGTGTCTTGATACCTCCAAGACTCCTCTCGACCAACATGTATGCGTGTTGAGCTTAACTTGAGCCGACGGACTGCATCAGCGGAATTTCCTAGATGAGTTCCTAGACTTTACCATCTCTCAGCATCTCTCACACTGCTCACCACTTAGCAAAATCCTTCTGATCTTGGTTGAAAATAATCATATCCTTTGATGGCAGTGATGGAGATGTCAAATAGTGTCCTGCTCAGTAACTGTAAGTGGATGGCACTCTAAAGGCAGACCCACTCAACTGGGGCTTATGAAGTTTGAATTTGAAGTTTGAACCGTCATGTCCCTTATAACTGCCCGGCGTGGTTCTCGAAAATAGGTATCGGCTTTTAACTTGATCGCTATTTGTGTGCTGACTTTTCTGTCAGTATCAAAGTTCAATGATCAAAGAACTACCAACAGTGCGCCAGTTCACGCTGAGAACTTTTGACACGTTGCACCGGGGACGTACAACGTGAAAGTCCACCCATCACATCCCCGTGCACCAACGCCGCCGCCAATACAGCCAACCCAAAAGAATTGTATGGAAATATAAAGTTCTTTTCTTTGAGGAAAGTTCTAACATCGTACGAAATAAGTAGGACGTTGTCCATCGCGCGCGCGTCCACCATGACATGAAAAAACCGCCAATTGCTTCATTATACAACGTTTCATACAGTTCCGCCTCCTTAACCGCCTCGACAGACATGCCACCAGCAGGTCAAGAAACCACAATTCACTGAACCCAATCTTCCGGATATCGTCGTATTACTCAACTGCGGCGTTCAGTCTGATCCAGGGACGTACTCGGTGACCGGTCGCATCCCTTATTTGATGCGGCGAACCCGGTCCATCTCATGATGGCATCTTCGGCGGGAGGACTGGAAAACCTCCGAGTCGCAGGTTTTCACCCTGATGATGTTACGAATAGTGAACGTATACTAGTGCGTCTCGAGGGCTGACTGTGGTGATCCGGAAAAAGGGGCATCTAGCGGTTCTAAGATACGGTTCAAAATTGAGTAAACATCAGTCCCTAATTTCCCAAGTAGGTTTCTGCAGTGGGCCGCATATCGGACGCAATGTGTACTTGGTCATGGTCGTGTGTCACGCTGTGCTAGTAAATTCATACAGGTTCTTGTCGCCGCTGACCAAGGCAGCAAACAATGCTTTAGACATGAACCCACCAAAGTCAATGGGGTCTCGACTCCTGACACTTCTTCAATGCCGCTGTTCTCTCCGCTCTAATTATAAGTGTTGTACGTCTTTTACTAAATTACTTATCCGAATTTGCAAGGCCTAAGGTCCCGAAAATGAGCCGAACATAACACGAACCGTGACGAACGTCGAAGACTGCCAACTTGAACAGAATAAGTAGGTCTTTGCGCAATCTATTATCTATACCGTCGACTTCAGTGCCTTGAACCGGCGCGTGCTTAAGCGCCCACACCTGCTATCAAGTGGAGAGCATTCATATCTACAAACAGCGATTATTGCTCGACGTCCAACGCCGGGTGCGCAATGAGTCACTCCTTGACGCGTGCTCTCGTCGTGTTTTCGTGCGTTTTTTTTTCGCCTCCGTTTTCTGCCCATCGTGGAGCCGAGATTATCAAAAGTACCGTCACGGTAATGGAGGATGCTTTTCATACTCAAGCAATTTGGAATATTCGATACGATAAGGTCTGTCTCATCTCAATCCAGCGATGCGTTCTAGTCCAAATGACTACTAGCATGCATGCAGATTTTCATATACTGCTCCAGATTACATTTCCGACACTCATGATCAGGGCCCAGGCTCCAAGTCACTTACATCACTCGTTGACTGCATGTGACCGACATGTGGCTCGAACAAGTTCCCGCCCGCCACTGGTACTAGCATCGGATGTCGATATTAAATGTCGGTGCAATGTGCTCAGTTCAGTCTACCTGGAAAAGTAAGCTGTGTTGTCTACTAGAAGCGCTCGTTCAAAATTGACATTTCTCTTCGCTGGGACGCTACAGTGACAGAGTTCGTTTAAGTTTGATATCTAGCCTAGGTCTACGAAGTCTTTACACGTGAGCATTCATCATGCTTTTTTCTTCTTTATTTTCTTTGCCTTCTGTAAGCGCTTTGAGTCTTCGCTGTGCTTAGATTAAGTACTAATCTGGAGCCGAGATTAGGCTTCAGCCAAGGTATAGGGTCCAAGTCATCATATCTGCACGACCCAGATATCTCAATCCGGCAAACTTCTTTGATTGTATTTCATCCGAATGACCAGTATGCATACAGTTTGTTTGTCCACGAGTTTTAGAAACGTAATCTGGGCACTGATGGGCCTCCAATGTCACTCCTTGACTAGCCGCAACAATTCTTTCTAGGCTTGCCAGTGGTACCAACATCAGTACGCGGGTGGCATGCCTTGGTTCGGCATGGCATAGACGGTCGCACTTATTCAATTTTCTCTGACTCAATGACAGTGTCTGACTTCTATCTCTATATCCAGGGTCCTAAATGAGCGCTTACTCCCACTTCGCATAGAGCGCGTGTTCTTCTGTGCTCGGTGGAAATGCATGTAGCATCCTATTTCGACGTGCCAGATTCGCGTATGATTCACGTGCAGTAAATCATTCATGCGGAGTTCCATTCGTCCCCTTTAACTGCTGTTCATTGACTTGAACTTCGCAACCCACCTGCAGATAGTTCTTGATGGCTGGACAGAAGCTTTTGTTGGTATTGATAATCCTCATCTCCACTTGCATATTCGCTCTTTGCTGGGCGTTCATGATTATAGTTTGGGATCAAGAATATGTGATTCTCCCCGACCACGTCGTCGATCTCATTACAAGATATCCTACTGTACTCACCCTCATATCCACTGTGATATCTACGATTCTGTCAGTAACCACCACAGCGTAAGTTCATATAGTTAGGTGTACGTAGCGCTTCGCTGACATCTGCAGTCCAGTCTTCTATCGTTTGCTGTCAAAAAGGCAATCAACCACTATATTACTCGACCAATATCACTGGTCGAACTTCATACTGCAATAGCTCTCACCAAACCACAACCCCTTCTTCGATGGAATCATTACAAACTCTCATTTTTTACGTTGATTTTTGTCTGCTTGGTTGCGCTCCTCAATTCAAGGTTTGAAATTATGCTCACGAGCGTCATAACTGACGTATACCCTGTCGCAGCTGGACGACATTACTATTGCCGATACCGCTTTTGTGGCCTGTGCCGATTGAGGGCAGAGAACTGTACCTCATAAGCAATGCCTTCGACGCGAAACTAGGTCTTGACGCTACTAAGTCAGGAAGTAAGGACTGTGTATCCTTATTCATCGAGTGATACCCATTGATAACCCCGTTATAGATTACCAGAATGCTCACGATATCCTCGATATTATGGCGTCAATGAGCGGGACTTCAGCCTCACGTTCAGGCTGTTGCAGGCGGAAGTGATGGTGTTTTCGCCTTCAACGGTGTCTTATATAACAGTATCCACTAGTGAGTCCTGATGTAACAGCGTACCTGGATTAGTATCTCATTCTGTTCTCAGGTGGCATCCTTCCAGTGGTTGAAGATTACGCGGGCACGTCATTGCACCCTGGTGGTATTGGTCTTGAGTACTACGGTGGAAAAGTCGCGGTCAATACATCGGTCCTCGAAGACCGGGGCCATTTCGGATTAACTAGAAATTATACAGTGACACAACGGGGTCTTTCGGCGATTATTACCTTGCAGTGATCTAAGTGACCTTGACCCAAACGAGTTTCTCGCTGAACTTTACAAGTACCAATTCGTCAACTACAACTTGGTGGCAAGGGACAGCTTCTTGTCCTCTCGGCAGTACGTCTGCACGGTCCACCTGTATCTGACGCGGCCTGATATTGTTTGTCAGCGGGTTCCGGCTATTGGTCGACGGAGGAGAATGACAGCATTGGCTTTCTCGGTATTATTGTCTGTCCCACTCCGGTATTCGTGAACAGTAATGTCACGTCATTCGGTAAGCGGGTTCGAACGTTGAGAAGTATCAATGTTGATCGTCGCTACTACCTTAGACATCCTCCTGCAGGGCATGGGACAATATAATTTCTTGGATGCAACAGTCTGCAAGGTAGGCACCATATGTGACTTCGTTCGATGCTGACCTACAGTCAGGCAATGATCTCTGTCGATCAACATCCACATCAGTCCCATCCAGTCACTCCAATACAATGTCACCGCCTTCATATCGTTCCGTAGTGAGCGAGCTGTCTAGCTCTAGTCAGACGACGTACAGTAACCCTTTGGGGCAGTTGCTGCGGCTTAGTAGATTAAACACCACGAGTTCGGTGAATGAAACCTTGGTGAGCAGCTTTTGCCACATTTAAAACTGGCAAACAAATTGTCTTACTTGTGAGTTTCACAGGCAAACTACTTCCGCGGCATTGTAGAGTTTTCTGCCACAGTGAGTGAACGATCTCGTCTTACCCATCACTCTCAAACGGGGGCTGACATACTGTAGTACCTTCGTTGTGCCTACTCTGCGGAAGGTGCCAGTACGAATTCAACGATGCAGGACTTGTATTCGAACGCGGATGCTTTCATACCCCTGAATGGAACAATGTATATCTTCACCTACGGCTGGGACAGAAAACGCCCTACATATATCTATATTCTCTGCGTCTTCGTGTTCATCTGGACGGTCACTGTTTCAGCTGCGGTGTACAGTCTGATTCAGGAACGTACTCACCCACGCACTGGTCCCATCTTTGATGCATCGAACCCAGTCCATCTGATGATGGCGGCTTCGGCGGGTGGACTAGAAACTCTCGCAGGATTTGAAGATAACGGAGCTTTGGCGAATGAACGTGCACGAGTGCGTCTTCTAGATGGTCGAGGTGTGGCACCTGATGATGCAGTGGGAGAGAATACGTCCGCTCGGTCTACTAGATCGACAATGCCGCGGTTCGAGATTGTACCGTAGTTGAGCAGCCTACGGCTGGGCTCCTCGGTATAGCGTGACGTGCTATGAAATCTTTCATGTGTCTTACTACTTACTACCACATGGTGATCTGTACGGCTTGACCCGCCCTAAGCACACTACCGATGGTTTGGAGTCTGAAATCACCTGAAAGTACAGTACTTGTCACTTTAAAGTCTCGTTTTTGCCAACTTTTGTTTGTTCCTTTGTTTTTATGTGTGGCTTCACGCTTCTCAGTCTTAGGGTTTGGGGAATTAGAGATCCCACACTGGTTAACCGGCACCAAATTGACTCAAATTGACACATGGCCTTTTGATGCTGATTTGCGCTACTTTGCAGGTAAAAATGCTCTAATTTACACCGCCTATGACCATTCCTGCTCGCGCGTCCGCGTCATCCATCGGTATCGGTCCTCGGACGAAGGTTGCAGCTTGGTCAGCCGTCACCTTTCGTTGCCGACGAACCTCCACGACAGCCGTGGGTTGCACAGGGTGGTCTGACAGAGTATAGGGTTCAGGGAATTTGGGGTGGCTAATTTGCCCTGCTAATTTGCCTTGCTAATTTTACCGTGATGACAGGGTGAATTTCAGACCCTCGAAAACCAGGTGTCAATTTGGGTGAATTTGGAATCAAGTTATACTCCGTCGTCCCAGTGTCGATGACCGACGAGAGACAGTTTCAACAATTACGTGGCTTAACAGTCCCACTCGGAGCAGACAAGACATCTCAACATTAAAAAGAACATATACAGATTCGTCAGTGGCACCGCTGGAAAGCTGATGTGAGTGAAGTTTCAGTTGGCTGGACTCCCAACATACTCATACTGTTAATCAGCCATTAGCACCGACGGTCGCTCCTTCTGTCAATGGCGAGATATGTATGCAACCATCCATGTAACTGAGACACCGCCTGTCGTCCCGCCGCCTGCTCGAACCACCTACCATGACCACGGACATCATTTCGAGCTTGACCGACGAACATCAAGGCAGATGTTCAGACTCGGATGATGAAGATGGAGATTGGCTTGATAATGGTGATATTGCGGACCATGTGGGTTTAGCTGGCGTGAAAAGCACTGAGTTCGACGTGGGTAAAGATATTAACATATCATCCACGTACCTCCTCGATATTTTGTCGGACCACGCTCTACAGCCCACGGCTGCTTGCGGAGGTCTGTCGACACCAAAGGTGATGGCTGCCACAACTTCATCCTCGACACCGATGGATGACGACGAGTGGGAGGAATGGTGATTGGCGGCTTTGTTGTAGATTACGGTCAATTAGACCAAATTTACCTGCAAATTAGCGCAAATCAGCGTCAAAGAGCTATGAGTCAATTTGAGTGAATTTGCTGTCATTTACACCGGTCAATTAGGTCTTCGCAGAGGGTCGTGCTAATTAGCCGGTCAACCAGAGCGGGATCCCTAATTCCCCGAGCCCTACAGAGTATCGAGGAGGTCCGTGGATGATATGTCAATATATATGTTTGACCACATCGAGGCCCTCACCTGAGGCGGAACAGTTCCCCCAACTAGGTACGTAGGCTTTAACACAAGATACTACAGCATCTTCCGTGAACTTTCCTCTAGGATATGCTATGCTCTGACTCCCCGTGACACAGCACCTCGCACTCCATCCATACGGACAACCCAGATGGGCAATATAGTGATGACCGGTTGACCAGGAAGCAGACTCATTGCCTTTGGGCTTTCACTCACTGGCCTCACGAATCATTGCCATTAATTCAATGCTACTCTTTCTCTCTAGCTCCTCGCACCCCACCCGTTATTTCCCTGACACTTTATTCGTTTTCACAAACATGATTTCCCCATTCGCTCGAGTCAAGTCCAGATGGGTCATGGCAGATGTCACGGTGGTTGTGTCCTGCGAATCAGAGCCGCTGTGTTATCAACAGTCTGAGCTCCTACTCATCAGCCACTTCTTCTCATTCCTTCGTGCTCAGATAGGATGGTAGATCTTGAATGGATTTGATGATTGTGAAATCCTTGGAGGCTATCAGCCATCTGAGCTCAGACACACTGCTTTTACTTTCCTGCTTCACAGAACTTTCACATCGCGCTCCACATGTTCGACCCAGATGGATTATAGCACAGTTTTTTGTGCTCAGAAAAATGGTGCCTTCAAGTGATATTTTGTCAGGTGCGCTTCATTCCTGCTCAGCACATCACATATCCTTGCCATGCGCATCCGTGATAGAGGAAAACACTCGAGCTGTAAGTTTTTTGAAAACCATCGTACTCCGTACCCTATCATGCTCGAGTACAGACGATTGTCGTCGACGACATGACTATCTGACAGTGGTCGGCGATGGGTTGGTTCAATCAGATGATCGACGTCCAATCAGTTGACTAGTGGTCTCTCAGACATCGACACCCTGCTTCTATCTTTCATGCATGATCCAGCACTCCTTCTCTGCGGCCCGGATGGATGATGAAGGTGGCCAGGTGTTCTCGCTGATCTGACACAGTATCAGTCATCTGGGGTTTCACGACTCCCTCTCGCTTCTTCTTTTGCTTTGCTCAGGCACATGATAGATAGAGTCAGTGGGATCTGATCAAAGTATGTATATCAGAATATCGTGGTCGGCGCCTTACTGACACTTTCCCAGGTGCGCCTCATGCCTTCCGACTTGAAGCCCTGGTTCTCTGCTCTGCTCCCCTCTCAGCACTTCTCATCTACTTGCAACGCGCATTCATTCGTGACAGAGGCATATACTCACATCGTAAGTCCCTGTTACAAACCATCATGCTCGATATCGTCGAATCATGCTTGAACAGACGTCAATCAGCGACATCATACCAGTAGCACCCACAACAAGAATGGACCTGAATATCCGATGATTTGACATGGCGCCCGATCACAATAGTCCCTCCCAATAGTTGCGGAGGACAACGACAGCCGACTTTCACCCCTCACGCACGACTCATTATTGCTTGCTTGCTGTCAAGATGGGGTGGGTATGCATCTGGCCCGTTCTGCTTTTATCCACGACCCTCGGTCATTGAGCAGAAATGGCTTGATCGACTCACAGGCATCAACGAAGGTAGACAACGTAGATAAGGACCATCAGCGACGAGTCCATTCAGCGACTATTTAATGGCTTCCCAGGCACGCCTTGAGCCAACCATGTAAGTTCAAAGCCGAACTCTGTCGTATCGCGTCAGCTGAGAATTCATTCGATTTAGATAAACTCGATTAGATCAAACAAAAGCCAGCCGCAAAATCATCGAAAGGTATCAAAGGAAGTGCTTGAAGGCGGATGCACCCCGAGACTGGTGGTGGTTCTCAATTGCAGTTGCAATGGAAGGTCTTCATTTGTTCAAGCTTCTCAGGATCTTCCTTCATCTATAAAGGGCTGTATGGAAGACTAAAGCTTCGCGCTGAGCAGCTTTCTCATTATCTTCACACGTTCCTTCTTCTTTCCGAGGCACATCACTTCCAGGAAGTAGATAGATTTAGGAGGCACTAATGGGCGCTTGATCATTCATTGCGCGCAAATGAGTGCCCTTCTAAGGACCATGAGGTGCACCGCGGTGACCAGTGTATACTTGCTCCGGTGCTGAATCTGGCTCCGACTGATAAAAGCCTCCCACACTTACCTACAGACGAACGGATATTAGGCAAAGCGCATTCCCGGATATCCTCATCACACCGACGGCAACGGCGAATGTAAATGGTCATTACTAGGGCAAGCCCTATAAGACCGCGATCTATTCCCTCGAGTGTAAGAGGAATTACCAGAATTACCACATGTGAAGAATTCAAGGTAATAAAGTGCAGAGATGAAGTTACTATGTTGGGTATACCACCACCAAGGGTAGCTCTGGTTGTGAAAAACAAGGCGATATAAAGTTCAAAATGGAAAAAAGGGAATAAGGTGACCAAAGCGACGACGCGACCAGCCTGTCATCGCAGTTGATCACAGTTGGCAATCCGTGCGGCATGCACTCAAGTGCAGCAGGATGGTGGAGGTCAAGGAATTTACTCGTCACACCAAGGGAGGTCGCCGTCGGGGTTGGCAGGGGTAGCGGTTGGGGGAATAGACGTAGCGGGGGTGGTTCCTGCGGGAGCAGGAGGGACTTGGACAGTGTTCGCTGTACACAATACCTAAACGAGACCTTTAGAGACTGCGATGAAGCTGGGAAATATTTGAAGTACCTCTCCAATGTAAATATTGGTACAATAATCATTGATCTGCGGGTTGTTTTCATAGAGGATGGTGGTGTTGATGCCTGCGGCGGAGGAGATAATGTCGCAATCATCGTTTTGCTGGACTACATAAGTGGTCGTGCAGTCCTGTCCCTGCCATCCAAGGCAGTAGCTCTGGCCAACGACGAGGTTGTCGCATGCATCGTCGATGATTCCGACGTTGACGACAGCAAGCTGGTAGCTGCAGGAAGAAAATTATCAGCAGGGGACTTTTCAACAAAGACTGGGACTTGGCGTACGTGGAAACATTGTTGGCTGCCGAGATACTGTCACAGATATCGCCAGCCTGAGCAGTGTAAGAGCGAGTACAGGTGTCCGCAGAAACAACTACAAAACGACAAAACAAAAAAATTCGCGTGATGAACCAACCGCAAAGACGCAGTGAAAAAATAAAATACTAACATTGTGCCACGAAGGGCAAGGCGAGGATAGCGGCAATTGCTTTAGTGAACATTGTGTTTGAAAGAATGAGTGAACGATTGAAGAAATGAGTGTGCAATCAAGGAAAGACGAGGTCGGTGGCGAGCTCAAGGTGAAGAGACGTGAGATGAAAAAGGCGGAGCAACTTGAGAATGAGTTCAAACTTGATTGTAATCCATATGGTTTCTATACTTGGATCAACGGGACCAATGCATGGCAACCGTTCCCTATGATTCCAATATGGATCGGTTTCATCATGATCTGTCAAAGTAATTATCATTAAAAGAGCGCTGCGGGCATATACCGCATATCTATCATACATGTTCTGGATTGTGATCATCGGACGTACTGCCTTATGTCTGAACATAGCCTTTAATGTTTTTGAAGACTTCCACAATATAGAAGAGTACAGAGTCGTAAGGCTCTCGAGAACAATAATTAAAATTATTCAAACAATACCGCATGTCTCAGGCTCTCAGGGCTATGCCCCGGCCCCCGTTACCGCCAGCTGTCAGGCCTTCAGGGCCGACCGGATTTCGCCGATACTCCAGTCGACTCCTGCGTTATAATCCACAAATCTTGTGTGCAAGCAGACGGACTGTCTCAGATCTTTCTTCCTTCTTCTATAAGTCTGGCTAGACTCATCAGCTTGATGGTGGAAACAAGTGGTGGATGTGGATATACGCCATCTACCGACTCTCACGCCAGCCGACGACAGGCCGTGGATCATCTTGATTAACGAGGCAATAGATATTTGGCGAAGAAATGAACGCGGAACTTGAAGATACATAAAAAAACGTAGGTCACTCTTTATCGCCATCAACCGCCCGAACCTCTCCCGGTCGAATGTCCCCTGGCCCAGGCCCGCCGAAGCCGAATACACTACTGAGCGACGCTCTTAGCGCATCATATGCAGCCTGATGCGGCGCTGGATGTATGGAGTTGATGGTATGCGTCTGTATCAGCCCAGAAATAGGCGAAAAGCTGTATGTCGAGTCTCTACTTGATCATGATCAGCAAGAATCAGGGCAAATGGTAAAGATCCTGACATCTGCCATTGCCCAACGCCACCGCTGACGCGTGTCGTGCCATACACATCCAGGCCAATGAGGAGACTCTTGTCTCGCTGGTAATTCGAGTGACTTCCGCCTTCTGAATGCGCGGACGGCGATCCCTGCACCGCCACCTTGCGTAGCTCTACCCGAAGGTCTGAGTACAATGTTCTCATTGTGTGTCGGATAAAGACAGATGAAGCCAGGTACAGCGGCAGCCCTAAAGAAAGATATCGTTATTTTTAATGACAGGAACGTAATATAGGCACATTACTAACCGTCCAGGCCAAGTGTTCTTGGAAATGGCGAAGGAAGGGCAACAGGGGGTGTGTACGTCAACCTCACTTTGGGACTGTAAATGCTTTCCACCTCCAGCGAATCCGATTCTCTGGAATCAATATCAATGAGAGCCGGCGTCTTTGTGGGGTCTATGCTTGAGACAAGGCCAACATCGAAGAAATCAGGAAGCGTTTGCTGTAGGATATAGATAGCGCGGCCTATGCAATAACGAAGAATCAAAAGGAACGGTGATTAAAGGGAGATCTGATTGTAGCATCAGTGTGTCTCGACTCTCCCAGGGGCAGCATGCCAGACTGACCTGTCCGGATTTGCCATTCACTGTCGGATATATCTTCAGAACCGCCGTATCCTCCTTTATTTGGCGTAAACATGGGAGGACTAGGGCCCTCAGAAAAGAAGAGATCATAGCGCTCGTTTGTTGGTTGGACGGCAAGGGACGGAGAAGCCTTAGGAGTTGCGGTTGACAACCGTCGTGAATGTGTAGACAGATATTTAGGAAATGAAGGAAAGCGATTTTGTGAGATCAGTGAACTTGACAATAATTTCGAGCAATTGTGGAGACCATGCCGCATCATGGTGGAGGTACTTGATGCAACGCGTAGACGCATTCGACAAAGTGCCGAGTTGTTTGGCAGCATCAGGAATAAACACCGCCACGTGTTTCCTTTTTGATCATGGTCAAAACCTTCCTGTTAACGAAAAATTTGCAACGCACTATCAAACCTCCTCGAGATAACCTTGCACAATGAGGTGTTCGATATCAGCCCTCCTAACCATGAATCTCTGCCCCTTCTGAAAATCGATGGTCCCAAGCTCTGTCTGTATGATCCCACAATCCCTGATAACGTGAACTAGCACGTGCAAGTCTTTGGGCGGATGGGTGATACTGGCTGTGATATCGAGCTCGTTGGAAAAACCAGCACGATAATCCATCACAGACGTGCTGTACTGGCGAAGGAAGTCGACTTCATGAGGAGAGAGTTTGCCGCGAATATCCTGATTGCTCAGGATGTGTGGTAAAGCGCCTCCAGAGGTCCAATACATATCGCGCAGCCTATCCAGACGGTGCTTGTGATATGCTAGGAGACATCTCTTGTTTCGTACGATGGTTGTTTGATATATGAGCATCGCTGGAGTGACGTTCTGATTGGTTTCGGTCATTTTTTCGAGATCGCGTTGTTCCCGGATGATGGATCGGACAAGATTGTCATTGTACTTGAGAAGAGTGTCTGTTAGGGTCGATCTACGAGATTCCACGATGAGCTGGGTGGCAAGATCACCGAACTGACGCGTGTCTGTCATGGTGAAGGTCGAAGATACACGGATGTCACAGTGTGACAAATGTGTGACTGTACGCGTCGATTTGTCACCTTTACTTATCAGTTGCCACTTTCAGCCACAGCCTTTACTTTCGACCATCATGTCTAGTCAGGACTCTCAGGACATCGAGACTGCAACCACTGCAATAGAGTATGATCTCTTTAGCAAACTAAGACTTGTCGGCTGATCAGACATAGGTCTGCGCCAGACACCAAAACACGAAGATATGATCGTCAGCTCCGGTAAGATTACTTCAGGAGAACTATACAAATGAGGCCCAATTAACATTTGCGAACAAGCCTGTGGGCAGCAACTGGACAGAGTGCATTAGAGTCTTCTCGTGTACTGTTGATATCTGGATCCGCCACTTCGACTTCAATCTTGAAGAACCTTGTTCTTCCTGGCATCGGGCACTTCACTATCCTTGATGACGCCAAGGTGTCACACTCTGATGCCGGAAATAACTTCTTCTTAGAAGGATTCAATAGTATTGGAAAATCTAGAGCAGAGGAGGCTGTCCGGCTTCTGAGCGAGCTAAATGACAGCGTTGAAGGTTGCGCAGACACTAGAACTCTCTGGAGCATCCTCGAGTCGCACCCCGAGTGGATCACTTCGTTCACCATCATCATTGCCCATAACCTAGATCATACACTCTTGAACAAGCTCTCTGCACTCCTTTGGAAAGATGCGAAATACCCGCCTCTTGTGGTCGTCCGGTCAGCTGGATTCTTGGCAGATTTCAACATTCAATTTCATGAACACACGAGTACGTACGGATCTGTGTTCTTGAATATGCTTATGACTTTTTCAAGTCATCGAGAGTCACTCGGAAATATCTCCTTCTCTTCGCATCGACAAACCATTCCCGGCTTTGAGAGAACACGCGCTGTCGCTGGAGTTTGATAAGATGGATTCTACAGAGCACGGACACATACCATACGTGGTGATTTTGGTTCGTGCGCTTGAGGATTGGAAGAAATCTGTAAGTTTGATCCTTGTTCGGGTGGAATGCATGTTCATGAGGGATCATACAGCATGGTGGTAGTCTACCGAAATCATACGAAGAACGACAACAGTTCAAGAAGGGCGTCCTCGCGCTGAAGGTGAAAGGGGACGAAGAAAACTTTGACGAAGCAGAGGCACAGGCATACAGATGTTGGACGGAAACCAAGGTTTTTGTGGTTCCATCTACTTCGAGTTTTGGCATAACTGTTCCGTTAGGTTCCTTCGGAAATAACGGCCCTTTTTAGTGACCCTACGCTATCTACTGAAGCCTTGGACAGCAATCAGTCGCCTTTCTTCCATCTTCTTGCTGCCCTGAAGGAGTATACGGAACAATGCGACACACACACGCTCCCTCTTACATCAACCCTACCGGATATGAAGTCTGACACCCATAACTACATACATCTGCAGCGACTTTACAAAACGAGGGCGGAGGAAGAAAAACAGGCTTTCAAGAGCTATCTCCGAGTACCAGTTGACGACGCCATGGTTGATTCATTTGTCAAGAATGCGCATGCGCTGGTCGTTCTTAGAGGCAAACCTTGGGGTACATTCGATGAAGACAAAGCTGCTCTAGGTAACACTTTGGGATCTTGCATTGGCTCAGACTGCTTACTTTCGTCTGTTGCGTTAGTGGAGTCGTTATCCACGATGCCGAAGGAGACATGCATACATCTAGCCCTCTCTGCGCTTTCGTTGCTGCAAGTGGGCGACACCTCGGTGTCACCATCGGCAGAGTCCATTCGCGCAAAGATTCAGTCCATTGTCGGACAGTCCACTGAGCTTCCTGATGAGGTTGACGATGCCATCGGTGAGATGTGAGTAGGGCTGTATCTTGGTTTAAAGCTATGGCTTATGTCACTATGTTAGTGCTCGAGCACCTTTTTCCGAGCTGCCTAACACTGCAGCTTTCCTTGGCGGTATGGTTGCTCAAGAGGTGATCAAGATGATCACTAAGCAATATGTGCCTGTGAGGGGTTACTGTGTAATCGACTTGATTGAGACATGGACAGGAACTATCGGTGTTTGAGACATCTATGTAATAACACTTGTGTAAACCGTCCACGGACAATACTTTCCATCGAGGATATCAAAGTTTGGCTTTTTCGCCGGTTTCGAATGATTTCCGCGGCTTTGTGAGCCAGCATAGAAAGATCTCAGAGCAAGTCGCAAGATCATCGTTGACGGCTTACCCATAAAGCGTGGCTTGTGGATGAGTTCCCAAGTGCTAAGATTGCGCATATTAGTATGTTCCAAGGTGCATAACATTTCAGCCTTACGATTGGGAAGATGCTGGCGTCCTGCCTGTGAAGTACATGTTAATGAAGCTGAGCTCAGTTTGTCAAGAGAGATATACACACCACTCTTCAGGTTGCTTGTCCCATACACCTGTAGAAAATGAATTCGTGAGTTCGTCTCGCAGACAATATACTCAGGTTAACTTTGACCTTCAGTTCGTTATCGACTGACGCCATTGGCGGATCGAGGGAGCATCGAAGCCGTCCCTTTCGAAGGGTAACCTGCATAAGAAAAACTTGCACGCTTTCAAGTAGCACAACCTACCTATAGGATAGGAATGCACTGCCGACATGCGAGCGAATGTAATCCATCAGTTCCTTCATCTGACCAAGAAGGTTTAGGTTCAATGATTTCCGCAGTCAAGTCGCCCAGTGCCCCTGTCTCCATGATCTTGATTCTTGAAAGCATATTTTTACGGCCTCCAAAACATCATCATATCTCGAAGAAGATTCAATGGTCTGTCTGCGGGAAACAACTGATTCGTTTACCAATGTTCCCCAGAGAATCGAGAATTGCCAGGTCAATCTCTGGTGAATCCAACACAGACGTGGATGTTGCATGCACCTGTGGTGGAAGCATGAGTTCAAGTAGCAATTTGAAGAAAAATAAACAAACATGTCCTCGACTCCAAGCATGCTGCAGGAAGACCGATATCGTGTAATGCTTAGCTTTTTCGTTTGTGCATCCGGCGTGGGTGTAAGCTGTGGGCGATCAACACCACATCCATACAGGACGCACAAAGGACGCACAAGGGTATAAAATCACCTCTAACTGAGCAATACCATCGTTCTCCAGCCAGGCACGTTGGACGTCGTACCATTTTTTCCAGGGCGAGTTTTGGATTTGCGGTAATTTCAGGGCCTCGTCCAGGGTTGACAATATACTCTGCATCTTGTCGGGTGGGATGAAAGATGAAGATGGAATGAGTACTAGGGTAGACAGTGTGCTACTGAGCATCCCTGTTCTGGAAAGACGATATTGTTCTAGTCTTTGTTGAGCAAAGGTTTCTGAATTGAGGTCATCCGTGGTCTCGTGCGAACCTTTCAGCTCGGCTCCCATGGATACCCTGAGGTGGTCCTAAGGCAAGTATCAGGCTCTAGTGTCTTCTCAACTGGAGGTGGCACCGACCTGCAAGTTTTCGCCAACGCCAGGTAAATCAATTTTTACGGGAATGTTCAGTCTACGCAAGAGGTCGGGATTCCCGATCCCTGGTAATGTAAATTGAAAACTGAGCAGACCATCTGATACTACAGCTTGAGCGTCGCACCTGAAAGTTCTAGGAGCTGGGGGGTTTGCAGAGCACCTTACCTCATCATTTGGGTTAACATTTCAACCATTACAATAGACACTTACCAGTCGATATGATCACTTCCCGGCGCACAGGGACTTTGTAAGTCCGCCCCTCTTTATGATATTCAACTACTGTAGCTTGCAAGTCACTGCTAGAGGTTTGTCTGAAAATCACTTTAGAGGCTTGTGCACCAGTGAGTACAACGATGTTTGGTCGGTTAGAAACCCGATCATAATATGCCTGGAAGAATAATTCAGCGTCAAATATTTCAAAATGACCTTTTCTGCCCCCTTACATTTGTACTGTAACAGCGTGTATTAATTTGAGGATCAATGGACGCTATGTACGTCCAAATGCCTATAACGTCTCCGGAGGCCTGATAACAAATTCAATTACGTTCACTTTGTCAACATTCAAACGCACTTCAGATTGGTTCGTGACCACACCCAACTTATTCATGGTCTCGAAAAATGGCAGAACGAGATCATAATAGTAGCTGTATGCAGTTGTCTTGACATAGCCATACCTGGCTCGGGGATGAAGCATCAACACAGATTTGCATCCACAACACCAGTCCAACCTGCCATGATTTTTCGCAACATTATCTGCGTTGTGCGCTTTGGCGTGACGAGTTGGAGGGCTCCAAGCCTCAGCAGATTTAATTGCATCACTAATAGTATTCCAATTCCATCCTAAACGAGTGAAATCGGCAATGCATTCCGTTCCGTACTGAACGATGTACTACTGACCTTTGATGCCGAGTCTTTCGGCACAAGAGTATGAAAGTTATCAATCGAATTACATAGCCTCTGGTACTAACCATTATACTCGAGCTCGGAACCACTATGAAGGTGAAAGTCAGCATCTGATCGTACGAGCACGTAGCATGCATGCACGCACCGACAATAAGCCATATAGTTCAATGCTGATGAACCACCAAGAACTTTGCCTCTAGGGATTGGCATCTTCCGATTCTGAGCAAACGGTTGAGGTTTTGTGACGAAATTCCAGTCATATTCGGGATCTAGGCTCGAACTGTGATTCGCTGTCTTTAAAGCACACCTCCTCCAGACTCACTTCCAACTGCCTTGCCGACCATGCCTTTACCGAGAGAAATTGAAAAAAAAACCCATGAATACAAGATCAATCAGTTACTGGACCCCCTTACCGGGGACAAGAATCATCTCATCGTCCTTCCTCAGACCTGCTTCAATGACTCCTACGCGAACGCTAGTATTAGTTGAGAGGCTACAACATCCCAAAGTTAGATTTGAAGGTAAAGAAGAACAAAGATAAGTGTGTACATCGAGGCCAATGCAAGGCCAGTTGTTCCGCCCCCTGTACACATGTTATATGTATCAACAGATCGCACACAGGCATAACTTGACATACCCATGATAATATAATCAAAATCCTGTTGAGAGAAGTCTGCAGCAGACACCATCGCGTACCCAGGAGCTGGGAGGGGTAAGGGCTATCATATATACGACTCAAAATTATTGTACACCTTGAAGGAACTTAAAAATCATCCACGATATGCCGTGAATTGTACAATGTCGTTGTCAATGTCGATTTAACCTTACTACGATCATTCTCTCGTAAGTTACCTATGTGGACCCTAAACCTTTCCTGTTTTATCGAGAAGTTGGTATCAGCCTATCGTGACCGTAAATGCACTCCAAAATAGTCATTGTATCATACCCATGTGATCAGGAGGGACGAAATTTCACAAGGAGTAACCAAATTAAATCACCCATCCATACCCACCGATAGGCGATTCGAAGCACTGAAGGTGAAAAATCCATAGTCAGCAAACTCAAATGACGCACGCTTATTAATGTCATTTTACCTGCTGAACTAGCAGTTTAAACTTGATTGCGGTCAGCGCCACTAACTATCTCACCGCCTCCAGACATTGCATCAAGCTCGTGTGGACGCGATAACATTTCCGTTGAAGGCGTCGATTGATATGTGGGGAAGACCGGCACCTTTTTTACTGGAAGACTAAAAAGTATGCGGGAAGCAAGAACGCTGTGCACAACAATCTGAGGTCTAAAATGGAGGGATGAGCTTCGACGATATACATATACATGTATGATCGACCAGACTAACGTGGTTAGCATGTCGCTGAACGAGGTCTAGGGATCTACTCAGTTCGTCGAGATCAAGTCAACAAAGAAAGAACTCACAGGTAGCACCGCGATTACAAGCACATTGGCTGCAGATACCACTACAGAGATGTCAGCACAAAATTAACAACTTAATGGTGTTCATACTCATGATGCAGAACATGTAGAGCAGTCCATCACGATAGATACTCCTCATCAGCGTGCTATGAGAACCAAGATAGTGTCGATATCTCAAAAATGCGGTGGTGGACATGAGAACTAGAAGTGAATTGTAATGTAAAGGACTTTGAATTAATGATCGCCTTACCAATCTCGAAGAACAATAGGAGTCCATACGGAAGGGCACTACTGCGAGCCCCCTCTAACACGCAAGCCGGGGAGACTTAAAGAGAATGAATACTAAGACTAGGATGTGAACCTTGAGACCTCACCTTTTGGGATATCCAAATTCATAGGGGCAACACTTAGAATCACTGCCATCACCAAGATGACCTGCGCCACGCGAGTTAGTGGTGCTTAAGGGAAATAGAGATGTCATTGTACCGAACTAAAAGAGAGAAGAACGATCAGGCAAGTGTTGTTGTTGCCAGAGAAGCCGTAGATCCTGGCAATCAATAATCCTGTGTTTGAATGTAAATCCACGCTGTAATGTCGTATGAAAAAGCCAAACCTTCGGAGGCAACGATTCCCAAGAAATGGATGCCTGCAAAATGTCATTGCAAATCCGTGTAATGAAAATTGTCTGGACCAACCACTGTCAGCATCATTAAATGGCATACACTGCATTGATGTGAATCGTAGTGGGTAATTGTCGCTGCACAGATAGAAGATGTACCCACATTTTGCGTGCCCCATGTCTTGAGACCGGCTGGTCAGGAATCAGCTTTTGCATAGTAGTGCGCACTGGCGTAAGTATCTCACAGTACAAGGTCATGACTGCACCAGCGAAAGGCACATATCGCGAAACTGTGAAGGTAGTGCGAACAATTCCCCACTTCCGTCCACAGGTCCACCGGACCTACAAGAAAGATCAGTCACTAAGGTATGGGTGGCTGATTTTTTCTGACTTCAGAGTGTAACGTGACAAAGTAGTCATAAATCTGGTGATGCATTAGAATTATTATTGACGAGACTGGAACGATACAACTTACTAGGATTGCTAATGCGGCGACTAGTAAAGCCGGTTCGTAAATAACGATAAACATATTGTCATCGGCCTGACCTTACCGTTAGTGTACTTCATTGACAAGAGACATTAGAGAAGGGTTGCAGATAGAGCACGACTGGTTTACCTTGGCTAGCTGCAGACCGAAGGAATCTGAGTCTGACATATCTCGTGTGGCCCAACAGGTGAATAAATGTAGCAAGTAGTTGAAAATAAGTACTACAGTGTGCACAGCAACGTAGCCGTGTGTGACTTAGATCTACATAGCAGATTCGGCGGAGGGTGCCTTGCTCATGATGATCTGATCATGATGGTCGCACTGTGTATGTAATTGGAGCACAGGCGCCATGATCAATGGCGGAAGTAGGAGATGGAAGTAGTACACGGTTGACATCATACGGCCGAGACTATGATCATGAATTGACGAGTAGAAGTTAATTCTAACTCCGACGACCACATAACGTTAACTTGAAAGTTTAAAATATTTGGTCATTCTGTCTAAAATTGTCTTGATTTGATCCTGTCGAACACCAAGCGCCTGTGCCACTTTGCAATGCGTTGCATTCTGAGCTCCTCCATCAGCGCTCAGCGCTCAGCTACTAGCCCCTACGGGTCTAACCCGAAGATCGGTTTACATTTGAGGCACTTCGGACTCATTGCTTCGGAAACTCCAGGTCTCTCCTTGCGCCCATTCTCCAGATATGTGCGGGGAAGTAAGCTTCGATTAATGGAACCCAGGTGTGCATGGTCATTTATAGATTAGTGCGTTCGATCTTCGGTGGTACGATTGTTCTCATGTACGTTCCCGTTCTTTTTGCTGGCATTGCCTCATTGCTATCATTTGATGGCGCCCCCAATTGCTATTTCCATTACTCACGATCTATTGTTACGGCTGCATCATACAAGCGGTATACTACCGTGTCAGATATGTGCATCCTCTCTGGTGGACGCTGTACTGACATCGTAACAGTTTGCTGCGGCCTCAATCGATGTACTTCCAGAGCGAGCATCGCCATATTCAACTGTTTGTGTGGAACCGGGGTCTTGACACGGATAATACACAGGTGCTAAAGGCGATTCTCCCGCGCTAAATATTGATGGATGCCGCATTCATCAATTCCTTAGCGCGGGAGAATCCCAGTTTCGGAGTCGCGCAGTTCATTGAACGAGCTCTCAAGCAAAGGGATGCACAACCCATCAAATTACTGGTTCGTTTGTCATGGTGTTGAGCTGAATAATCACTGCAGGGCTGGTAGACGACGTTCGCACTATGAAATAAACTTTGAGAGTTGGACTATTAAGGAAAAATCATTGTCAACGTTAGCTATCACGGACTTAAGGCAGTGTGGCTTATCGCTAGATCCAATATCATTTATCTGACGTTACATACCTCACTAGCTAGTACGTCGCGTGACTCGACAATATCAATATCAGCACATGCGACACCAGTATCAATATATTGCATTGATCGTCGCGATGCCAGGAATTCCTCGACGATGCACATCATGAGTTTGGAGAGAAGGCATTTAAAGGATCAAGGCGTGCATCATCCCGCAACTGACTAAACAAACAGTGTTTCATGGTAGGAAATTGATTGTTACAATATCGGCCCGCTGAGCCTCTTTATATCCCCTGCTAAGCTTCTCGATCTTGCTGGTCCTGCTGGGCTTCTTGCTCATTCTGACGGAAATCTTTGTCCTCGCCACTAGACTTGCTCACGGGTTTCCTGGGAATCTGAGACGGCTACTCCTTGACTGTCATTTATTCAACCACCCGCTCACCATTGGGCATTGTGACAGGTCCCATCCCGCAGCGAGTGAAACCACACTCATCATTTAAGGATATCCATTCTGCGCCGGTGGAGGTCGGACTGCCAAGTGAGGCACGAACTCAGAACGTCCGGTTTATTATCAGGGAGCCTGTTGTTGATCGGGTGTCCAGCTGATTATCTTCGAACTGACTATCTTTCATACCGAGAGTCCTGTTGATGGCACAAGCTGATGAAGGGGATATGATATTCGTTGCCCACAAATTCAGTATCGGGTATTCTCTTCTGGGACACGACAAGGAGCTTGGACGAGCGTTTGAGATTGAGGGGGTAAATAAACAATAAGATATGCGAGATACTTGAGTTAGGGCTGTCATGATATGACCAGTAGCTCCTGGCGACAATATGAGGTCTTAAGTTTGGCTTGTATAGTTGACTAGGTAAGGATGGGGCTTCTCTTTGGGCTTCTGAACGCCTTGCATGAATGGAACAATTTGACTCTTCCAAAGGCGCTTTTGCAAGGCAGGTACTATCACGACAACAATCATTTAATCTCTAGGTCAATCACGTTCAGTTCCGTAATTTAAACAGTCAATTGCAGGGATGCGAAATGAAGTAAGAAAGTATGATGACGTCGTAGCAACGGTACCCCTCTACTCATAGAAAACTAGCGCCCTGAGCTCAATAGACTCCCTGAGAGGCACTCCCTGTGGTGCAGAGGGATCCTTGAACCCAGTATGTGGGGTGAATTTGGCAATGTTGTCGTCCTTAGCCGAATCGTAACTGTGACCGAAGTAAGCGCATCGTCACGGAGTAAAATATAATCAGCGAACCATTTGATCAAGACTACCTCGTCCGGTTTCATCCCTCTTTCGTACTTCCACCTATGTGTCGGGTTGAATTTGACCCCGAAAGTCTCGCCCTCACGATCCGGATAAACCAGTGTGACAGGAACGAGATCTTTCTTTACGTCGACAGTCCTATAATCACACAACGCCAATGGATGGTCGATTGCAGGGTGAGAGATAGGGTCGCCAAAGGTTGATAATCTGGAAGCGCTTTTTGACAAGCTTCTCCGCCTCGCCGGCAGGTAGATGGCGATGCACACGAGCGGTAGCCGACTCAGGAGTTTGGTCTACATGAACCTGATTAACAGGCTGACGCTTACTTTCGTCCGTTTCTGCATCTCCAGGGCGGTGGCGTCTCACCGCTAAGATCCAACCAAAATCAGATATTGCAGTATGATGTGCCCGTTTTACACGTACTGTGGTCAAAAAGGATGACTTTGCTCGCGCCCGTGATGTCCTTGAGGAGTTCAATGCTCTCTGGATAGTATTCTCTTCTAATCTCTTCGTCATTGATAAAAGTACTGTGTTTGGAGGGTTTCGTGACATATTGAAAGCCTGCAGTGTCCAAGGTGTAGTCACTTTCTTTGCCCCTGACGCTCTCAATCTCGACGGTATGCACCTCTTGCTGCCAATTACGCGGACGCAGGCCTGTCGTCGAATCGGCATTTATGTTGGTGAATGGGCGGGACCCGTCAAGGGGCGGAGCAAAGTACACGAGTTCTGCAGAGACTGTGGTCATTGTTAGCAAGAAAAATGGGAGGTAGTTTTTTTCATCTGATCAATTTGCCCCCTTATATGTTTCCACTATGACGTACCAGGCTGACAAACGCAAGCATGCTTTCCCGTTGGCGAAGGAACGATCGATTGGTCTGGATAGGGGAGACCATCTGGCCAAAATCATAACTCGTCACAGACTCCGGAACATGACTAGACCTCCAATACGTGCCCAGATCGATGTCCGTGCTCGCTCTGACTTTCGTGATGGCAATTCGATTCCGCACATGGGCCAATGGGTGGGTGCTCTTGGGTTTCGCAACTCGCCCAGACTACGGAGCGGCCTTTGCTCGTTAACTTGAAATCTTCCCGACTCAGATGAGGTCTGAGTCATCCGACCGCCATCGCTCACTTCGTTCTACCGCTTGGAGCCGACCACCGACCAATCTATCTGAAACTTGTCACCCATCGTCTGTCATAGACTCCCATAGTTATAATAATATAAGGAAGATAGTCGTTTCTTCGAGGAAGGACAATTTAGATGAGCTACTTAGACTCAGAGACTCCGATCAAATAGGTCACGTGTTTCTGACGCCGGAGTCAGTATGCTCCTTGTACATAACTCGAGCAAAACTCTACTACATAATTCTCTAGTATCACCAGCACTGTCCATCCGAGTCTTCAAGGAATCATGTATGCGTAGGTTCGTTCGCTTTCTGAATATGCACGTTCTCCATGTCTCTGAATGTTGTACTGAGTACTCATAATTCCACGACCCAACTCAGGCCTAGCTAATGATAGGGCTCGTGTCGATGCTGTCACGACATCCTCTTTGTACTCAATCCATGCCATCCGGATTCGGCAAGCGACTTTGCATTGATGGCTCCCAGTTGGACTAGTACTGTGCACCGTTCGCACCCGGAACTTGATCAAGCTCGATCCAGCCTAGCTGATTTCAACTCAAATATCATGGCAGATATGAACCATCCATGCCCGTTTCTTTTGGCAGCATCATGTCCGGCCTTTGCGATAATTATCATGCCTTTGGTGAGATCTTGTCTTCTTCTACCTTTGAGAGACACGTTTCCAGGCTTCACCGGTAGTCTCTAGAGTTGCCTATTTTCAACGTCAATGGTTGACATCATCAATAGTTATTGGTGCTGTGCATATCATAGGTATACCAGAACAGTCTCAACTGTGGTCATCAGTGTTTGGGTGCGTAGCTATTTTGACGCAGCCTTGACGCAGCCACTGACACGCCAGTACAAGCGTTCCTACATTCGATTCCCAGATCAAGTTACACGGGAGCGATAATTTGTCTTATGATGTGGCATCAGAGTTATCGCTAAATAAGGGGCCACCTATTGAACAGAGCAGGTAAAAATTTCCTATTGCTTGGTGTGGACCTTCTGAGACGGTGAGAACAACATCTGAGCATGGGTATCACGAAGTCACCACTCGAGCCACGGGCGGCTTTATCATGGGATAGTCTCGTAAAATGGAAGCGACTTTGATTGGAAAGTGTCTATATACGAGACCGACAACAGGGCGAGGGCGAGGGCACGGCTCTGAAAGTTATCTGTACTTGTCCTGTCTTGTGACCATGACAGATCTATGTGAGGCAAGCAAAGACTCGTGGAAGCTTAAAGACAGCCGAGTGGTCTGTACAGAGGCCGGGAGATAAGCTATTACATTACCTGTTCTACTTGTCAATTTGAGTTCGCAAAGAGCATCAGTCGAACGGCGCACCTGAGCGGTCATAACAGGGGATGAGGTTCCCAACACCCAGCGGTTGATCTGGATGATTTTGATTTCTTCTCTCGTTGGCATAGAAAAAGTTGAATATATATTTGATTAATTCCTGGAGGATGGTTTAGACGAATGCACTCCATATCTCAAAGCACTCATAAAAGCCAGGTTTCCAAAAGTGCGATACCGGTTCTTCTCTAGGCCATAGGAGACAAAATAAAAGGGGTCCAGGCTGGATAAATGATTTTATTACTGCCTATGGACAACTACAGTATATGGCGTCTAATGGAGACACTGTTAGAAAATCAGTTATTATGACTGATTGAAAACATACCCAAGTCACATAGATAGTTGAAGTGCCGACGCGCAGGGCGGGTTTGGCGCAGGCAGTGACGCTGCATGTGGTAGGTCTGACGCGGCAGTGACGAAGCAGTGACGCGACATTGGTGAGGTCTGACACGATTGTGACGCGGCATTCACAAGGCATTTACGCGGAATAGGTAAGTGTGGAGGTTGACATCAGTACGGAGGCTGCGAAGATGTTGGGAAGAACTTGTCGTGGTATGAGTGGTACTTGAGCCAGCCTGAATGAGGCTTGACATGACATGGTTGGGGCTTGACATGTAGTACAGACTGCATCAGACTTGACAAGGTGGGGTCGAAGCTTGATACAGTGAGACATTCCCGACTGAAAACCAACATTAGATCAATGAATGAACGATTAGAGGCAATACAATACAAACACAAGATACACAGCATCAGGGAAATTCTCGAAGTAACTGGGACTGGAGTTACCTAGGAAATCTTGCATGATTTCACCGAAATTACGAGCAATTGTCAAAAATTACCTTGATTTTGTGAAGGAGGTTTTCCCTCGTTCCCAAGTAGTACGAACGCGGAGGACAAGCATTATTGTAAGATTGGTGAGAGGTGAATGCAGCACTCCATGGAGAGCCATGCCATGGGCCTGTGCGCAGACGGACATTCATATATTCATATGTTGATCATTTAATTGATGAGGATTCAAAGTGTTTGGGATTCATTTTGAGCGACACATCTAGATGGTGTTTAGTACATGAGGAACGTTGCATGATCTCAGTGGCAATGCATTTGTGACAGTACTCACATACGCCACGTCAATTTCACCTGGCTAGTGTTTTGGGCCACAAAATCGAACATTCTTCTCGCCCCAATAAGTACTAGAGATTACTGGTGTTGAACGTTGAAACTTGTACTTGGTAATTGAGGTAAGAGGCTCTACGACTTTGGATCATCGATCCTCACTCATTGCACAGTTACGCCGGTCGCCATGCTTATGGGATATTTTCATCCACATTAACAAGCTATAATCAGCCTGAGCCGCTGGGCCAGGAGAATTGATAATGTGATATGTAAGCCAAGCGGCTTTCCGGTCCTTGGAGACATAAATAAGTAGGATATGACTTGCTCGTGATACGAAGGACGTTTCATTCCGCTTTACATCCAGCACCAACGAACTATGGCTTCTGACACCGTCGCGAACCTCAACTACATGCTCGCTCCACCTGACGACTCTCGGCCCTACCTTAACGTCAACGCAGATAGCGCCACGGGAAAGCCAAACCGTAACTGGGACGAGGAGCCGCGTGAGATGGAAATTGAGAACTTGCGCGGGAAGGAGGAACTTTACAAGCTTGACAATGCTGGATTTCAGTACGGGCGAGAAGCGGCGAAACATACCAGCTTCTTGAATGATGATGACATTGAGCGCGAATACTATCCTGAGAGCATCGACCTCATCAAGAGAGTTACGGGAGCAACCGGCGTTGTCATCTTCGATCACAGTACGTCGGCCACTGATTTGAATCAACGTCTTGACGCCCAAACCATGTCACAGCCATTCGTCGCCGTCGCCCAGGCGAGCTAGATGACAGCCCACAGAAACGTCAACCAGTCCCCCTGGTTCATGTGGACCAAACGACTGCGTCGTCCATTGCTCGTGTTCATAGACATCTCCCGCCAACAGAAGCTCCGTCTCTCCTTCGCAGACGCTTCCAAATCATAAACCTTTGGCGTCCTATATCGCATGCAGCTGTAGATTGGCCGCTTGCACTATGCGACTTCCGCAGTATTGATGTGGAGAAAGACTTGGTGCCTGTCGCTCTTATATACCCTGAGCGCGAGGGCGAGACACTTGGAGTCAAACACAACGCAAACCACCAGTGGAAATACATGAAGGCCATGACCCCAGAAGAGTTTGTTCTTATCAAATGGTGAGCGAAGTAACTTGGGAGAGCTTTCCGTCGTGCTAAAAGGGTGTCAGCTTTGACTCAATACTAGATGGCAGTGTTGCGAGGTTGACCCCTCATACTGGGTTCCAAGACCCGAACACTCCAGAGGGAACGCCACTTCGGGAATCCATCGAGCTGAGAGCTCTGGTATTCTATGATTAGAACACGTATTATCAAGTGGCGTTGATAACTCATACCGCGTTTATTTGCTGTATCTATGTCCCATTTTATCGAATTATCATGAATCAGAGAAAGTTTGATGTGCTTAGCCTAAATTTATAGCAGATAGGTTTCCTGATGAAGCTTGCAAGTCTCAATAGACCAAGATGCACACGAGAAAAAGCTCCAGGTGAAAGATGCAACTCAACGAGACGCAGAAAGACGGGAGGATGTGATCGGGGAAGAAAGGCAGATGAAACGAACGATATAGAAGAAGCAGATACATAAAAGTGTAACGTTAGGATGTAACAGAAGAAGAAACAGCAGTAATGGAGGGCGGCGTTGAGGGCGTTGCCAGTCGGGGTTAAACTTGGAGTACAGGATCCGGAATGGGCCGAAGGCTTAGTCAGCCAAGAGTGTGTCAGCGCTTCAAACTTCAGCGCTCAGCAGCTAGTACTACACACAACCCAATATTGTACAGCGGAGTCCAGCATCGAGACACATAGCAGTATGTACTGCTCCAACATGATGGTACATCGTGATGAAGACTCCGATAAAATAGGTCACATGTCTGCGACTCCAGTCGTGTGCTCGGGCAAAACTCCAGTCTTAATTCTCAAGTATCAGGTATTTCACCGTCCAGACGTTACGGTTCACTAGTCCATCCGAATCTTCAAAGATTTATGTATGCATGCGCTTTCTGAATTGTGTTCTCCTCTACGTCTCTGAATGTTGGACCGAGTACTCCTCAAAATTCCACGACCTAACTCAGGTCTAGCTATAGGGCTCGTGTCGATGCTGTGCGACTTCCTCTTTGTACTCCGATATACATGCCATCCGTATTCTGCAAACGACTCTGCATTTATGGCTCCCAGTTGGACTAGTACTGTGCGCCCCGTTCGCACCTGCAACTTGATCAATCTCAATCCAGCTTGACTTATTTCACTCTCCACAAATATTGTGACGGATATGGACCATCCTTGCCCGTTTATCCTCGGCAACTACATGCTCGGCTTATGTGATAAATTATCATGCCTTTGGCCACTGGGATCCTGTCTTCTTCGACCTTGAGGATATATTTAATAATAATAAATTTCTAGGCTTCACCGGTAGTCCCTATAGGGGTAACTTATGTCACCTGCTTTCAACGCCAAATGGCGACATCATCAATAATGATTGCTGCTGTGCACGTCATCTGTATACTAGGTGGCCTTGGTGGGAGGGCCTTAGTAATTAAGGTAAGAAGCTCTACGACTTTGGATATCCCGCATTTTGGTGGCGTTTTGCTTATGATATATTTTCATCCACATTAACAATCAGCGGGCCAGGAGTATTGATAATGTGATATGGATATATAAGCTGCGCCGCTTTCTCGGCCATTGAAGACATATAAGTAGGGTATAACTTGCTAAGGATGTTTCCACTCCACTTTACATCTAGCATCAACAGAATAACCATGGCTTCTGACACCATCACCACCCTCAACTACTTCGTCGCTCCACTCGACGGCTCTCGGCCTTACAATAGAGTCAACGCAGATAGCGCCACGGGAAAGCTGGCCCGCAACTACACCCTGGAGCCGCATGATATGCGAATTGAGGACGTGCGCGGGAAGGAGGAACTTCACAAGCTTGACAATGCTGGATTTCAGTTTGGGCGAGAAGCGCCGAAGCACACTAGCTTCTTGAATGATGATGAGATTGAGCGCGAATACTACCCTGAGAGCATTGATCTCATCAAGAGGGTTACGGGAGCAACCAAAATCGTCATCTTCGATCACAGTAAGTTGATCACCAATTTGAAATGACATCTTGATCCCTAATTCATGTCACAGCTGTTCGTCGCCGCCGCCCAGGCGAGTCAGGCGATAACCCACAGAAACGTCAACCAGTCTCCGCAGCTCATGTGGACCAAACGCCTGCGGCGGCTATTGGTCGTGTTCATAGGCATCTCCCGCCAACAGAAGCCCCTTCCTTCCTTCGCAGACGCTTCCAAATCATAAACCTTTGGCGTCCTATATCGCATGCAGCTGTTGATTGGCCACTTGCGCTATGCGACTTCCGCAGTGTCGATTTCGAGAAAGACTTGGTACCTGTCGCTCTCATATACCCTGACCGCGAGGGTGAAACATTTGGGGTGAAATACAACCCAAACCACCAGTGGAAATACTTGAAGGCGATGACCCCAGAAGAATTTGTTCTTATCAAGTGGTGAGCGAAGTCACTCTGGGGTGCTTTCCGTTGTGCTAAGGGAATCTCAGCTCTGATTCGATACAGGATGGCAGTGTTGCGAGGTTGACCCCTCATACTGGGTTCCAAGACCCGAGCACTCCAGAGGGAACGCCGCCTCGGGAATCCATCGAGCTGAGAGCTCTGGTATTCTATGATTAGAACATGTATTGTCAAGTAGCGTCAACAACTCGTAGCGCGTTTTGTTGCTGTATCTATATGCCATTTTATTATCACGAATTACTTAGCCTAAATTTGTAGCGGAGGGGTTTCTTGATGAAGCTTGCAAGAGAACAAGATACCTACGAAAAGAAACTAAAGACAGGAGAATGTGGTAGAGGAATAAACAACGTTCGAAGACGTCCACTGTGCATCCGAGTGTTCAAACGTTCATGTATATGTAGGTTCGTGCGCTCTCCAAATCTTGTTCTCCTCCACGTCTCTGAATATCGGACCGGATATTCCTCATGATTCCACTGTAGGGCGCGTATTGATGTTGTGTGGCTTCCTCTTTGCACTCCATCCATGCCATCGGATTCGGCATGCACAATTGCATGGAAACTGTCGATAGCATCATCGATTGGAGGAATGCAGTGTACACAATGTTCATTTTCAGGTGCTTACATCGTGGTTAGATTTTCTTTCAGTGCCTCTAGTACGCGTTTCTTCTTCGCTCGCCCTCAAGGCCTTCAAATACCCCAGGAAAGCCTGTTCTAGCGTTCGCCTTCTCGGCTTTAAAAGCTTGCGTTTGAGAGAACAAAGCGACTTCCTTGCCGTGGAAGTCGTGAAGGAGAATTGAACGCTCGTATGCGTTTGCATAAAGCTCGAAAGCATCGGCAAGAACCACAGATGCCTCCTGGTGCAATCCTGGTGCAACAGTAGACGGAATACGTTATAGAGCAAGATAGACGCACGATGTGCTGGACAGAGCCCGATCAACTTGGTCACTAAGAACTACTACCATTGTCAACAGAAGGCTAAGGAGCGAAGATAGACCGGACATATGTACTTGCTTTGAGCTAATGCCTTGTAATGACCTTTAAGCTCCATCGCGACCCGGTCCCTCCTTGTTTGCCCACTATATTCACAACAATCTGGATAATCCTGCTTGCGTCGTGATTAAGAATAATATTCTTGACTCTTCCTTGGGTGACCTTCATCAGTTCTCAGAACCGGAATTACACCATGGGTTGTACAAAGTTGGCCGCTTGATTCGTCATGGAGAACGTCTGGCAAGCATCATTGACATATCAGATATCCGTAGGAGCATTCATCTTATACCTAATTTCGGCGCAGCGGCACCTCGTGAGTGGACGAGTAGCACTGTTTGGAGTGCTGTTCCACCTTCTTTTAAACCCCTTCAGTGACCGACATGCTTATTTAACTCTTGTCTGAACATTACAATGAAATTGTTGAAATACCTTTGAATACAAATAATTTACCGAATTCTCTGTATTTCATGCGAGTTTGTGGAATTTCATGAATTTCGCGAAGGAGGTTTTTCCTGATGCTTTCACATGCTTCTGTCGTTCCTCGGAGGTATGCTTTTGTTACCGAGCTAATGACCAGACGCGCTTTGCATCTGCGAGTAACTGGGAATGTGTTTAGCTGCTTGACGCCGTTCCTGCAGTAAACGTTGGACTTCATGTGATTCTCTCGCAGCTATTCAGAACAGTATGAATCGTTTGCATTCAGTCCCTGTAATCGTCGACATACATTGGGGTCTTTGCTGGAAGCACCATCCAGTGGCATCCACAATCATTTCATCTGCAACTATCTCCTAGTCCTCAGCTTCTTCTTTCTCATGTTCGTCCTCATCAGAGAACCTGTTTGCTGGTATTGGCTGTGTAACAGGTCTACTCTGTATCTGGACTTTTCCATCCTCGAATTTTGTTAAGGATTTTCGGAGTGCTGTTTCTTAGATTTTGGGACACCCTGTGAGACCGCTGGTCTTTTCCTTGATGCGCTTTGCAGGTCATCCATCAGAAAAATAGGGCCCTCTTCTTCCGATGGATGGCCTGCAGGGTTGAGCGCTGAGCGGTGCCGGTGAGGCTCTATCGTCTTCGAAAGCCTTTTTTGGGCACATGTTCGGCTATCTTGTCCACGTGACTACTTATAGCGCTTAAATTGATTGCGCTTTTCTCCGAGCACTCAACTTGCCTGTACATACTGGTAAGTTGTAACTGAAGTCCTGATGCCAATATTTTTTCACTACGGTGATCAAGATCCTACATGCTTCGTTCCATGTGATGAGATGCCCTCACCCGTCGAGTACACAGTACCAATGATGCGCTATGCGCGCAGCACTATCACTTACCACTGCATGCGTGGTCGGATAGCGAAGATGGTGATGGCGTAGGGACACCCTATATGCTACTAGATTGGCTTGGTATCAGAACGTTGGAGTGGAACGCAATTTTCCACCACCAACTACAAGGGGCAAGACTCAGCCGGCACAATGCACGGGCTTGCTGGCATACACTCTCATGCGTACCAGCACTCGGTCATCACTGACATAGATACTGAGTGGAATCGACTCCCGCCTCACGCGCAGGACCTCTGCATTCGACCCCATTGACTGCTTGATCTAGTCACTATCATGCCATGGCGGAAGAAAAATAGTTCGTCTCATCCTTGAACACTTTCCCGTTTCCGCTTATGCACACCAACCTTGACCGACTGAATCTAGTTGACGACAATATTGGGTATGTATCCAATACTTATCTCTCTGATCGAGCTTGCGTAGCTAAGAGTTCGTCAGGGTACTGGACTAGGATGTTTGGGCTTGTTGATTATGCCTGCAATGCGCCGGTGATGTGTCTGGTGATGATTGCTGCTAGCATCGATTCTCCGCATGAAGGACTTTTCTACAAGGACCGTCCCCTTTAGCCTGTCTGATGACATCCCAGCTCGTTTGCCTTCCCTGATAGCAGACGATGAGCTGCATACTTTCCAGCTGACAATCAAGAGTAAAGGTGTCTACCCCCTTTGGGTGACAACGTACGCCTTTGCAGTGCTCGATGGATCTACTCTAGAATGGGGTTTGTAGTGGGTCTTTACCCTTGTTTCATTTCTTGTTATATTTAATAGGGATATGCGCAGGGTCTGGCAGAAGCGCAGGCAGGGGCCTCCGGGACCAGACATGAGCCACCCCCTCAATGCACGCGTCGAGTTAGACCTCTGAATATGACGTCACTTCAGAATTCCTCATGCCGCATGCATCCTTGTTATGAATACATGAATAGTGCCATGATAGTCACGATAAGTCCACGAGGATTGTGCAAAATGTCCAATATTGAAATCGGCAAAGTACAACTACGCATACAGATACAGCAACGAAATGCGGTAAGAGTTCTTTGTCAATTCTTAACGCCACTTGACAAAACGTGTTCTAATTATTCTAATCATAGAATACCAGAGCTCTCAGCTCGATGGATTCCCGAGGCGGCGTTCCCTCTGGAGTGTTCGGGTCTTGGAACCCAGTATGAGGGGTCAACCTCGCAACACTGCCATCTTGTATTGAGTCAAAGCTGAGACCCTTTTAGCACGACGGAAAGCTTCCCCAAGTTACTTCGCTCACCATTTGATAAGAAACAAACTTTTCTGGGGTCATCGCCTTCAAGTATTTCCACTGGTGGTTTGGGTTGTATTTCACCCCAAATGTTTCACCCTCGCGGTCAGGGAACAAAAATCAAGTCTTTCTCGACATCGACACTGCGGAAGGTCGCATAGTGCAAGCGGCCAATCTACAGCTGCATGCGATATTGGACGCCAGATGTTTATGATTTGAAAGCGTCTGCGAAGAAGGGAAGGAGCTTCCGTTGGCGGGAGATGCCTATGAACACGAGAAATGGACGACGCAGTCGTTTGGTCCACATGAACTGAGGAGACTGGTTGACGTTTCTGTGGGTTATCGCCTGGCTCGCCTGGGCGACGGCGACGAATAGCTGTGACATGAATTAGGTATCGATACGTCGTTTCACATTGGTGGTCAACTCACTGTGATCGAAGATGACAACGTTGGTTGCTCCCGTAACCCTCTTGATGAGGTCGATGCTCTCAGGGTAGTATTCGCGCTGAATCTCATCATCATTCAAGAAGCTGGCATGCTTCGCCGCTTCTCGCCCAAACTGAAATCCAGCATTGTCAAGCTTGTAAAGTTCCTCCTTCCCGCGCACGTCCTCAACTTGCATATCATGCGGCTCCTGGGTCCAGTTGTGGGCCGGCTTCGCCGTGGCGCTAGTATCTGCATACATTCTATTGTAGGGCCGAGAGCCGTCAAGTGGAGCGATGAGGTAGTTGAGGGTGCCGATGGTGCCAGAGGCCATGGTAGTTCGTTGCAATTGGTGCTGGATGTAAAGCAGAATGGAAGTGTCCTTGGTATCATGAGCAAGTTATATCCTACTTATATATGTCTTCAAGGACTGAGGAACTTCGCCGCTTGGCTTACATATCACATTATGAATTCCCCTGGGCCGGGGCCCTGGCCCACCGATTGTTAATGTGGATGAAAATATCTGGCGCCACCGAACTGCGGGATGAGTGATGATCCAAAGTTGTATGAAGAGCACTGCTGAGGTACGAGCGGGAGCTGATAAAACGCGGTCTCTAGAAAGCACCTATTACTCCCACCTTTCTAATTTAGTAAAGCGGGTACATAGGACATGACAAGTCTCCCAAACATCTTCGCTTACTCCGTACCACATGATTTAAAGCTCTATGCCGCGTCAAACATAGCACATGCCACGTCAAGCAAATTGTGCCGTGTCAAACCCCATCCATGCCGCGTCACTGCCTCGTCACTGCCTCGTCAGTGCTGCGTCAAATTCCACCCTGCGCATCAATACTTTTGACTGACAATATAACTTAGGTATATTTCCGACCTGTCACTGGCACAATGATTGATTTTCTGACAGTGTTTCCTTGCGTCCTTAGATGCACACTGTAGTTATCCACAGGCAGGAATAAAATCATTCACCAAGCATTCTACGGACAGTCACGGTGGTACTCCGAGTCTCCGAGAAATCATTTCTCCAGCCTCAATTCCTATGGCTTAGAGAAAATGTGCATCTTAACATTCCTAATGAATGGGTTCTGGGAAGAGATCATAACGAGAGTGAACTTGAAGTAAGGAAAATATCACCTGCTCTGTTTAATAGGTCTCTAACTTATATGATTGACAGCGTGGCTCCTTATTCAGCGATAACTCCGATGCTACGAGTTATCCGACGTTACGGTAACCCCTTCGCTGCCAGCTGAAGAAGAAATTGCGCCCGTGAAATGTCGTCCTTCGCTGCCAGCTGAACAATGTGCGCCAGTTAAACATGGACGTGCTTCGAAGAGGATCCAGAGAGGGAGGAAAAGAAAATAGTCATTGGCTGATGTGGCTAGTGAGTAGTATGTGTCCTTATAATGAATAAAATAACGTAGGAATGGTCATATGAGCTATGCAACTTGATGTGGGAGTCGAATTCAGAACATAGGAAGATCTGCACTGGCGCGTCAAGGCTCCTCAGTGCCACGTCAAGGCTCCTTAGTTTTACGCCGGTGCCGCATCACATACGCGTCACGCAGCGTCAAATTAGCTACGCCCTAGATAAAGCCAAGTGGCTTCCTCGGCCCTTGAAGACATATAAGTAGGATATGACTTGCTCATGGTACCAAGGACACTTCCATTCCGCCTTACATTCAGTATCAACGGATTAACCATGGCTTCTGACACCATCGGCACCCTCAACTACTTCGTCGCTCCACTTGACGGCTCTCTGCCTTACCGCAATAGATTCAACGCAGATAGCACCATGGAAAAACCGGCCCGCAACTGGACCCAGGAGCCGCATGATATGCAAATCGAGGACGTGCGGGGGAAGGAGGAACTTTACAAGCTTGACAATGCCGGATTTCAGTATGGACGAGAAGCAGCGAAGCATACCAGCTTCTTGAATGATGATGAGATTGAGCGCGAATACTACCCCGAGGGTATCGACCTCATCAAGAGGGTTACGGGAGCGACCAGCATTGTCATCTTCGATCACCGTACGTCGATCATCAATGTGAAACGAGGTCTTGATCCCTAATTCATGACATAGATATTCGTCGTCATTGCCCAGGCGAGTCAGGCGATAACCCACAGAAACTTCAACCAATCTCCTCGGTTCATGTGGACCAAACGACTGCGTCGTCCATTGCTCGTGTTCATACGCATCTCCCGCCAACAGAAGCTCCTTCCCTCCTTCGCAGACGCTTCCAACTCATAAACCTTTGGCGGCCTATATCGCATGCAGCTGTAGACTGGCCGGTTGCACTATGCGACTTCCGCAGTGTCGATTTCGAGAAAGACTTGGTCCCTGTCGCTCTTATATACTCTGACCGTGAGAGTGAGACATTTGCAGTCAAATACAACCCAAACCATCAGTGGAAATACATGAAGGCAATGACCCCGGAAGAGTTTGTTCTTATCAAATGGTGAGCGAAATAACTTAGGGGAGCTTTCCGCCGTGCTAAAAGGGTGTCAGCTATGACTCGATACAAGATGGTAGTGTTGCGAGGTTGACCCCTCATACTGGGTTCCAAGACCCGAACACTCCAGAGGGAACGCCGCTTCGGGAATCCGTCGAGCTGAGAGCTCTGGTATTCTATGATTAGAAGACGTATTGTCAAGTAGCGTTAAGAATTGACGAAGAACTCGTACCGCGTTTCGTTGCTATATCTGTGTGTATTTGTACTCTGCCGATTTCACTCTTAGAAATTTTGCCCAATCCTCGTGGACGTATCGTGGCTATCATGACACATTGTCGGGAGAACATGGAGAGTAGGCCGTGATAAAGGTCAAATACGAAAAAGATCGACCCAGACGCAGGAAGAGAAAGTTGGCAGACACGGGCATTTGAAAAGAATAGACGAAGAACTAACACGGAAACACAGGACTTGGATTCGAAATATACAACCTGCCAAGTGCTATCATGCTTCCCTGCTTCTGCACTGTCTTGATGGCAGTCTGTCGTGTGTACCCACCCGCACTGGTTGTTGCCCTCCTTGCACCATATCTCACGCAGGACATTGTTGCTGCTCTGTGGTGGCGCATCCACGTTAATGTTTCCGCCGATTTGCATGGACGATCCCAAACTCGGGCATATAATAGAATACGAAGTACGATCCACTGTACACTCGGTCACATCTAAATTGTATCTGAAATCTCCATAATGGATCCATTGCTGCGATCTTGGTTGGTACTAAGGTCTGCAAGTGTTGATTTGAGTAACTACGAGGAACGGAAAGAGCTTTGAAGACACTCACTCCTTTCGGCACTTGTGCCAGTGTTGTCCGTGTGCCATGCGGCTCAAATCAAGCTCATGACCTCCTCTGGGTATCACTAATGTAGTTGCAGGGCTATAATAGAGTGGGTTTCGAGAAGCCGGTGGTACCCAGAATAACAGGCGACGTTTGGGTCCTACTATCCATCCACTGTCACGATCCAGTAAAAAGGGGGTCGAAATGGGGTCGAAATGGGATGCTCCCTCCGTTAGCTCTGAGGTGTTGCAGAGTGCATGGATAGAGTTGGAAGAGAAGCGAATGGGGTGATTGTTCCAAATGTTGAATGTGATGGTAGTCGTGACCTCGAGCGTGCAATGTTCATCTGATAATGCTGAAGGATCTGACACAGCACACTGTTGCGACGGTTGGCTCATCACTGGATCCCACAGCCGAACAGTGTGATCGTTCGAACCAGTGACGATGCGAGTGCCGTCCGGCGAGAACGAGGCCGACCTTACTGAATCGGTGTGCCCACACAAGGGCTCACCGACTGGCTCCCCCGTGCCTGCATCCCACAGCCAAATAGTGTTATCGTCCGAACCAGTGACGATGCGAGTGCCGTCCGGCGAGAACGAGACCGAGTTTACTGAATCAGCGTGCCCCCGCAAGGGCTCACCGACTGGCTCCCCCGTCCATGCATCCCATAGCCGAACAGTCGTATCGTAAGAACCAGTGACGATACGAGTGCCGTCCGGCGAGAACGAGACCGAGTTCACTGAAAAAGTGTGGCCCCGCAAGGGCTCACCGACTGACTCCCCCGTCCCTGCATCCCACAGCCGAACAGACTTATCCGCAGAACCAGTGACGATACGAGTGCCATCCGGCGAGAACGAGACCGACCAAATTGAACCAGTGTGCCCCCGCAAGGGCTTGCCGACTGGCTCCCCCGTCCCTGCATCCCACAGCCGAAGAGTCTTATCCCAAGAACCAGTGACGATACGAGTGCCGTCCGGCGAGAACGAGACCGAGTTTACTGAATGAGTGTGCCCACGCAAGGGCTCACCGATTGGCTCCCCCGTCCCCGCATCCCACAGCCGAACAGTGTTATCTCTTGAACCAGTGACGATGCGAGTGCCGTCCGGCGAGAATGAGACCGAGCTTACTGGATGAGTGTGCCCCCGCAAGGGCTCACCGACTGGCTCCCCCGTCCCTGCATCCCACAGCCGAACAGTCTCATCCCAAGAACCAGTGACAATGCGAGTGCCATCCGGCGAGAACGAGACCGACAAAACTGAATCAGTGTGCCCCCGCAAGGGCTCGCTGACTGGCTCCCCCGTCCCTGCATCCCACAGCCGAGCAGTGTTATCCTCCGAACCAGTGACGATGCGAGTGCCGTCCGACGAGAACGAGACCGACAAACCTGAATCAGTGTGGCCCCGCAAGGGCTCCCCAACTGGCTCCCCCGTCCCTGCATCCCACAGCCGAACAGTCTCATCCCAAGAACCAGTGACGATACGAGTGCCGTCCGGCGAGAACGAGACCGAGTGTACTGAAGAAGTGTGCCCCCGCAAGGGCTCACCGACTGGCTCCCCCGTCCCTGCATCCCACAGCCGAACAGTCTGGTCCCAAGAACCAGTGACAATGCGAGTGCCGTCCGGCGAGAACGAGACCGAGTTTACGAAAGAAGTGTGCCCCCACAAGGGCTCGCCGACTGGCTTCCCGGTCCCTGCATCCCACAGTCGAACAGTGTTATCCCAAGAACCAGTGACGATGCGAGTGCTGTCCGGCGAGAATGAGACCGACCAAACTGAATGAGTGTGCCCCCGCAAGGGCTCACCGACTGGCTCCCCCGTCCCTGCATCCCACAGCCGAACAGTATTATCCGAAGAACCAGTGATGATGCGAGTGCCGTCTGGCGAGAACGAGACCGACCTTACTTCATCAGTGTGTCCCCGCAAGGGCTCACCGACTGGCTCCCCTGTCCCTGCATCCCACAGCCGAACAGTCTCATCGGAAGAACCAGTGATGATGCGAGTGCCGTCCGGCGAGAACGAGACCGAGTTTACTGAAGAAGTGTGCCCCCGCAAGGGCTTACCGACTGGCTCTCCCGTCCCTGCATCCCACAACCGAACAGTGTTATCGTCCGAACCAGTGATGATGCGAGTGCCATCCGGCGAGAACGAGACCGACCAAACTGAAGAAGTGTGCCCCCTCAGCACAGTCTGAACAGCTGGCCACTTCATATCACGTCCAGATGCTACACGAAGAGTGTTCGGAAACCGTGCAGAAAATTCTCTCGATAGGGGAGAGTTGGCAGGCGAGAATGGGAGTGCTGATACATACAGGTGTGGCGTGCTGTGCAAAATCATCCCGCCGAAGACTTGAATGAACCTCTGTACGTCCATTGCAGTCGACAAGACATCTTTGAATTTAGGATGACCCTGTGGTTGCGCATGAGCGCTTTATCTGGCACTCAGTAGCAATGCATTCACCTTCAACCACTTGGGAATGAGTGAGAGGGCAGGAACTGCATTGCCCAGCGCCTCGATCAAGGCGAGTAACTCGAGCCAGAAAAACAGGCGCTCGTGGTCGAACAACAATGTCACTTCTTTCGCAAGCTCCTTGTCAAAGGCTGTGGTTCGTACGTGTGACGTCCAAAATCGAGATGAATATGATAGATGTAAGGGAATGCATTTTTGCACTCGTTCTTGTAGACCGGGATCTTCCTTGTTAGGCAGATACGACGACTTTAAATCACAGATGTTGAAGCGAAGACTGTGTTCCATCACTCGAAGCGACGAGAATGCAAGGTCGTGTTGCACCTTTGACAGGTCTATGAAAAACTCTCCACTGGATGATTTGTCCGTCAGGAAATCGCGGAAGGATGCATGAAGTGGTCGGATTGGGGAATCTGGGTTGGTGGTGCCGCTGAGGAGGGACCCCATGCTTTTTACCACAAGCTCGACGTCGAAATTATCCTCCGGTGTTGGAAAATGGCACCTCATGGCATTCAGGGAAGCTAAAGGAAGGGGTTCAGCTGTGCCTAGTATCTGTCCCATTACTGAGCGAAATCTCGCTAGCTTCGTCGAACGCAGTTTCGGCGGATCCGGAGATGTATCCCTGGGTATGATATTTGTTAAAATGAGGTCATACATGTTGTGCAACAGCTTGCTTCTCTCAGCAGGATCGCGTGACACCACAGCCTCGTAGTAATCCTTTGGAGATACCATATCGGACTCTTTGATGTATCTGCAGGCGAGACGCGCCCACTCGAAAAGTCCATCAGCTTTCTCAGCGAGGACTGCGAACTCTCTCTCACGGAAATTCAGCCCTTCCAACTCCTTGGATACGTAAGCACGGATGTCGCGCTCCGCATCTGCTCGTGGAATATCATCCATCGACATCTGTCGAATGTGATGAACACCACGAAACTTCTTTTTGATGTCATCAAACGGGCGCGAGGTGACGATGAAGCGGAAGTTGCCAGGAAGGTCTGTGATTTTGGGAACAGCGGGGTTGTGATGTTTACCGGCTAGAATGTCGAGGAGGTCTTTCCGTGTCTCCACTCCACCGCTCTCGTCCAGTGCATCAATCACGATCACGATGGGTTCCGTAGTGGACCCAGATGACTTCTTCAGTGGCTCGATAAGAAGTTTCTGCCACTGCTGGATAATATCCGCTGTCTTTTTGAGCGACTTTGCGGCCTTGACTGCATTTGCCAATGCCCGCATCATCTCCGGATCACGGTCAGCCAGGTCGAGCGCGATCGTGGAAAAGATCTTTTCATGGCGACGGTCTGCTTCTCGCTGGCGGTCAAAACAATAACACGAAACAAGCCCTCCCACGTCGTTGACCCACTTAGCAACGGTGTGGGCGATGGCCGATTTGCCCTTGCCTGCAGGCCCAGATAGCCACAGCACGCGTTGAACATTGTCTCCAGTGCTGTTGACCCATTCGATGATGTCGAAAAGTATTTCCGTGCGGGTCCCTTCAAGGCATTCTTTTCTGGTATCTAGTCCCGCGCCATCTGCATAGGTCATACTGCTAAGGTCCAATGTTTCTTCTGAAAAGGTATGAGTATGTCATGTCACAAGAACGTCGCAATACTTACCCATACGGTGGACGTGTATGGCTGTGGCGTGGACTCCTATGGCTACGTTGCGAGTAACTTGGTCCCGGAAGTTTTGCATGAGCCCATCGAATACGTCATTGTACTTTTTGATCGTATCTTTCGTTTCGGAGAAGACGTCTTTTTCAAGTCTGCTCCCTATGATGATGATAGAAGCTCGAGACGGTACAGAGCGCACCAGCTTGTAACACTCACAAATTTTCTTGGTCTCCGAATATTTTTTGATAAAATGGGCGCATTCACGGGTCTGCTGAGAAATCTTGCCAAGGATAATTCGTGTCGACGAGAGTTGGTCAAGCATGTCGTCTTGTGTTATGAAGCGGTAAACATCACATATCTTCTTGAGAAGTTTGAGTAGCGCTGTGTCGCGATCTGCTTGAGCTAGAATAATCTGTACAAGTGATTGCTGAGCTGTGGGAGATAGGAGGAGATACAGAGAAAATATACTTTGGCTGCGCAAGACAAGACGCCTAGTGCCATCTTTGCATATGGATGTAACTGTGGGATGAGATTAGTTCGGTTACGATCGAGAGGCAGATCCATACATCTGCGATCTTGCTGATAACATTGTCCAATATTCTGAGTGGTTCGAGATATGTGTCCTGGAAACTGTCGACGGCATCAAGATTCTCTTCTCCGCCTTGGCCAACAGACGCCACAGTAATCACAGGTCCCGCAAGCGGATGCATGCGCATTGGAAACTCTTGTGCACCCCGAAGTTCCGATTGGGTATTAGTCACTTCCATGGGAGATGGAGCCGCCTGAACTCGCGGGACCACCAGGATTTAGAAAGAGCGCAGAGAGTGGAGGGCAAGTATGAGAACGTACCGAGGTCGATGAAGCACCTTCATGATTAACATTCGGGGGAAGAGGGCTGCGGCTGCCTGAATCCTTCGAGCGCTTATGACATTCTCAGTCGTATTCCAGGACACTCATTACGCATGCTCGTGGACTTACCGAGATCCTTAACTTCTTGGCACTGTGACCGTCCTTAGATGTGTGGGTTTGTTGAGTTGAGTCGCTCGACGATTTGCGTTTGGTCATTGTGAATAGCAGCTGAAGTGAAGTAAGATACTCAGAGACCCACGTCATCATTTATATAAAATAACAGGCCATTAACGCCTCGAGGCAACACTTGGCAATTGCTGTGTTGCAAGCGGTTCTTCTGACATGCTGTGATCCTGTGGATCAAAAATAGCCTCAGCAGTGCTTATCCAATGATTGAATTTCGACCGCGTTCTTCTGACATGCAGTGGATCGTCGAAGGTGATTGTGACAAAAGGTCGTCAGGATCCTGCTGTACTAATAATCCAAAATGCATCATTAGCTTCATTTTTCTCACTTTTCACCCGCACCCATGGCCACCGGTGACCGAACGTGACATGCATCATCAACTCCATGCAGCCACCGCACCTCAACGTTCTGTAACCTCAAGCTCAAGACTCGCATTTCCCCAGCTAGGCTCCACGAGCGCTAGGATTCTGCTCTACCAACCCAAAACGCCTGACATCATCAACGTCGTTAACCCTTTCTACACAGCCGCCTATGGAAAGCCGGACACTCGTGCTCAAATTTTAAGAAAAAATGGCCACATATAGTAATCGGACCTCGAGCACCGTCCTGGCGTATTTGTCTGTGTTGATCAGTGAAACCTACTTGTGTGTTTGAATCTAGGTCGAGTGTATAAGGATGAAAACCCAAAGCTGTAATACATTGTAACACCGCCCCAAAACATATGCTAAACGAAAACTAGCGTCATCTAAGCTACCTTGCCCCCAAACTCTTCAAGTTCAAACCCTGGCCATTTGCAGAAGTGGTTGCAAACGTGGCGAGTCTCAAATTCACTGACCGCCTTCTCGATGTTGCCCCCCCCAAAGATGTCTTTCTTGTCGCTAACCGAAGGGTGTGTCATAATCTGTGGGTCAGTCAACAGCTCAGTATTGCCTGTTTGATTCCGACGTCAGAATCGCCGATGCGCAATGTAACAAGGTAAAGTACATACCTTGATAATCAGAGATGAAGACCAGCCCACCTGTCTTTACATACTGTACATGTTGTGTGAAGGCAAGGAACAACGCAAAGTCATATCCAGGTTCATCTGGATCAAGTAATGGGTTGGGGTCCATGTTATGAATATACTTGACGAAATCGTCGTCTCTGCCATTGATAACTTCCTCGAGGAGAAAACATGCACGCGCTGATGCAACCTTTAATGCAGGCTTGCTACTATCTTGATAGTAAGATAGCGCCAGACCAGCTTCGACAAAGCGCACACGGGGAATATCGAATGGTACAGGCTCAGATGCCCCTGCCACAGCACGGTCAATGACGTCGTAGACGAGACCTAACAGAGCTTTTGCCCAGTATAGGACATTTGCTTCCCTAAATAACTTGGCCGACTCGTCCTTGGGCGCAAATCATCCAATTTTGAAATCCAAACTGGCCGGCGTGCCTTTGGGATATACCTTCTCGAATGGACGTTTCACAACAACGTCATGCCGTGCCCTGGACCCAAGACCTGAGGTAGGAGGCAACATCAATGTCAACCATCCTGTATGCGCAGTCTTGAATCCACCTATGCCGATGCGACCCTCAGGGGATGTGTCGATGGTCACATAGCCCACTGACGAATCAGCGTTATCCACAGAAAACGAATGGTACCGGGTACACTTCAAGAGGTCGTTGAGTTGTCGGGTGGGGATTGAGTAAAAATGAATGTTTTCGGTCTGGAACTTAGACACTTACATCTAGGTGAGCGTGTTGAACACATACATCGGCAAAAAATGACATACCCTGCTGCATATCTAAATCCGCACCTCCTCCAATCTTCAAGGCTATCCTCAGGTCGTCGCGATCAGGAGAGCAGAGAACAGGCGGGGGATTACGAGGAATATTATGCTTGCGAGGAGGTGAAGGTGAAGAGGTGATACTTATCGCACGCTCATGAGTTCGCTTGGTAGTTGTGGTAACTGGTGCAGGGACTGTGGCAGCAGTAGATGACATGCTCAGCGCTGGTACTGGGGTGGCAGCAGATGATATCTTTGGCGCTGACTCAGAGTCGAACGGTGGGTCAACTGAGTCGAATTGGTGGTTTGGCGCTGTCTGAGAGTCAAACGGTGGGTCAGCTGAGTCGAAGTCAGTTGGGTTGAACGGTGGGTCAGTTGAGTATGTGTATGCCAGTGATTCTGCCGAGTCGGCAAAAAACAGCGGGTCTGCCTTGCCCTTGCCCTTAGCCTGACGACTTGAGCGTTCGATCGCCTGTACAATTAAGTGTAAGTTAGTGTAGGTAACAATCATACAACGAATAAACATACCATTTCGTTCGCTTCTTGCCAGTCTTCGAAATCGGTCCATTGAATCTCTGGCACAACTACCATAAGGCTGAATTGTTTCGTCTTGAATATTGGGGCCTTCGCCGGACCTTTATGGGCGGGCTGAAGACACTGTGAGTAGAAATAGGGAATTGATGGTGGGTGTGTTGCGAGATCAACCCATTTCAAGTCTCGCACGATGAATTCATGCTCACGCCACGAAAAGGTCCCACCAAACGCATGTAGCTTGGGCAGAACCGTCTCCATAGCCAAGTTTATGAGGCCTGGGGCATCAATTTGGGCGTCAATATCCTTCTTGCCCTCGCAGATATTCTAAATAAAATATGCCAGTTTAGCCGGGTATGAAAGTGAACATAGGAAAGGTCATACCCCGATTAATGTACCTCTTGATTTCTTGCACCCGCCCGCTTCATGAATGGCCGAGATCTCTAGTGAAATGGTTTCAGCCATTGCGCCACCAGGAGTAGCATATGAGAGTTTGGACCATCTCTGGTATTCAGTCGAATATGATCCGTGGTGGGCTGAATATCCAATGGGACCCGTGAGCCTCGATGGTATTGGTGATGCCGCTGGCCCCTGCCAAGACGTGGGAACAGCTACATCAGGACCAGTTGTACGGTCGCGAGGCAGAGGGACAGGCGGTGGGCCCATAGAGGTATTGGTCCAGTCAGGGATTGCCACCACACGAGGCGGATTGACACTCGCTGTCAGTCACGGTTAGAATCAGCTCGCGTCCTATCAAAGATTGGAACAACTTACATTTCTGTTGGGAAGCATTCACTGACTGCCGAATGGCCTTAGGATCAGGCCATCGCTGACTTGCTGGGGTGGACGATGGATGTTGTCGCAAGGCAGGCTGTGATGCTAATACAAATATGTCAGTAAATAACATCGAGAAAATCGTTATCGACTCACCGGTGGGTTTCTGAGATGTTACGGACATCATTTCATATCGTGCATAGCATGATGCACATACATTGCGCCCAGATCTGCCAGGTTGCATTGTAGCCACGTAAAAACAAGGCTGGCCTTTTGCGATCTGGGCACAACAACTCGGGCGTTCACAGATTCGGTCTTCGGCGGCAAGGGCATCTTCCGTAAATTGACAGACAATGCTGTTTGGGTTCGCCATATGAACTAGAGTGGTCTGAGTGAGTCCGAGTCCGAGTGCGCTGGCTAGTGTGAGTGTGTCGCTGCATGCCTTAAATATGACAAAAACCAAGTTAATAATTTAGCTATGTATATGCATGAGAAAACAAACCAAAGGAGCAAGACCAATAACAATGTGCAGAGAGTGGCGCTGTAGAGAGATCAGTTGTCATTTATGCGCATTGAATATGCATATTGAAACATACCAAAGATCCGGAACAATGTTCACCGGAAGTTGTGCTGCAGAGAGCTGCAGAGAGATCAGTTATAGTACATTGTATGTACTTATTAGAAACATTGCTAGCACTATTGGTGTTTGGAGTCGCATTAGATGGAGGTGCGCTATTGGTGTTTGGAGATGCGTTAGACGAAGATGTGTTGGAAACGTTGTTAGCACTATTGGTGTTTGGAGATGCGTTAGACGAAGATGTGTTGGAAACGTTGCTAGCACTATTGGTGTTTGGAGATGCGTTAGACGAAGATGTGTTGGAACCCACTTCCCCATCGGTACTGGCACTATTGGTGTTTGGAGATGCGTTAACACCTTGTTTGTGCCACTGCCAACGCCAGCCATACTGGAAGTGGAAGTTGTGCTGCAGAGAACTGCAGAGAGATCAGTTGTAGTACACTGTATATACAATTTTACGATACCAATAACGATGTGCAGAGAGTTGCACTGCGGAGCGATGACCAGTAGTGTATGCATTGTATATAGTATAGAACATACCAATTGAAGAGGTCCCATTCTATATACAACCTTACAACCCCCAGAATGTTGTCCACTGGTGGTTTTGCGGTGAGTTGAGCAGTCACAATGTCCTCGGACTACTGAAAGTGGGCAGAGCGCTTTCATAGTGGTCTGATGTCAAGACATGGTCCTAGGCAGTGCGGCAGCACTGCAGCTCGTGTCTCCAATGCTCTCCGAAGTTTATGGCACAGTACGTTTTAAGGTGGGCAGTGCGACTCATATCTCTGAGTATTAAATACCGCGAATGCATCTCACTGAAGCTACCAGTAGCTACACCGTCACTAGTACTACCTTGCACAATGCCTAACCAATGGAAACCTACGTGTACGTCTGCTCTGCTCTTGTTTTGAATTGACACCCCTAATTCGCATCCAATTAGCACCGTTGGACGTAATTGAGCCACACATCCTTCGCCTTTGGAAGGCACGCCAGACCGATAGGCAAATTGTCGCGGAATTGCAAAAACATTTCGATACATCACACTATGGTCTCGGGTGAGTTGATAATCTTCTTTCAATTACAACTATATTCTGACGACGTGCTTAGGCTTACAAAATTTCTCAAGATTCGTGAAGGCATGGGTCTTCGAAGAACGCACCAGCAAAATCATAACATTGAGACTATCCATGACGCTATGACTCATTTACGTCCGATGTATCCAAATGCCAGAGCGCGTGAAGTTGTAAGCTTGCTATTTCATGAATGGAACATGAGTGTACCCAGGTGATCTTTTTGTTTATTCATGTATCCTTGTTGTACCTTAATTGATGACTGCTTATATTACAGGAGTATTGTGATATCCTATTTCCGTACATACAAACCAGAGCTCATTCGCCAGCGGAAGGCCAATCGCCTTCGCAGGAAGCGATTTTGGGCTGCAGGTGTGAACAATTTATTCGCCATTGACCAACACGACAAGTGGCTAAGGTACGGTCTTGGCCTCCATACTGGCATCGAGCCATTCTCAGGGTGCATTATGTGGATGAGAGTCTGGCACTCGAACCGGAACCCACAGCTGATCCTTAGTTATTATCTTGACACACTCGGGACACTAGGGCGTAAGTCATTTTTTCTGTGTCTTGTTAACATAGCGCTGATTTACCTCTACCTACCAGACATGCCTATGGTGACCCAGAGCGACCCTGGGTCTGAAAACTATGGAATCGCTAACGCTCACACTATGCTACGTCAGTGGCACAATCCTGCCTTGCAGGGTAGCCTACAACACCGCTGGATGAGGACGAAGAAAAACGTTATGCTGGAGATAACGTGGTCACAGATGCGGCGTCGTTTCACGCCTGGATTCGAGACACTTCTCAACCATGGTGTCACTTCCGGTTGGTATGATACCAACAACACTCTCCAATTGTCCGTCCATTTTTTTGAGTTGTCTGTCCTTACATTGATACTAACTGGCGGTTTAAATTTAGGATGCTTTTTCACTGGGTTTTTATACCCTGGTTACAGCGGGAGTTAGATGCTTACCAGGACCGAGTGAATAACACTCGAAAATGGCGGGACCGAAACAAGATCCTTCCCCATGGTGCACCGGACATCATCTACCAATCGCCCGAGAACTTTGGTGTCTTAGACTTTAAAGTAAGCAATACCGTCCGTGCTTGTTCTGCATGTTCTTACCTTTTGTTTGTTTGTCAGATCCAAGTCGAACGGGAAGCCTTAGACCACGTCCGTGATCTCTACATCGATCCCTCCCATATTGTCTTCGACCTTGTTCCAAAGCCATTCAGCGAGTTCATGGAACATTGCTATACAGAACTTGGACGCCCATTAGTTACACGGCAGACCACTTGGGATGTCTACCTGCGCTTACTCGCCATAGTGGAGGCCAATGACGAGATGATACCACGCCACATTGAGTTGTTAGATGAGGCAGAGGAAGAATTAACCACTTTGCCGCTTATAGAGAACCTTCAAGAGTTGCCCTATCGCGAAGATGGCAACGGTGCCTACTACATGGGTGGGGTGGGTGGTGGTCTTGGTCTTGGTATGCCCGTTTTTTGACGCAAATACAAGGGAACTAATATCTATTGTAGTTGACCAGCATTTGCATGAGCTGGAGAGTCTTGCCCGTGATGATGAGCCTGACATCACACTTGGCATTGACGAAAGTGTTGTGGGACTGGACCATGCAGGTTTGGTTGTGTGGGATTTCTCAGATGACGACAACTCGGACGTGCCAGACGAATGGTAACTTGCATTGGTTGATTTCTGTAAGGCTTGGTTGTAACAGTATACTACGAACGGCAATCTTGATTTCCACTTGGTTGATGGCACATAATATTATTGCATTGTTTGTTTCTTATTAGCGATAGCGGTATCCGCGGTCCCGCAGAAGCCATGGCCGTATATGGTAATTTTTGCTTAAAATTTGAGCACGAGTGTCCGGCTTTCCATAGCCGCCGCACCTCCAACATTTCCACTTCTTCACAAATTGAAAGAAGACTGGCGTTCCCTTCAAATAGTCATTTTCACTCGTCATCGACATTCGGCATCATTTCTCATTTGACTCGACTCATACCTAGACACCTGATGATTCTTTCGGCCAGGTATACGTTCTCCCAGCCCCTCCTCCACCTTCTCACAAAATCCATCACATCTCCTATGCAATCCGTGCTGCATGTCCCTTTTCTCCCAATGCCTTCCAAGAGCAGTACTCGCCAAGGCACCGACACTCCCTCAAGTGCGAGTGTGCCGTTCTTAACATGCAGGTAACGAGTCCTGTAACCTCAGACGCTGCCGATGCGCAGGTAGGTGAGTCAGCTACTTGGTTGGTGACGATGTTGATGATAGATACACGCAGGCCACGGGCTTGGTGCATACGACGAGTCCGCAACTGACACCAACTCATCGAGCTATGGAAGGCAAACAACACCGAACTTGCAAGGAAATCATAAAACACGACAAACTGCAAGCGCACCATAAGCGCACCACAAGCGCACCACAAGCGCACCGGCCCTTCCTTCCCGCGATGGGCAACACGCTGCCTCATCCGCCTATCACTGACTGAATTCCTTGCTAACCTCCACATCTTCAAAACCCTCCAAGCGTGCATCCAGCGCACCCACTTCCAAGATCCAATCTCTCATTCTGGTCCTACCCACCCTCACCCATCGCCGCTCACATTTCCCAGCTCCCGACGCATGCTGGCTTTGTCGTTGTTAGCTCGGGTATTATTGGGATGTCGTTTGTGAAGAGGATTTTGGATAGTGCAGGTGCTGATGGGCATGATGGTAGAGCTGTTATGTCGGAAACGAGAGATGCGTGTTCTGGGGCGACTGGGAGATAAGTCTCTTTCATAAACCAGTGGACTAATGTCCTCGTAGAAACGGCAGACATATCTCACCACCTCGATATCATGACCTTACTTCGCTCAAGCGTGATCACGGACAAGCTGTTGCCCAAAGGATGATGAAATTGAGGTTGGTGCGTCTTGAGGAATTACGAAGCGTCGGGGAACAAAAAATTAATCTTGCAGAATCCGGGAAGGCCCTGGTAGAAATGGTGCTGGGACGCGAAATGGAGGGCAAGCTTGTGGAAGACGGGAAATTTACTGGATGCATTGGCCGTGCGTATAATGTTATTTAAACCCGACTACTTCAAATCGTGTGCTGCAGAATTCTCTATAGGTGGTATCTTGTACTTCTGAACCAGTACTAGAATGAAGACAGAATCTAATCGTTCAATAATCATCCATCAACTCGTGGGTTCTGATCAGTACCAAGATTGATGCTATGCAGAGCTGCCTTTCGTTTATTCATTGACCGGACGCTATTGATTATCTTTGCACATGCGAGTATCAACAGCTAGGTTCCATTATCGGTTGCCAGGATCCTGCAGCTCATTGGCGTCTTGCTAACACTCTTCTCCTTGTTGCATCCACCGAACGCGACTTACCCAACATCAACGTCATCAATGTTTTCTACGCCGCCGTCACACCCTCTTGTGTCTCATATACTCCTTGACCTCTATTATCGCCACTTCAAGTTTTCCACCATGCTCCCTTCATTTGTCATTTTCACCCATCACCTCCAGCATGTCCTCTCCAGCGTCCAAGTTCCATATCCGTGCTGTTTTATCTTCTGACACGCTCGTTAGCAGCGTGCTGTCCGCAAAAGATATCAATGCAGCTGATCTTCTTTGAGTGACCTCCAAATGCTTTACAGTGATAATCCTTGTTTCAACCTCACAGGTTTTCAGCTCCCCGCGATCGTCATCTCCACCACCAGTGATAACCAATCGTCCATCCCTTGATACTACCACCGCACCTATATTCCCTCGCAAACATCCCGCGCTTTCCCAGTCTCCTTGCTCATCTTCCGATCCCATTGCCGAGCAGTCTTATCATCAGATCCACCGATTATTCGCTGGTCATCTGGAAAGTAGGATTTCCACTCTCTGTGACCCTTCAAAGTTATTGATTGTATCAGAATCGATTTCGCAGAGCTGACGCGGAAGCCATGGCTATGACTCCGCAAGCGAAACCATGAAGTAATACGGGCAAGGTATTCTTTTGATGCGTTCAGAGGTGTAAAGGTGAGATCTCCTCGTGTCAATACTAGGGTGTTATATGACTGACGGTGGTAGCGATTCAAAGATAGACCCCCTGGTAAAGCCAAGCATCGATTCATCTGCGTTGGAGATACAGAGGTGTTACCAAGAGGTTCCGGTTAGCGGCAATGAATTTGATGAGCGATGAATTTCTATATGTGACAGCTATTGGCGTTGGGTGCCGCCTTGCGGCATATAGTATATACCCTAACACACCCCCTCTGACTGGCAACTGCATTGCACCCTAAATCCTTCCATTCATCTAATTTAATTTGTTTCTCTTCGCTTCTCGGCTCATAGCCATGACCTATACAATAGTGTCAATCTGTTTTCCATTTCCCACCCAGCGACGGCCGAGAAATCGTTGAACTTGTGTTACATATCGTTGCTCGCTCGTCGGTTTCGCTTTCAATACATGAACTTTTAGGGAGACCATTCTATCAAAACAAAGTGTTACGAGTACCTACCCATACACACAACGTTGCAGACACGTGGATACTTCAGCACCTTTTTTTTGCCCCTGGCCAGGTACGAACCACCTTATGAATTCACAACGTCACTGGGGGTTTCTTTGATGTTGAGCCCGAGAATTCTAGGTCCACATTACCTACTAGTATGCGTGTCGAATACCGGAAGCTTGGATCGTATAACTGCAACATCTCAAACACATTTAACGGCACATATCATATTAAAACTTAGCACTTGTAAGTGCTAGGACCCATCGCCCATCACCCCTACAAATCACAAGGCATCCAGTGCGCAGTCGAGGAGGAGACGGTAAGTTGAATACTAGGGAGTGTGTCCAAGATGCGGAAGTGTGAAAGAGAACCGCGGAATGAGCCAGTCTATGCATCGATGACAGCAACTTTGAACTGGCACCCTGGAGGTTGTCGCTGGTAGTTGGAAATGCGACTGTGTGAGGGTGAAGCAAGTTTGAAACTCGCCTTTGGTACCGCAATTCAAATGAGGTGTTCAAACAGATCACGAATCTAAGTGATATTGAGCATCCATGACATCATCATCATGTCATAGATGCATCGCCACGTCAATTTCACCTGGCTAGTGTTTAAATCGATCATTCTTCTCGCCCCAATAAGTACTGGTTGAGGTAAGAGGCTCTACGACGTTGGATCTCATTCATTCCAATGTTACGCCGGTCGTCATGCTTATGGAATATTTTCATCCACATTAACAATCAGCCGCTGGGCCAGGAGAATTGATAATGTGATATGTAAGCCAAGCGGCTTTAGAGACATACATAAGTAGCGTATAACTTGCTCGAGATACCAAGGACGTTTCGATTCCGGTTTACATCCAGCACCAACGAACTATGGCTTCTGACACCGTCGCGAACCTCACTTACATGCTCGCTCCACCTGACGGCTCTCGGCCGTACCATAACATCGACGCAGATAGCGTCACGGGAAAGCGCGCCCGTAACTGGGACGAGGAGGCGCATGAGATGAAAATTGAGAACTTGCGCGGGAAGGAGGAACTCTACAAGCTTGACAATGCTGGATTTCAGTACGGGCGAGAAGCGGCAAAGCATACCAGCTTCTTGAACGATGCTGAGATTGAGCGCGAATACTATCCTGAGAGCATTGATCTCATCAAGAGGGTTACGGGAGCAACCAAAATCGTCATCTTCGATCACAGTGAGTTGACTACCAATTTGAAACGACGTCTTGACGCTCAATCCATGTCATAGCTATTCGTCGCCGTCGCCCAGGCGAGCCAGATGACAGCCCACAGAAACGTCAACCAGTCCCCCTGGTTCATGTGGACCAAACGACTGTGTCGTCTATTGCTCGTGTTAATAGACATCTCCCGCCAACAGAAGCTCCGTCTCTCCTTCGCAAACGCTTCCAAATCATGAACCTTTGGCGTCCTATATCGCATGCAGCTGTAGATTGGCCGCTTGCACTATGCGACTTCCGCAGTATTGATGTGGAGAAAGACTTGGTGCCTGTCGCTCTTATATACCCTGACCGCGAGGGTGAGACACTTGGGGTCAAATACAACGCAAACCACCAGTGGAAATACATGAAGGCCATGACCCCAGAAGAGTTTGTTCTTATCAAATGGTGAGCGAAGTAACTTGGGAGAGCTTTCCGTCGTGCTAAAAGGGTGTCAGCTTTGACTCAATACTAGATGGCAGTGTCGCGAGGTTGACCCCTCATACTGGGTTCCAAGACCCGAACACTCCAGAGGGAACACCGCTTCGGGAATCCATCGAGCTGAGAGCTCTGGTATTCTATGATTAGAACACGTATTATCAACTGGCGTTGATAACTCATACCGCGTTTATTTGCTGTATCTATGTCCCATTTTATCGAATTATCATGAATCAGAGAAAGTTTGACGTGCTTAGTAGCAAATGCGTTTCCTGACGAAGCTTGCAAGAGACAAAGATGCACACAAGAAGAAGCTCCAGGGGAAAGATGCAACGCAACGAGACGCAGAAAGACGGGAGGATGTGATCGGAGAAGAAAGATCGGTCGAAGAAAAGAGGCAGATGAAACGAACGATATAGAAGAAGCAAATACATGAAAGTGTAAAGTTAGGATGTAACAGAAGAAGAAACAGCAGTAATGGAAGGCGATGTCGAGGGTGTTGCCAGTCGTTTTTATCGGGGTTAAACTTGGAGTAGAGGTTCTCCATCATGGGCGATTCCAAAAGATTAGTCAGCCAAGATGTGTCAGCGCTTCAAGCTTCGAAGCTTCAGCTTGACTCTGCTTGAGCAGCTAACCATACAGAAGAGTCCAGCATCGAGACACATAGTACTTACTGCTCCAGTACTACTCATCATGATGAAGACCCCGATCAAATACGCCACGTGTCTGCGACGCCGTGTGCTTGAGCAAAACTCGAGTCTACATTTGGTCTACATCATGATAGTAATTCTCAGGTATCTTGTATTTCGCCGTCCAGACGTTACGGTTCACTAGTCCATCCGAGTCTTCAAAGCTTTATATATGCGCGCGCTTTCTGAGTCGTGTTCTCCTCCGCGTCTCTGAATGTTGGACCGAGCACTCCTCAAAACTCCACGCTCAACTCAGGCTTAGCTATAGGGCTCCACGGTGTCGATGCTGAGCGACTTCCTCTTTGTGCTCCATACCATCTGGATTCTGCAAACGACTCTTCATTTATGGCTCCCAGTTGGACTAGTACTGTGCGCCCCGTTCGCACCTACAACTTGATCAATCTCAATCCAGCTTGGCTGATTTCACTTTTCACAAATATTGTGGCAGATATGGACCATCCATGCTCGGCCTTCTGTGATAAATTATCATGCCTTTGGTCAGATCCTGTCTTCTTCGACCTTGAGGACATATTTAATAATAATTTCCAGGCTTCACCGGTAGTCCCTATAGGGGTGACTTATGTCGCCTGTTTTCAACGCCAAATGGCGACTCATCATCAATAATGATTGCTGCTGTGCACATCATCAATAATGATTGCTGCTGTGCACATCATCTGCATACTAGATGATCTTTGGTGGGAGAGCCTTGGTAATTAAGGTAAGAAGCTCTGACTTTGGATATCCCGCATTTTGGCCGCATTTTGCTTCTGATAAATTTTCATCCACAATAACAATCAGTGGAATTGAAAATGTGATATGGATAGATAAGCTGAGTGGCTTCCTCGGCATTTGAAGGCATATAAGTAGGGTATAACTTGCTCTTGAGACTAAGGACGTTTCCATTCCGCTTTACATCTAGCATCAACAGAATAACCATGGCTTCTGACACCATCGGCACCCTCAACTACTTCACCTGTCCACTTGACGCCTCTCGGCTTTACGAAATAGTCAACGCAGATAGGGCCGCGGGAACCCGCAACTACACCCTAGAGCCGCATGATATGCGAATTGAAGACGTGCGCGGGAAGGAGGACCTTCACAGGCTTGACACTTCAGGATTTCAGTTTGGGCGAGAAGCGGCAAAGCATACTAGCTTCTTGAATGATGATGAGATTGAGCGCGAATACTACCCTGAGGGCATTGATCTCATCAAGAGGTATACGGGAGCAGCCAAAATCGTCATCTTCGATCACAGTGGGTTGACCACCAATTTGAAACGACGTCTTGATCCCTAATTCATGTCACAGCTGTTCGCTACCGCCCCTCAGGCGAGCTAGGTGATAACCCAGGGAGACGTCGACCAGTCACTGAGGTTCATGTGGACCAAACGCTTACGGCGGCTATTGGTCGTATTCATAAGCATCTCCCGCCATCAGAAGCTCCTTCCCTCCTTCGCAGACACTTCCAGATCATAAACCTTTGGCGTCCTATATCGCATGCAGCTGTAGATTGGCCACTTGCGCTATGCGACTTCCGCAGCGTCGATTTCGAGAAAGACTTGGTGCCCGTCGGTCTTATATACCCTGACCGCGAGGGTGAGACATTTGGGGTGAAATACAACCCAAACCACCAGTGGAAATACATGAAGGCAATGACCCCAGAAGAGTTTATTCTTATCAAAATGTGAGTGAAGTCACTCTAGGGTGCTTTCCGTTGTGCTAAAAGGATCTCAGCTCCGATTCGATACAAGATGGCAGTGTCGCGAGGTTGACCCCTCATACCGGGTTCCAAGACCCGAACACTCCAGAGGGAACACCGCCTCGGGAATCCATCGAGCTGAGAGCTCTGGTATTCTATGATTAGAATATGTATTGTCAAGTAGCGTTAATAACTCGTACCGCGTTTTTTGCTGTATCTATATGCCATTTTATTATTACGAATTACTTAGCCTAAATGTGTAGCGGAGGGGTTTCTTGATGAAGCTTGCAAGAGAACAAGATACCTACAAAAAGAAACTAAAGACGGGAGAATGTGATCGAGGAAGAAACAACGATCGAAGACGTCCACTGTGCATCCGAGTGTTCAAACGTTCATGTATGTGTAGGTTCGTGCGCTCTCCGAATCTTGTTCTCCTCCACGTCCCTGAATATGTATTTGTACTTTGCCGATTTCACTCTTCGAAATTTTGCCCAATCCTCGTGGACGTATCGTGGCTATCATGACACTATCCATGCATTCTTCAAGTAGTGCTGCCGCGGTCTGGTTCAACAAAATCATCGAACACAGAACCGGACCCTCGCAAAAGGTTCGGTTTTGGGGGGTTTGAACTCGAATCGAACCCAAAAAAAATCCTAGCGAAGCAAAACACGCGCAAAAGTATTGCAGGTCGTATATAAGTCGGGCAGGGGAGTCAGGCTATCGGGAGAACATGGAGAGTAGGCAGTGATAAAGGTCAAATATGAAAAAGATCGACCCAGGCGCAGGAAGAGAAAGTTGTCAGACTTGGGCATTAAAAAAAAAAAGACGAAGAACGAATACGGAAAGACAGGACTTGGATTCGAAATACACAACCTGCCAAGTGCTATCATGCTTCCCTGCTCTAATGTTTCCGCCGATTTGCATGGACGATCCTAAACTCGGGCATTGAATAGAATACGAAGTATGATCCACTGTACACTCAGTCACATCTAATTTGTATCTGAAATTTCAATAATGGTTCCATTGCTGCGATCTTCATTGGTACTAAGATCTGCAACTGTTGATTTTAGTATCTGCGAGGAACGAAAAGGGCTTTGAAGACACTCACTCCTCTCGGCACTTTTGCCAGTGTTGTCCGTGTGCCATGCGGCTCAAATCAAGCTCAGGACCTCCTCTGGGTATCACTAATGCAGTTGCAGGGCTATAGAATGGGTTTCGAGAAGCCGGTGGTACCCAGAATAATAGGCGACGTTTGGGTCCTATCATCCATCCACTGTCACGATTCAGTAAAAAGGGGGTCGAACCGCGGTCGTCATGGGATGCTCCCTCCGTCAGCTCTGAGGTGTTGCAGAGTGCATGGATAGAGTTGGACGAGAAGCGAATGGGGTGATTGTTCCAAATGTTCAATGTGATGGCAGCCGTGGCCTCGATCGTGCGATGTTCATCTGATAATGCTGAAGGATATGACACAGCGCACTGTTGTGACGGTTGGCTCATCACTGGATCCCACAGCCGAACAGTGCTATCCATTGAACCAGTGACGATGCGAGTGCCGTCCGGCGAGAATGAGACCGAGATTACTGGATCAACGTGCCCCCGCAAGGGCTCACCGACTGGCTCCCCCGTCCCTGCATCCCACAGCCGAACAGTCTTATCATAAGAACCAGTGACGATGCGAGTGCCATCCGGCGAGAACGAGACCGAGATTACTGAATCAGTGTGCCCCCGCAAGGACTCACCGACTGGCTCCCCCGTCCCCGCATCCCACAGCCGAACAGTCTTATCGTGCGAACCAGTGACGATGCGAGTGCCGTCCGGCGAGAACGAGACCGAGGTTACTGAATGAGTGTGCCCCCGCAAGGACTCACCGACTGGCTCCCCCGTCCCTGCATCCCACAGCCGAACAGTCTTATCGTGCGAACCAGTGACAATGCGAGTGCTGTCCGGCGAGAACGAGACCGAGGTTACTGCATCAGTGTGCCCCCGCAAGGGCTCACCGACTGGCTCCCTCGTCCCTGCATCCCACAACCGAACAGTCTTATCGTGCGAACCAGTGATGATGCGAGTGCCGTCCGGCGAGAATGAGACCGAGTTTACTGAATGAGTGTGCCCCCGCAAGGGCTCCCCGACTGGCTCCCCCGTCCCCGCATCCCACAGCCGAACAGTCTTATCGTAAGAACCAGTGACGATGCGAGTGCCGTCCGGCGAGAACGAGACCGACAAAACTGAATGAGTGTGACCACGCAAGAGCTCACCGACTGGCTCCCCCGTCCCTGCATCCCACAGTCGAACAGTGTCATCCCAAGAAGCAGTGACGATGCGAGTGCCGTCCGGCGAGAACGAGACCGACCTTACTGAGCCAGTGTGCCCCTTGAGCACGGCCTGAACAGCTGGCCAATTCATATCACGTCCACATGCTACACGAAGAGTATTCGGAAACCGTGCAGAAAACCTTCTCGATAACGGAGAGTTGGCAGGCGAGAATGGGAGTGCTGATACGTACAGGTGTGGCGTGCTGTGCAAAATCATCCCGCCGAAGACTTGAATGAACCTCTGTACGTCCATTGCAGTCGACGAGACATCCTTGAATTTAGGATGGCCCTGTGGTTGCGCATGAGCGCTTTATCTGGTACTTGGTAGCAATGTGCTCACCTTTAGCCACTGGGCAATGGGCGGAAGGGCACCGACTGCACCGCTGAGCGCTTTGGTTAGGGCGAGTGACTCGAGCCAGAAAAACACCCGCTCGTGGTCGAATAACAATTTCACTTCTTCCGCGAGTTCCTCGTCAAAGGCTGTGGTTCGTACGTGTGACGTCCAAAATCGAGATGAATATGACAGATGTAAGGGGATGCATTTTTGCACTCGTTCTTGTAGACCGGGATCTTCACTATTAGGTAGATACGACGACTTTAAATCACAGATGTTGAAGCGAAGACTGTGTTCCATCACTCGAAGCGACGAGAATGCAAGGTCGTGTTGCGCCTTTGATATGTCGATGAAAAACTCTCCACTAGATGATTTGTCCGTCAGGAAATCGTGGAAGGATGCGTGAAGGGGTCGGATTGGAGAATCTGGGCTGGTGGTGCCGCTAAGGAGGGAACCCATGCAGTTTGTCATGAGCTTCACGTCAAAATGGTCCCCTTGCTTTGGAAAATGATGCCTCATGGCGTTCAGGGAAGCTAAAGGAAGGGGTTCAGCTGTGCCTAGTATTTGTCCCATCACTGAGCGAAATCTCGCTAACGCAATCGATCGCAGTTTTTGTGAATGCGGAGATGTATCCCCAGGGATGATATCCTTTAAAATGAGGCGATACATGTCGTGCAATAGAGGGCTTCTCTCAGCAGGATCGCGTGACACCACTGCCTCGTAGCACTCCGTTGGAGATAGCCCAGCATGGGACTCTTTGATGTATCTGCAAGCGAGACGCGCCCACTCGAAAAGTCCATCAGCTTTCTCAGCGAGGACTGCGAACTCTCTGTCATGGAAATTGAGCCCTTCCAACGCCTTGGATGCGTAAGCACGGATGTCGCGCTCTGCATCTGCTCGTGGAATATTATCCATCGTCATCGGTCGAATATGCTGAACACCACGAAACTCGTTGTTGATGTCATCAAGAGGGCGGGAGGTGACGATGAAGCGGCAGTTGCCAGGAAGGTCTGTGATTTTGGGAACAGCGGGGTTGTGATGTTTTCCAGCTAGAATGCCGAGGAGGTCTTTCCGTGTCTCTACTCCACCGCTCTCGTCCAGTGCATCGACCACGATCACGATGGGTTCCCCAGTCGACCCAGATGACTTCTTCAGTGGTTCGATAAGAAGTTTCTGCCACTGCTGGATGATATCCGCTGTCTTCTTGAGCGAATTTGCGGTCTTGACTGCATCTGCCAATGCCCGCCTCATCTCCGGATCACGGTCAGCCAGGTCGAGCGCGATCGTGGAAAAGATCTTTTCATGGCGACGATCTGCTTCTCGCTGGCGGTCAAAACAGTAACACGCACCAAGCCCTCCCACGTCATTGACCCACTTAGCAACGGTGTGGGCGATGGCCGATTTGCCCTTGCCTGCAGGGCCGGATAGCCACAGCACGCGCGGAACGTTGTCCCCAGTGCTGTTGACCCATTCCGTGATCTGGGAAAGGATTTCCGTGCGGGTCCCTTCGAGGCATTCTTTTCCGGTATCTAGTCCCGCGCCATCTGCATAAGTCATACCGCTGAGGTCCAATGTTTCTTCTGAAAAGATATGAGTATATGTCAAGTCACAAGGAGGTCCGACCCTTACCCATCCGGTGGACGTGTGTGGCTATGTCGCGGACGTGTGTGCTTATGTCGTGGACGCCTATGGCTACGTCGCGAGCAACTTGGTCCCGGAAGTTTTGCATGAGGCTATCGAATACGTCATTGTACTTTTGGATCGTATCTTTCGTTTCCGAGATAATATTCTTTCTAAGTCTGTCCCCTGTGATGATGGTAGAAGCTCGAGACGGTACAGAGCGCAACAGCTTGTTAAGACTCACAAAAGTCCTTGGTCTCCGAATAATTTTTGATAAAATGGGCACATTCACGGGTCTGCTGAGAAATCTTGCCAAGGATGATGCGCATCGACGAGAGTTGTCCAAGCATGTCGTCTTGTGTTATCAAGCTGTAAACATCACATATCTTCTTGAGAAGTTTGAATACCGCTGCGTCGCGATCCGCTTGGGCTAGAATAATCTGTACCAATGATTGCTGAGCGGTGGGAGATAGCAGGAGATAGAGAGAAAACATACTTTGGCGGCGCAAGACAACACGCCTAGTGCCATCTTTGCATATGGATGTAACTGTGGGATGTGATTAGTTCGGTTACGATCGAGAGGAAGATCCATACATCTGCGATCTTGCCGATAACATTGTCAAATATTCTGAGGGGTTCGAGATATGTGTCCTGGAAAATGTCAACAGCATCGAGATCCTCTTCTCCGCCTTGGCCAACAGACGCCACAGTAATCACAGGTCCCGCAAGCGGATGCATGCGCTTTGTAGACTCTTGTGCATCCCGAAGTTCCGATTGGGTATCAGTCACTTCCACAGCAGATGAAGCCGCCTGAACTCGCGGGACCATCAGGATTTAGAAAGAGCGCAGAGACTGGAGGGCAAGTATGAGAACGTACCGAGGTCGATGAGGCACCTTCATGATTAACATTCGGGGGAACGGGGCTGCGACTGCGAGAATCCTTCGAGCGCTTATGGTAATATTAGTCACATTCTAGGACACTCATTACGCATGGTCGTGGACTTACCGAGATCCTTAACTTGTCCTTAACCTTCTTCAGAAACCGACCAACTCTGCCACGGGGTCGGTGCTAGACGAAGAATGTGTTAATGTCAGTGTTTGGAGTGGAATGGGCTAAGTGATGCTGATAAGCCACGTACCGAGCCTCCAGGAGCTGTTGCTTCGCTAGATGTGCGGGTTTGTTGAATCGAATCCCTCGATGAATTGCCTTTGGTCATTGTAAATAGCGGTTGAAGCGAAGTAAGTTACTAGAGACCCACATCATTATTTATAAGTATACGCCTCGAGGCAATATTTGTTGCAAGCGTTAAACGATAAGTATTTGGATTTGAATTTCGACCGCGTTCTTCTGACATGCGGTGGATCGTCGAAGGTGATTGTGACAAAGATAGCCTCGGCAGTGCTTATCCAGACGCCCAACGCCCAATGCTCAACCTTGTGACCGAAATGAGTATACCTAAAATAAAATAACAGGCCATTAACGCCTCGAGGCAATATTTGTTGCAAGCGTTAAACGATAAGCATTTGAATTTCGACCGCGTTCTTCTGATATAATTCAAGCGCCTAATGCCCAATATTTGCCCAACCTCGTGACCGAAATGAGTATAACGGACCAACTCTACCACGGGGTCGGTGCTAGACGAAGGATGGGTCAATGTCAGTGACTTCAGTGCACGTACCGAACTTTCACCAGCTGTTGCTTTGCTCGATTTCTGGGTTTGTTGATTTGAACCCTTCGATGATTTGCCTTTGGTCATTGTGAATAATGTACAGTTGAAGCAAAGTAAGATAAGAGTCCCGCCTCGAGGCAATATTTGTTGCAAGCAATAATTATAAGCATTGGAATTTCGACCGCGTTCGGTGAATCCAACTCGAGATGATTGTGACAAAAATAGCATCGGCCAATCAGCCCAAAGCCCAGCGCCCAACCTCGTGACCGAAATGAGTAGAGTAAATAGGGAGTAAAGCTACTGATCTAGAGTCTCTATCATCTTTGTACCGGCAGCAGCCAGCAAAGTTCGCACGGTCGGTTGTCAGGATCCTGCTGCACCAAGACAAAATATACCATTAATATTCTCCTCGTATCACCCATGGCTGCATCGAGCGCGACATAGTACGCATCATCAACGTCATGCAACCACCGCACCTTAACTTCCAAGCCACATCCACTTTTCCACCAAGAAGGCCGACGCTCTCTTCGAATAGTTGCCTCTACCCGCCACCTCCAGTGTGTCCTAGATGCACTCACGTCAGTCGGGCAGGTACTCAAGACAGACAACTCCACCATCCACGTCGTCAGCGTCAGCGTGCAAAAGTCCAACATCATTGCCGTATCCGCAGGTCCTGGGCTCTCTAGATCAGATACCATTGCACCGCCATTAACGCAGTTGGAGGACTACATTCGACACCATTCTCCATTTGACTCGAATACCAAGATACTGACTATTCCTCAGGTGCACGTCCCCTCTTCCGCCTTCTTACAAACTCCACGACATCTGCTACGAAATCTGTGCTGCATGTCCTTTTTCTCCCAATGTCTTTCGAGAGCAATGCTTACCAAGGCACCGATGCTCCAGAAGAAGTGCTCAAGGCAGGTGCACTCTACCGCGAGTATGACATTGTTAACCTTCGGATACCAAGTCCTACGATGACAGAAGCTTCCGACGCGCAGTTAGGTAAGTCGGTTTACTTGGTTGGTGACGATGTTGATGATGACGTGGATACACACAGGCCACAGACTTGGTGTATACGACAGAGTCCGCAACATATAAGTATCGAGCTATGGAGGGCGAACAGTACCGAACTTGCAAGGAAATCAGAGAACATGATGAACTGCAAGTGCGCCACGACCGCGTTGGTTCCTTCCTTCCCGCGATGGGCGACGCGCTCCCTCATCCGCCTGGCGTTGACTGAATTCCTTGACAACATCCACACCATCCAAACACTCCAAACGTGCATCCAGCACTTTTCCCAGGGCTGCCACTCCCAAACTCCAGCCACTTATTCTGGTCCTACCCACCCTCACCCATCGTCACTCACGTTGCCGACGCATACTGACTTTGTCGTTGTTGGCTCGGGTATTATTCGGACACCGTCTGTGAGAAGGATTTTGGATAGTGCAAGTGCTGATGTGATGTTAGAGTTGTTATGTTGAAAGCGAGAGATGCGTGTTCTGGGGCGACTGGGAGGTAAGTATCGTATCTACTCTCCCATAAAGCAGCGCACTAGGCAAATCTCACTGCCTCTATATCATAACTACACCTCACTCAAGTGTGATCACGGACTCCCAAGTTGTCGCCCAAAAGATGATTAAATTGAGGTTTGCGCGTCTCGAGGAGTTGCGAAGCGTCGTTGAACAAGAAGGCATTCTTGCAGAATCTCATTGGCGGGAGGTGGATGTGTTTTATAACTCGCACATGTTCGAGAAGGCTGCAGGTCCATGCGTCTAAGCTGTGCCCATGCTCCTGGCTTTCTCCGGTTTTCTCCCCAAACAACTTGCTTGTCTCCTTAAGCGCGCCCCTTTACTCTCGTGGTGAGTACGCATATGTCGGGTTGCAAACGCACAAGCGCTTGTGTGCACGCTCGCTCGCGATTTACTTTCCTGTTTCTTTACTCCCCTTCAGTTGTGTCAGGTGTCGGCCTACTGTTTCAGTGTATGGGACTTGTTCACAGACCACCAAATGGCCAGGTTCTAGGTGAGTGCATCGCTGTGCAATGTTCCTTAAATCAAACTCTGATCATCCCAGTCATGCGTGTGGTACCAATTTAGGCTCAGAACGAGCTGGCGCCAGACCTGACAGGTTGGCATTATGTAGCGAGGGACGGCCAGCAAAATGCAATGTGACATTTGGCTTCGTTTGCGTGTCAGCGAGGTAGGTCTTCTTTCATTCACAAGATTATGCTATTGAAGGCGCGATTCAGATCAGGCTTATCTTGAACGATTCGGGTCCTGTCAACCTCTTCCGCTTCGTCATCGATCCCCAGAGCTTTTCCCGATCTGTGGAAAATCTATTCCATCTTTCGTATCTCTTTCTGGACCAGTTCTGCAAGCGCCATTGTTTCTGTTGGTTTGTTTCAATATCTTGTACTCATTTGTAATTTTGTGCTGTTCGCTCTGACATCTGCCCGAAGGCACTCGTCATTTCAATGTATGAGCCAAAAGGTCTTCTTCGATTATTTAGTGATTCACACGCATGGTCCTAGCACGTGTATACCACAGGCGGCAGTCAAGGTCTTGCACTCGCGAAACTCGTCGCGCGGAAAGGTGCCCACATTTCTATAGTAGCAAGAAACAAAAGCAAACTCAATGATGCTTTGAAAGAACTCGAGGTTCGTGTCTGTGATCAAACCCGCTGTTCGTTTTGAATGCCATACACAGGCCAATCGCCAAAGCCCAGACCAAGTATTCAAAGCCTTTTCCTTCTCCCTCAACACCGCAGAAGAATCTTCAGCTGCTCTTCAAGCTGCTAGCGATGCACACGACGGTCAAGTCCCAGATGCCGTTTTCGCATGCGCAGGTGCTGCAAAACCGATGTACCTTCTTGAAATGCAGCCAGAGGACCTCTCGCGCGAAATGGAGAATGTGTACTGGATACAGGCATGGACTGCATTCGTGAGTCGACTGTTCAACTCTATTTCAGATCACGGACGAGAACATGTCATTGAGCGAACAATAAACAGGCTGCTACTAAACGAATGGTACGCGAGAATAAGAAGGGGAAAATTGTACTGGTGTCTTCGACACTTGGATATATGTCTCTGATTGGATATTCTTCGTATTCGCCAGCAAAGCATGCCCTGCGTGGTAAGTAACGACTGTCTACTCTACTCCTGGTTTTTTTTGGTGATACTGGTGATACGGCTTGGTAGGACTCTACTCCTGGTTTTTTTTGGTGATACTGGTGATACGGCTTGGTAGGACTGGCTGATTCGTTGCATTCAGAATCGAAGCTCTATGGAATCAATACTCACATCTTCCTTCCGACAATGTATACACCTGGTTTTGAAGAAGAAAACAAGACGAAGCCGGCTATTACTAGAGCGATTGAGTCGGCGGATGAAGGTCTGACAGCGGACCAGGCTGCTGCTGGATTAACGCCCTCCAAAAACTGCGTGAGTCAGTCTGTTTCCCCTAGTCTCATATACGAAGATTCACATTGACACACATTTATCACGAGTTCAGTGCAAATTTATGGAACTCAATTTGTAGCCCTTGCACTCTTCCTGCCGAGTCTCCAGAAATTAACTATCAAAGAGCTCCTTGACGAGGACGCCAGTTGTGATACCCTGATGCATCCGAGTCTGCGTCCAAATATCACCCTCTGACATCTATCGTACCGGAATCGCTCATTTTAGCCCCTACTCTTCGCATTGCGTCAATTTCATCGTCCGTTCACTTGCTCTTGCCCGGTGCCTTTTCCTTCCAGCTATTTGTTCATACCTCACAGCTCATACCATCCTTATACGCATCGTTTTTATGGTGCTCTCGTTCTCAGATCTCACCGCCTTCCTCATGGATATCGCGATTACATGTTGAACTGTACGGTGAACACAATGGATTACACATTTCGTCCTACCCTGTTTTTTTCATATTTTAGCCACCTTGAGTGTACTCACTGCAATGGGAGCTTGAACTATCACAGACGACCGCAACAACGACGTCCCTCTGTCCAGCTTCTCAGTCCGCTATGAGGAAGCACCGATGCATACACTTCAACACGACCCACAATGCATGCGCGCAGCCGGACCTCTGATGGAATGGCATGCCTTGTCCGTCGTTACATGCTCTCACATAAGGCCAATAGCTGCACTCACATTCAGGAATCCATCGCTCATCAAACCCATCACTACATAAGTTCACCGCTAGCAACCGGAACCTCTGCTAACACCAAATTCTCATCTGTATATCCAGTGCGGATGAATTGATGATCAAGTTTGGCCTTACCAGGCGGCCCATCTTCGAATCGCTACTGCCGTCAATCATATAGCAGATTGACACCGGGAGACCTCACCTTGGTGCCTCTTCAACGCATCCAAAGAATACCTTGCCTACTTTACGGTTTCGCTCATGGAGGCACAGCCATGGCTTCCATGTCGACGAAAGCAGCTACGAAATCGATTCTGACACATCAACAACTTGAACATGGAGAGCGAATTCCTGCTTTCCAGACGGCCGGCGAATGATCAGCGAATTTTGGGACAAGATTACTCGGCAATTGGATCTGAAGGCGGGAAAGGAGATTAAGGAAGCGCGCGGTGTTTGTGAGGAGAAGGTGTTGACAGTGGCGGTATCAAGGGATGGTTGATGGATTATCACTGCTGGTGTGGCAACTTGAAACTGGTGGCTGGTCCGTCCGGACTCCGGGGATCTTGGTTGGGTGGGTGCGGTTTGATTTTCCACTGATTTGAAGAAGGTCGCGGTGAAGTTAGATATGGGGACTGCCTTGAGGTCTGGATATCCGGTCACAGAAATCGGTTGTGAGCATAGGAAACCCCTATGGATACTTCGATTGACTTGCAATGAAAGCGCAGAGATGAAGAGAGATGATGACCAAAAGCACTTTGTGACGTCGCTTACTGTGAGGCTCGAAAACAACGGGTTACGGTGCAATAGACAAGAGTGTGTTCAAACAAAATGACTCCAACATCAAAGTCTGAATTCTACTGGTTGAAATAAAAGTAATGTAACTCTACGACTAACGATGGCACGTAAGGCCCGAGAAACAGCGAGTATCAGGCAAGCGGAAATAGGGATAAAGAACAGGTGGAAAAGTACTCAGCCGATGGCGACATCGAGCGACTGTGGAAACAACAGGTAATCGAGGGTAGTTAAGAACTTGACATAAATGAGATAACATAAACGAAACAAATATAGGACAGATGCTGTGGGACAGCACACTCATTCGCATCTAGATTGTATCTGAAATCTCCATAATGTATCCATTAATGCGATTATCGTTGGTACTAAGGTCTGCAAGTGTTGATTTCAGTAACTGCGAGGAACGGAAAGGACTTTGAAGACACTCACTGCTCTCGGCACTTGTGCCAGTGTTGTCCATGTGCCATGCGGCTCAGATCAAGCTCAGGGACTCCTCTGGGTATCACTAAGGCAGTTGCAGGGTTATATAAGAATGGGGTTCGAGAAGCCGGTGGTACCCAGAATAACAGGCGATGTTTGGGTCCTACTATCCATCCACTGTCATGATTCAGTAAAAAGGGGGTCGAACTGCGGTCGTCATAGGATGCTCCCTCCGTTAGCTCTGAGGTGTTGCAGAGTGCATGGGTAGAGTTGGACGAGAAGCGAATGGGGTGATTGTTCCCAATGTTTAATGTGATGGTAGTCGTGGCCTCGATCGTGCGATGATCATATGATAATGCTGAAGGATCTGACACAGCGCACTGTTGTGACGGCTAGTTCATCACTGGATCCCACAGCCGAACAGTGTTATCCCAAGAACTGGTGATGATGCGAGTGCCATCCGGCGAGAACGAGACCGACAAAACTGAAGAAGTGTGCCCCCGCAAGGGCTCACCGACTGGCTCCCCCGTCCCTGCATCCCATACCCGAACAGTTTTATCGTCCGAACCAGTGACGATGCGAGTGCCGTCCGGCGAGAACGAGACCGAGTTTACTGTAGAAGTGTGCCCCTGCAAGGGCTCACCGACTGGCTCCCCCGTCCCTGCATTCCACAGTCGAACAGTTTTATCATCCGAACCAGTGACAATGCGAGTGCCATCCGGCGAGAACGAGACCGAGTGTACTGAAGAAGTGTGCCCCCGCAAGGGTTCACCGACTGGCTCCCCCGTTCCTGCATCCCACAGCCGAACAGTGTTATCCAAAGAACCAGTGACGATGCGAGTGCCATCCGGCGAGAACGAGACCGACCAAACTGGGGAAGTGTGTCCCCGCAAGGGCTCACTGACTGGCTCCCCCCTCATTATCCCTGCATCCCACAGCCGAACAGTGTCATCCGAAGAACCAGTGACGATGCGAGTGCCATCCGGCGAGAACGAGACCGAGTTTACTGAAGAAGTGTGTCCCCGCAAGGGCTCACCGACTGGCTCCCCCGTCCCTGCATCCCACAGCCGAACAGTCTTATCGTGCGAACCAGTGATGATGCGAGTGCCGTCCGGCGAGAATGAGACCGAGTTTACTGAATGAGTGTGCCCCCGCAAGGGCTCCCCGACTGGCTCCCCCGTCCCCGCATCCCACAGCCGAACAGTCTTATCGTAAGAACCAGTGACGATGCGAGTGCCGTCCGGCGAGAACGAGACCGAGTTTACTCGACGAGTGTGCCCCAGCAAGGGTTCACCTACCGGCTCCCCCGTCCCTGCATCCCACAGCCGAACAGTCTTATCCAAAGAACCAGTGACGATGCGAGTGCCGTCCGGGGAGAACGAGACCGAGTTTACTTCATGAGTGTGCCCCCGCAAGGGCTTACCGACTGGCTCCCCCGTCTCTGCATCCCACAGCCGAACAGTCTCATCCAAAGAACCAGTGACGATGCGAGTGCCGTCCGGCGAGAATGAGACAGAGTTTACTCGATGACTGTGCCCCCACATGGGCTGACCAACTGGCTCCCCCGTTTTTGCATCCCACAGCCGAACAGTGTTATCGTCCGAACCAGTGACGATGCGAGTGCCGTCCGGCGAGAATGCGACCGAGTTTACTTCCTCAGTGTGCCCCTGCAAGGGCTCACCGACTGGCTCCCCCGTCCTTGCATCCCACAGCCGAACAGTCTCATCCAAAGAACCAGTGACGATGCGAGTGCCGTCCGGCGAGAACGAGGACCGAGTTTACGTTATCAGTGTGCCCCCTGAGCACGGTCTGAACAGCTGGCCAATTCATATCACGTCCACATGCTACACGGAGAGTATTCGGAAACCGTGCAGAAAACTTTCTGGATAGCGGAGAGTTGATAGGCAAGAATGAGAGTGCTGATACATACAGGTGTGGCGTGCTGTGCAAAATCATGCCGCCGAAGACTTGGAATGAACCTCTGTACGTCCATTGCAGTCGACAACACATCGTTGAATTTAGGATGGCCCTGTGGTGGCGCATGAGCGCTTTATCTGGCACTCAGTAGCAATGCATTCACCTTCAACCACTGGGGAATGACTGAGAGGGCAGGAACTGCAGCGCCCAGCGCCTCGATCAAGGCAAGTAACTCGAGCCAGAAAAACACCCGCTCGTGGTCAAATAACAATTTCACTTTCTTTCGCGAGTTCCTTGTCAAAGGCTGTGGTTCGTACGTGTGACGTCCCAAAATCGAGATGAATATGACAGATGTAAGGGGATGCATTTTTGCACTCGTTCTTGTAGACCGGGATCTTCCCTATTAGGCAGATATGACGACTTTAAATCACAGATGTTGAAGCGAAGACTGTGTTCCATCACTCGAAGCGACGCGAATGCAAGGTCGTGTTGCGCCTTTGACAGGTCGATGAAAAACTCTCCACTGGATGATCTGTCCGTCAGGAAATCGCGGAAGGATGCATGAAGTGGTCGGATTGGGGAATCTGGGTTGGTGGTGCCGCTGAGGAGGGAGCCCATGCTGTTTACCACAAGATCGACGTCGAAATTATCCTCCGGAGTCGGAAATGGCGCCTCATGGCGTTCAGGGAAGCTAAAGGAAGGGGTTCAGCTGTGCTAAGTATTTGTCCCATTACTGAGCGAAATCTCGCTAGTTTCGTCAAACGTAGTTTCGGTGAAGGCTGCATATGGGTAGATGTATCCCTGGGCATGATATTTGTTAAAATGAGGAGATACATCTCGTGCAACAGCCTGCTTCTCTCTGCAGGATCGCGTGGCACCACGACTTTGTAGCGTTCGATTGGAGATAGCCCCATATCAGACTCTTTGATGTATCCGCAGGCGAGACGCGCCCACTCGAAAAGTCCATCAGCTTTCTCAGCGAGGATTGCGAACTCTCTACCGTGGAAATTCAGCCCTTCCAACTCCTTGGATACGTAAGCACGGATGTCGCGCTCCGTATCTGCTCGTGGAATATCATCCATCGACATCTGTCGAATGTGCTGAGCACCACGAAGCTTGTCTTTGATGTCATCAAACGGGCGCGAGGTGACGATGAAGCGGAAGTTGCCAGGAAGGTCTGTGATTTTGGGAACAGCAGGGTTGTGATGTTTGCCGGCTAGAATGCCGAGGAGGTCTTTCCGTGTCTCTACTCCGCCGCCCTCGTCCAGTGCATCGATCACGATCACGATGGGTTCTCCAGTTGACCCAAATGACTTCTTCAGTGGTTCAATAAGAAGTTTCTGCCACTGCTGGATGATATCCGTTGTCTTCTTGAGCGAATTTGCGGTCTTGACTGCATCTGCCAATGCCCGCCTCATCTCCGGATCACGGTCAGCCAGGTCGAGCGCGATGGTGGAAAAGATCTTTTCATGGCGACGATCTGCTTCTCGCTGGCGGTCAAAACAGTAACACGAACCAAGCCCTCCCACGTCATTGACCCACTTAGCAACGGTGTGGGCGATGGCCGATTTGCCCTTGCCTGCAGGGCCAGATAGCCACAGCACGCGTGGAGTGTTGTCCCCAGTGTTGTTGACCCATTCCGTGATCTGGGAAGGATTCCCGTGCGTGTCCCTTCGAGGCATTCTTTTCCGGTGACTAGTCCCGCGCCATCTGCATAAGTTATACCGCTGAGATCCGATGCCTCTTCTGAAAAGGTATGAGTATATGTCAAGTCACAAGGACGTCCGACCCTTACCCATACGGTGGACGTGTATGGTTATGTCGTGGATGTGTGTGTTTATGTTGTGGACGCCTGTGACTACGTCGCGAGCAACCCTGGTCGCGGAAGTTGTCCATGAGCCTATCAAACACGTCATTGTACTTTTGGATCGTATCTTCTGTTTCCGAGAAGACGTCCTTTCCAAGTCCGCTCCCTGTGATGATGATAGAAGCTCAAGACGGTACAGGGCGCAATAGCTTGTAACACTCACCAAATTTTATCGCCTTTGAATATTTTTTGATAAAATGGGCGCATTCGCGGGTCTGCTCAGAAATCTTGCCAAGGATGATGCGCATCGACGAGAGTTGTCCAAGCATGTCGTCTTGTGTTATGAAGCGGTAAACATCACATATCTTCTTGAGAAGTTCGAGCACCGCTGCGTCGCGATCCGCTTGAGATAGAATAATCTGTACCGATGATTGCTGAGTGGTGGGAGATAGGAGAAGATAGAGAGAAAAACATACTTTGGCTGCGCAAGACAACACGCCCAGTGCCATTTTTGCATATGGATGTAACTGTGGGATGTGATTAGTTCGGTTACGATCGAGAGGAAGGTCCATACATCTGCGATATTGCTGATAACATTGTCAAATATTTTGAGGGGTTCGAGATATGTGTCCTGGAAAACTGTCGACGGCATCGAGATCCTCTTCTCCGCCTTGGCCAACAGATGCCTCAGTAATCACAGGTCCCGCAAGCGGATGCACGCGCATTGCAAACTCTTGTGCACACCGAAGTTCCGATTGGGTATTAGTCACTTCCATGGGAGATGGAGCCGCCTGAAACTCGCGGGACCACCAGGATTTAGAAAGAGCGCAGAGATTGGAAGGCAAGTATGAGAACGTACCGAGGTCGATGAAGCACCTTCATGATTAACATTCGGGGAAGAAGGCTGCGGCTGGGTGAATCCTTCAAGCGCTTATGACATTCTCAGTCGTATTCCAGGACACTCATTACTACGCATGCTCGTGGACTTACCGATTTCCTTAACTTGTCCTTAACCTTCTTCAGAAAACCGACCAACTCTGCCACGGGGTCGGTGCTAGACGAAGAATGTGTTAATGTCAGTGTTTGGAGTGGAAGGAACTAAGTGATGCTCATGAGCCACGTACCGAGCCTCCACGAGCTGTTGCTTCGCTAGATGTGCGGGTTTGTTGAGTCGAATCCGTCGATGAATTGCCTTTGGCCATTGTGAATAGCAGTTGAAGCGAAGTGAGATATTAAGAGACCCACATCATTTATATAAAATAACAGGCCATTAACACCTCGAGGTAATATTCGTTGCCACGATAAGCATTCGAGTTTCGACCGCGTTCTTCTGACATGCGGTGGATCGTCGAAGGTGATTGTGACAAAAATAGCCTCGGCTATGGAAGACAGGACTGCCGCGCTCACTTAGTCATGTCACAATCGCATATAAGGCAATAGGACTCCGTGCACTTCAATCTCGAATAAATAAGTTATTTACAAGTGTTCTTTCCAACTTGAAAGTGTCTCTGCCTGGCAGCGCTCGGATTACAAGGTCCATCGTAACTCATCAAAATAAGTAACTCTCCTAAGCATATACTTCCAACTCAAATCCTGGCCACTTGCAATAGTGGTTACAGAGGTGCCTTGCCTTAAAGTCGTCCACCACACTTGCAATGTTCCCGTCACCGAAAAGATCAATTCCTTCATTGACTGAGCTAGAGAAGCAGTTAATGAAGGTCACCAACCATAGTAGCTGAAAATGCACATACCGGTGGGTCAAAATCTGAGGATCAGTCAGAAGCTCGGTGCTGCCTTGATAATCAGAAATGAACGCCAGACCCTCTGTCTTTTCATACTGGATGTGCTGAGTAAACGAGAGAAAGACGGCTAGGTCATAGCCGTATTCATCCTCATCAAGTGAAGGTCCGTAGTCCTTGTTGTGGATGAACTTCACGAATGTCTGATCATTAGGAGTACCAGACGTCACCCCGCTCCTCAAGGAGATAAACCGCCGAAAACATCCCCGCCTTAATGTCTGCCATGGGAGCTTGTTCGGAGGTGCCCTGAGTGTTTGACGAGTGTCGAGAAAACGCCAAAGCAATGCCCGCTTCCACGAAACGCACACGGGGTATTGGAAAAGATGGCAGAGTTGGTGCGGCATTGATACAGTGATCGATGTATTCGTAAGTGAAGTCAAGGAGAGATTTTGCCCAGTACAACAAGTTACATTCATTGAGGAGTTTTTCATGCTCATCTGGTAGTGCGTAACGTGAAATCTTGAGGATGCTGGATCCAGGGGTGTGAGGGGGAGGTCTGTGAAATGGCCGCTTGACAACAACATCCTGCTGAGCACGCGACCCAAGGCCACTGGAGGATAGGGGAGATAGCGTGAGCCACCCTGGATGAGCTGTCTTAAAGGCACCGATACCGATCATGCTGCGAATGGGGGACATCGATAGTGAGTTGTCCGATAGACGAATTTGAGATGTTGGGTTTGAATGAACGATACTGAGGAGTCTTCAAGATATCGGCTAGTGGGCGCACAGGGATTGGATGGAATTGAATGTCCTCATTGCGGAAGTCATAAACTAAAGTCAATACTCATTAGAATGCCTGCCTCAAGACAAAGGATGAACTCACCTTTAGGTGCACGCACAGCATCTACACTACCTCCACTTTTCAAGGCCTCTTTCAAATCATTACGGTCAGGAAGGTGGAATACACCAGGTGCTGGCTTCTTGCGAGGAGGTGACACAGTACTATTTGTGGAGTCGCTCTCTCTGCGAACATGAGCCCGCTTTGCTGATGGACGTGTCGGATTATGTGCTGAGCTGTCAGTAACAGTGGAATTACGTCCCACAGTAGATAAGGCATCTGGTCCTTCGAAGTCAAGACCAAATGGGTCTTCATCCTCTTGTTGTGCGGCCCATGGGTCATCTGAGTTGGTGCCGGAAGTTCGAGGGTCTCGTTCTTCAGTAACAGTAATGATAGATCTGTGTCGTTGGAGCTGTTCACGCAAGATATTCTGAGAAATCTATGAGTTAGCAGAGTGACAATACATCGAATGAGCGGAATCTTACTTCTTCTTCAGTTTTATCCAGCCATGCCTCATACTCACTCCACTGCGCTGCAGGCACAACAACCATGAGTAAGAATTGCTTGGTCTTGAAAGTTGTCGTCTTTGGTCCGCGTCGAGATTGGACTAAGCACTGAGCTAAGAAGTACGGAATGGCAGGCAAATGTCCGGATAGGTCAACCCAGGTAGCATCCCGGACAACAAATTCTTCTGTGCGCCAAGGAAATCCCCTTCCAAATGTGAGGATTTTCGGTAGAATAGTATCTAAAGCGATTTGTATAAGCCCAGGGGCGTCCAAGCGAGCATCGATGTCCTTCTTTCCTTCACAAATATTCTGATTTATGAGCATCAGAAAAACAGCAACCTGGAGAGATAGAAAGAAAAACAAATGTACCCCAAAGTTAATGCCGCGCCCACTTTTCTTCCGTGAATTTCCCTCGTATACAGCTGATATCTCTAATGTGATGGTCTCTGCAGGGGGCGGAGCATATGCCAATTTAGCCCATCGTTCACGCTCCAGACCATACTGAGCATGGTGCACAGAATACCCTGCAGCACCAGATACCATGTTCGGGTTGGAACTAGCCGGCGATTGTTGCCATGATAGAGGCACAGCGATATCTGGGCCTGAAATGCGGCCTATGTGCGCAGTGCTACTGGAGGGCTGAGACAAGAAGGGTACTACACGGGGTGGATTGATAGTTGCTATTGAATTTCGCCATTCAGACATGTTTGATATGTAATAGAGAAATTTGACTTACACTTGCGTTGTGCTGCATTCACGGTCTGGCGTATGATATGAGGATTTGGAAGTAACTGTGATTGTGCGGCTGGATGTAATTAATAGCGTCATTGATCAAAAGCTATATAGGGGTTTCAAGTGTACTTACAAGAAGGGCGGACTGAAGAGGGTCGGACCGAAGTTGAAAGCTTCTGTGAGTATCGCAAGTAACATGCTTCACAAACGAAGCGACCAGGTTGGCCAGGCACAATGGTGGCAACATAATAGCATGGAGCGCCTTTGAGTATTGTGCTGCGGCAAGCAGGTCGACCACAGACACGGTCCTCCTTGGCAACAGCATCTTCGGTAAACTGAGAGACGAGTTCCATGATGCTAGTAGGTGCTTGTGTGATGAGTTGAAGGAATTGAAGGAATATAACAGTGGCCCTACAACACTTCAGAGACAGGCTTTATATAAAGACTGTTTGGAAAAACTCACCGCTCTGAAGAGTCGCATCTAGTAAGTGGAGGGTCATTGATATCCCGCAGTACTGAGTTGCATCTAAGTCGAGAGTCAGCAAATTCTTCAGCGAGTTGGATCATTGTGCGCAACATGTGAGTCACCATGATCATGGTCAAAATGATGCACAGATTCACCATGTGGTCGAAACAGCACACAGATTCAACATATTAAAGTTATCTGCCGCAGTGTATCCGAAAGTCTCCGCATCGGACTTATCACGGCGGACTTTATTCAATTGTACTGACCGTTCAAGTCTAGCCATTTGTCGCATTCAACCTCAGGCTGCAACTCTATCGGTGCAGTCGCATTCAACCTGGTGTTCATTCAGCTAAATCTTATCTTGGTGTTCAAGTTGGTGCTCAGTGCACCTATTCTGCTGGCTCCACTCTTATCTTGGTGTTCCTATTCCACTGGGTGCAGTCACATTCAACCTGGTGTTCATTCAGCTAACTCTTATCTTGCCAGTGGTGTTCAAGTTGGTATTCAGTGCGCCTATTCTGCTGGCTCCACTCTTATCTTGGTGTTCCTATTCTGCTGACCAGTGCACCTATTCCGCTTATTGCTATCAGCACTTGCCATTGAAGCTTTTAAAGTGCAGCTATCATGGTGACCGTCAGTCAAACTACTATGCCCAACCAAAACAAACCAACCCGTATGCACCTCTCTATGTATTGTGATTACAAGGCTAACATGACTTGCAATATCAGCACCTCTTGAGGTGATTGCTCCTCACATCCTTCGGTACTGGAAAGCGCGTCAAACAGACAGGAAGATTGTAGAAAACTTGCAGAATCATTTTGACACGTCTCGTTATGGACTAGGGTGAGTCGATTTCCACTAATTGATACTATTTTTCTGATCTTTGTGTGTAGATACACGAAGTTCAGAGAGATCCGCAATGACATGGGTCTCCTGCGTACCCGCCAGCAGAGCCACACCATCGAATCTATCCGTGAAGCCATGATCGAGCTTCGCAAGGCATACCCAAATGCTGGTGCGCGGGAAATGGTGATTTTGCTATTTCACGAGAAAGAAATGAGCGTTTCAAGGTACTTAATTTGTTTGACGTTGATCTGTATCTGACTAGCTACCAAATAGAAATTTAGTGATAGCATACTGTGCCATCTATGAAGCAGACCTCGTACATCAGCGAAAAGCTCGCCGTCTCAAGCGGAGGCGGTTCTGGGCCGCCGGCGTCAACGACCTATTTGCTGTTGATCAACATGATAAGTGGCTTCGATTCGGTCTTGCATTGCACACTGGAGTGGAGCCATTCTCGGGTCGCATCATGTGGATCCGAGTGTGGCATTCCAACCGCAACCCCCAGCTCATTCTCACTTACTATCTTGAGACCATCCAGAAACTGGGTTGTAAGTTCGTTTTAATAACTATCTATCGCACTGTTACTCATTTAAGTTGCCTTGCCTGGGTATGACAGATATGCCACTAGTGACTCAGAGTGATCCCGGCACTGAAAACTATGGAATCGCCAATGCACACACTATGCTTCGTCAAATGTATGATCCGGCACTGCAAGGTACATTACAACACCGCTGGATGCGGACCAAGAAGAATGTTAAACCGGAGATCACTTGGTCTCAGTTGCGGCGCCGGTTTACTCCTGGTTTTGAAACACTCTTGGATGAAGGAGTGGAGAACGGCTGGTATGATAGTGATAACACCCTTCAGGTGTAAGTGACTTCGGGCCTGGCTTTCCACCATTTCGACTTTGCTCACAGTGGTGTATTTAGCATGATCTTCCGCTGGATTTTTATTCCATGGCTTCAGTGTGAGCTAGATAGGTATCAGGACCGCGTTAATAACACCCTCAAGAGGCCAGATCGTAACAAGGTATTTGATTGTTTGATAGTAGTCATTTACATTTGTTTAGCGCTTACAATCTAGGTGCTTCCACACGGTGTACCTAATCTAATATACGAGTCTCCAGAAGATTTCGGGGCCCTGAACTTTAAGGTGCGCTTCATTCAAATACTACTTGAACCACGTTGTCACACTAACTGGCTTATTATTCTAGGTAACAGTCAAACAAGACGATATAGACTATGTCCGCCGTCTCTATGTGAACCCTGATCATCCGGTCTTCGATTTGGTTCCCCGAGCCCTCAACAACTTCATTCAAGGCTGTTATGAAGACCTAGGCCGCCCTCCAATCACTCGTCAGTCTGTATGGACGGTCTACTTAGATTTGTATGATTCGATGCAGCGCTCTGTGCAGGTGCCAGCTGTTGTCAGGTCTCTTACAGATGGCACTGACCCGGATGAAGAGCCTTTGCCTCTCCTCGAAAACCAAAATGACCTTTTTTTTTCATGAGGATACTGATGGTGCTTACTATATGGGTGGCATTCACGGCGGACAAGGTCTTGGTACGTTTTCTCTGTTTGAATCAAGTTTGCACTAAATTACCGCACATTAGATGCATCTGATCATCACCGGCTGGATGAACTGGCTGAGTTGGACGAACCAGGTGCACACTTACTGCCTACAGCCCCAATCATAGAGGAAGAGGCATTAGTTATTGCGGGATTCTCTGATGAGGAGGACAACGATGAAACATTTGATTGGTGACTTAACTTAGTGTAGAGTTTGTCTTTTTGTGTTAGTTGAACTAGCAGTGACCCATGGCTACACCCCTCAGTCGTGTTTAAAATTTGCACAATTTGCAATGAACAACAGTCCCCGACTCTATGAAGTAGGGAGGGTTTTGTCAGACGCAAACGGTCAATTGTCTGTAAATCAGTTGCAGCTTACGTGTATTGAATGAAAAACCGTCCGTCGTGACACGCGTACTTGATTTCCACGTTCAACTCGCAACAACTCTGGAATGCAAGGGCATCAACAAATGTATTGGGCCATGCCCCCTTGCGTGATGTATATGTGGACGATAGAGAGGGGAGCGTGAATCCACCTCAGTCAGCCCGGGGCAAAACGGCCAAACCGAGCGTCGTGGGTGGAGGAGGTGAGGAGTTCAAATGTGGACATGGGGGAGGGTGGGGGTGAAACCACCTCGCTCAACCCGGGGCAAAACGGCCAAACCGAGCATTGCGGGTGGCCCAGGAGAGAGGTCCAACGGGCACGCAATGGGATAGAAGGCAGGGGTAACTCACCATCAAAAAATGCGACCATCTCGGGGTGACACAATGGCCAAGCTTGGGGCACAGCATGAGGAGCGCTTGCTCACTGAACTTGTGAAGGGAGGGTAAAGCTAAAAAGTCGTAATCATACTTGCTAACAAATGCAGTGGCAATTGAGAAGTATGTGAATGGTCCTTGACAACAGTCCACATACAAGATTCAGATAGAATAAAAGGTGGAGGTCGTATATCGAAGGTACAAGCATGTACAGCATATAGAAAACAAAACCAAGCAGAGTCGGGGACTGGCGGCATGGCCGCCGCTACGATATAGTAGATGACACTAGAGGTGCACGGAGTCCCTGCATCACACCTGCCCGATATGAGTGTGGTCACGCTATGTAACGGAGCGCGGCAGTCCTGTCTTCCATAGGTTCATTATTTTGCCAAAGAAAGAAGGTGACCCCCCGAGAAGTTGACCCTTTGAAGATCTCACCTGACCTATTTTTCCGCGCCACCGCTTGTCATAATTACTAAAATTAGACCAAATATGAGTTCAAGGAACGACCACCGTTCGCTGTTCTAGTGTCCACGATGAGCAGTGAAAACGAACCTCTAATTCCAAGCGCCGAACATGAGACGGTGCACCAGAAATCTCGTACACTTCGCAACCGCGCACTCGTCTGGTCTGCGCTGGTTGTTATAATCATCGTTGTTGCAGTCGTCGCACTGGTTAACCCAAGCTTTGTAAGCGATATTGGTCTGCCGGAAAAGCTGCCCCGGGATCCTAAGCTTGCAGCACAGCGTGTGCTAGACACTGCTCCGGTCATCGTACGCCTCTTGACCCATATCTTCCGCTCATTCCTTGCTGACGGAATACATAGGATGGGCACATTGGTATGTTTCCTTCCCAATATGACCTGTCTGTCATCTTACAGTGCGCTTTTAAGATCTTCCTATAGTTGCTCGCTTCGGCTGGCGCAACAATGTTACCGATATTCATCTTGACAGTCAAATGCCTATGCATGTGGATATTCCACGTCTGAGGGAAGGGAAAGTCGGAGGATTCTTTTGGTATACAGCGGTATCCTTGCATTCTACTTTGAACTGACTTTCATCAGGTCTGTATATGTGGATTGTGCAAGCTCTGAAGATGAGGGCCCCGATTTCTTGAAGGCTTCCTGGCGCGTCCGGTCTGAATGTTCCTTGTTGAGCTCAATGCATCTCGCTGACCGCATGTAATGATAGAGACACCCTCGAGCAAATTGACGTCGCAAAGGGTCTGATATCGAAGTATCCTGACGTGAGTCTCATATTCCTTAATGCTAGTAATACTGACTGATGTCTGGCGCAGGATTTTGCATACGCTGTCAGTGCAAGTGGTATCAAATCAGCGATAAGAGACCACAAAATCGCGAGCATTCTAGGTGTTGAGGGGTGAGTACCACTTCCCTGGCTCCTTCCATTCCCCTAAGGTTCATCTCAGTGCCCATCAACTCGGGAATTCCATTGCCGTCCTCCGCCAGTACTACGAACTTGGGGTTCGCTACGTAACTCTGACCCACAGCTGTCACAACGCTTTCGCCGACTCCTGCGGTATGTTGATACCGAGTGTCCCCAGGCACTACGGCCTCAGCCCTCTTGGCTTCAAACTCGTGGAGGAGATGAACAGACTTGGAATGCTTGTTGATCTATCTCATACTTCTGACATGACTGCAACGCAAGCCCTACTGCATTCCAAGGCACCAGTCATCTGGTCCCATTCATCTGCGAGGGCCATTCACGATGTTGCTCGCAATGTGCCTGATGAAGTGCTTAGTCTCGTCGGCTTTGGCGAAGGGCAAAGGGATGCCGTTGTTATGGTCTGTCCAGAAAATAATCGATCTACTCATTTTAATGGTTGTGCAGGTCAACTTCAATGGCCCATTTGTCGCTGCCGACGGCGAGGCAGATCTTGAAACCGTCGCTGATCACATTGAGCATATTGCAAAAGTTGCTGGAGTGAAACAGTAAGTTATGACCGATACTCGCTCGGCTGCCGATCTGACGGTTGTCGCAGCGTCGGGATCGGGAGCGACTATGATGGGATTCAAATTACTCCAAAGGACTCGAGGATGTTTCTAAATATCCTGCTCTTGTACGCGGCATCTTTCCACCTAAATCTAAACGATGACTGACTGTTCTGACTTCTAAGATCGCTGAGTTGTACCAACGTGGATGGAGGCAAGCAAGAACTAGCTGGGCTCACTGGGGGCAATTTCCTTCGGGTGTTTGAGGGTGCAGAGAAGGTGGCCAAAGAATTGCAGGCTGCAGGAACCTTGGCTAAATATGACATTTACGATAAGAGAGAAGACCTGCCCATTCGCAGGGAGCTTTGATATGTTCAGGGAGGTGCGGTACGTCTATTTGCATGACTATCTAGATCCGTTTCAGTTGCGAATGTAATTTGCTATGTTTATTTCTGTGTTAGTGATGAAATATCATTTGAAGAATTTGCTCACACGTCCAAAAATATTTCCGAGGCATTTTTCTTCACGCCTCCTCACCATGGACGATCGCCCCAATCACGCCGCGTTACAAAACCTTGGTCTGTGATCTGTGACGTGGTAGGCGGTGTAATAAGCGTGGCCCTCTTGATCGACAAGAACGAGTTCAGCGAGATACGCGACGGATGTCGCTGTTGCCGATGACGGCGGCATGATTGCCACAAGGCTTTGTCGCATGCCTCCCACGTGCCCATGACCGGGTAGGACCTCCGGGACTCGTCGCGAACACTACGATTGTGTGATACCGGATCTGTACACCAAAAGCTTCATGTTTGATCCTCCGGGCTGGACATGGGGCACTTTGGGTACCATCCTATCGTCCTGCCTTCGGCCTCCAGATGCCCCACGTCAAGGAGAGTAGAAGCACACCTAACAAGCAATACCTTGACCTTCGCGTATCGGGCGCTAATGGCGAGTAAGCATACCCCACATCATGAGACGGTCTGCCCTGTATTTCAAATACATTTTGAACATGCGCCTATAGGAAACTGGTGACTTTGGCAAGCAATTAATGGTAATTCCGTTCCCTGAGCCGTGCAAGGACTGCCTGACATGTCCCAAGGCGATTGTGATGCTGACATCAAAACACTTATCACGCTGTAAGCAGTGTCCTCGCTGCGAGCCATCCTACGCATAGCTGCCCATGACATCTTCATCACTATCTGGTGTGTCCAGAGTTGAAAGCCGACTGTCCGAAGAGTATGCCAGTCATTTAGAGACATCTCTTGCGAATGCCTAGTACACCGCACGCATGATAGATGCTTGGGCTGTCTGGGTCCTTGTTATTGAGGTTGGTTGTTTAGTTCTCGAATTCGATTTGCTCTGGAGCGAGTGGCTCCTGTAATGTATATCCTCGTGGAAACCGCGGATCATTATATAAACGTCGAGGTATGACTAGGTGACGGATATTCTACGCATATAAACGCGTTGCGGCTGCATATGAATACAGAACGAATGGTTCCGTCTAGTTCTGCTTGTCAATGCAGTGTAGAACTGCTTTGAGGTGCGCAGTAGGAACTCGGGCATGAGGAGGAAAGTATATGATAGATCAAATAGAGCTCGAGCGGAGAATTAGAGAACTGAGACTGGCCATGGTCAAAACTGGGGTAAGTTTGGATTCCCACATGACGACATCTTAAGTACATTATGTAATTGGGAGTAGCTCAAGTGACTGGGAAAACGTACGATAAAGGGATAAAGGCGGTGTCAAACGTGTTCGTGCAGTGATTAATGAAGCATAAGTACGCAAATCAGGGTCACCTAGTTGATGAACGAGATGCAGAGATCGATGCTGCTTAGAGCAGGAGAGATCCTGTGGTGATGCTGTTGATGCGTGTGATTTGAGCAAAGATGATAAAGCGAGCCGTTTGGCTTCAACCATCATGCGTTCCATCTCTTCTTGGCTGGCTGGTCACGGGGTATGAGATCTGAGATTCGAGCGCTTGAGCGCCGAAGCTCAGCTGGACGATAGTCACCCCTATAAGTTAGACCATAATAGAAGACGAGGCGTCGAGATTCGGACGCGCACACGTGACTAATCGACGTCATACAAGAGTTTGTCGTCATTAGGAGCCGGTGTTGGATATAAAGGCATACGCTCATCCAACACCAACTACACACCACACTTGATTTATACCGCCTCCTTCACAATGTACCGAGTACCAAATTTGCGTTCCAGCGTCATTCACGGTCGTGTCCCGACCGCCATCCTTCCTGTCGTGAGTCGAGCGGTGTTCCATCATTCTCAAACCTAACTGCGAATCCAGGCGCGTAGGATGTACGCAACCCAGCCCCCGCCGGGGCAAGCGTCGCCCAATCCAAAGGTCAGCCCTTCCACCGATGGTGGCGGACACAACAACGGCCTCATTATCGCATCTGCTGTTGCGGCACTTGGAGGAATGTACTATTTCTACAACCGCGACCGGGGGAATCAGTCTTCAGGAGAAAAAACGTAGAGATGAGGAAGATATGAGGCGGGCAGTGCGTGCAGCGCAGGGCGATATAAAGCAAGCTGAGCAAGCAGGGAAGGCAAGGGCCGAGGATGCCCTTAAAGAAGCTCAGGAGAGCTATGGTACTGCGAAGGTCGGTTGTCTGAGAATCCAAGTGGATCGCATCGTCTGACCTGCTACGTGTAGGCCTCAGCTAAAGAGAAAGCGACTGGATCCGCCAAAAAGTAGATGAATCTCTCCACGACCTGACTGAACGGGCACGACAGACAGCACACGAAGCACAGGAAAAACTGAATCAGTACAAGAATGCAACTGAGCAAACACTAGCGGACGCCAGGAGGACATCCGAACAAAAGTTTGAGGAGACGAAACACGGCCGTCACACAACGCGCGGATGAAGCCAAGGACGCAGGCCAAACCTGGTTTAGTTGGGGGCAATCAAAGACAGACGAGGCGAAACGTGAAGGCGTTCAGAAAGTTGCAGAGAGTGCAGAAGATGTTAAGAAGAGGGCAGAGAGACAGGTATGAGATTGCGATGAACTTGAATCAACATTTGACGAGCTGTACACCTAAATCAGTATTGTAAATACATTATCCTATATTGCATATTATTCTCTCCGCGCTTCAAACGAGATGTATTACAGGTGCGAAGAGTTTTGCGGACCGGGACCGTGGGGAACATGAGATTTGACTGCCGGTATTTACCGTATGTGCTTCTTCAATTTGCCACTACTCGGTGACAACCCTGAGCAAGTCGAACTCGGCTGAGTCGGCCGGCGGAAACTGAGCGCTGATCAGGTGTATATCGATCACCGTCTTTGAATTGTCTGGTGTCGTGGCTTAGATGGCCGAAATCCAGACCAAGGTTATCCTTGTAGGCTTAGGGTATGTGAACACTTCACATTTGAATACGAACTACTGATTGACTATTCTACAATATTGACAAGGGGTGCTACTTGTTCAGGAAAGACCACTCTCGCGAAGCATCTGAAGAGTATACTGCCCAATAGTGTCATTGTGCACCAGGATGTCGGTGAATTTCTCAAAAAATGTCAGCATTAACTTATCTGTGGCAGGATTTTGCTCCAGTAAGCCACGATGCTCAAATCGATCGTATTTTTTTCGCTGAGCTGTCGCGCAGCCTGAGGAACTACTTCCCATAAAGCATGGCTACCAGGACTGGGATGCTCCAGATTGCGCAATCGACTACCCACGACTTTCCAAATTTTTAAAGCACGTGAAAGACACAGGAAGCATACCAGATGATCATAAAAGCCATGACGAGTTGAACAAGCAGACGGATTTACCCATAGATGCAGAGTGTCAACACCGTCTGGCTGAGCGCTTCAGAGTTATCCAAGATCAAGCCAAGGAGAATGACCACATCAATATAGTATGGGGCTTGGTCGACGGATTTCTGTTGTATTGGAATCAGGTGCGTCAGCATTGATGCCACCATAGAATGAGGAATCAATGTGACTCGGTCATAGGAAGTCATAGAGCAACTAGACATGCGTTTCTTACTCCGTGTTCCACTCAAGACATTGGAAGGCCGGAGGAAAGCGCGGCAGGTTTACATCACAGCAAGTATGTCTTTCAGCATTTTCCGCTCTATCTTCGCTCCTATTCCGCTCCGATGATTATTGACTTTTGCTCCTTTTCATTACCTCTTGGATGTCAATCTTGCCCACGCCGACGCGTCTAATTTCCCCTTAACTCCACGCGCCTCCCCTCTTTGTCCACAACACTCATGACTTGTGCGGCTACTCTCATGGAGTGCATTTTACTGAAGAGGGGGATGCATGGGTAGACCCCCCTGACTACTGGGAGAAGATCGTCCTCCCTGCATACCTAGACGCACACCACGAAATATTCGAGGGTGGTGATGTTGAGAATGGGGGCCTGACGAATAAGGTGAAAGGTCTTGTTTTAATCGAGTCTGAGAAAGAGGACAAAGAGATGAGCATGACGAATATGGTCGAAAGGTGCTGCCAGGAGTTATATCAGTTTGTCATAGCGGAAGGGTCGAACAAGGGAGTCAAGGCATAGATTGCGGGTGTCATCGGATATGTGCACGACTGTATACCACAGATCACGCGTAAATAGAATTTTAAAATAAATTTTCTGCTTAGTTGGTGTAACATATAATTCTGCAAGCTTGTGAAAGAGGGACACCGGGAATAGGTTCCCGGAAGGAGAATCCACGGAGGGTTGACGGAGGTCTTGTTCCTTGTTGGCCGCCCGTAATTTCCATGTTTTTCAATACCCGAACGCTGACATAATTATGCAACAATCACATGCTGCATTTTAATTTAAACCTTGCGCATTGTGATTGGCTAGCAATTAAAGGTACTTGACCCGGAACCGCTTACCCCCAACTGACTACCCATCTTGCTCCCTCTCCACTACCATCATCTCCGCACAATTATCGCAATGTCACAAGTCATTGTTGTTGGAGGTGGTCTTGCTGGTCTCTCTGCAGCTCACACTCTTCTTGAGCGTGGTGCTAATGTATTGCTACTTGACAAGCAAGGGTATGTGACAAGGATTCACATTGAAAGTGAAACAGTTATTGACGGAGTTCCGCAGATTCATGGGTGGAAACTCCACCAATGGCCACTTCTGGTATCAACGGTGCTGGTACCCAGACACAGCAGGAGGCTGGTATTCCAGATAACGCAAAGATTTTCTTCGAGGACACGAAGAAATCCGTGAGTGATCCCATATTTGTGCTCGAGTCTCATACCAATCCATTTCAGGCTCGTGAACTTGCTCGCGATGACCTCATCCGTGTGTTGACCGGCCGCTCAGGCGATGCTGTCAATTGGCTACAGGACAAATTCGGCCTTGACCTCTCAAAGGTCGCGCGGTTAGGAGGCCACAGTCAGCCCCGCACACACAGAGGGAATGCACAATTCCCTGGTATGGTATGTGGCCGCAATATCCGTTCCTTCCGTGTCGAACTTGTACTAACTCCGCATTCTCCACCGACAGGTTATTACTTACGCACAAATGGAGCGCCTGGAGGATTTGGCAGTGAGCCAGCCAGACCGCGTGAAAATTTACAAGAAGGCCCGTGTCACAAAGCTTGTCAAAGACGAGTCTGGCACAGTTACGGGCGTTGAGTATGTCCGCAATGGCAAGACAGAAACTGCATACGGCCCCGTCGTTCTCGCTACTGGTGGTTATGCCGCCGATTTCACTGGCGGTGACTCTCTGCTGAAGAAGCACCGTCCCGAATACTATGATCTCCCAACGACAAATGGTGACCACTGCACGGGTGATGGTCAGAAGATTGCCATGGCTATTGGTGCAAGTGCGATCGACCTAGAGAAAGTGCAGGTGCACCCGACGGGTCTTGTTGATCCTAACGAGCCCGACGCGAAAGTGAAGTTCTTGGCTGCAGAGGCTCTTCGTGGTGTTGGTGGTTTACTACTTGACAAGAACGGCGACCGTTTCGTCGATGAGCTTCAACATCGTGACTACGTCACTGGCAAGATCTGGGAGAACGGCAAGGTATTTGAATGTACTTGTTTCTTTTTGCCATTCACCCAATGATTCTCCCTAGTATCCCATTCGCTTGATCCTGAACGGACAGGCTTCAAGCGAGATCGAATGGCACTGCAAGCACTATGTCGGTCGTGGTCTCATGAAGCGTTTCGATTCCGGCGAGGCTCTTGCTAAAGATATGGGCGTCAAGCCTGAATATCTTAAGAAGGACTTTCGACACGTACAACGCGGGTGTCAAGGCAAAGAAGGATCCCTTCGGCAAGAAGGTAATGTCCATTCTTAAGATATTTCACTGTTACTCAACTCCAGAAGTACTTCTCATCAGGAGAGTGGAGCATGAACGACTACTTCAACGTCGCAATCATGACCCCTGTATTGCACTACACCATGGGCGGTTTGGAAATCGACCCCGAGTCACGCGTCATCGGCAAGGACGGCAAACCCATTGCTGGTCTCTTCGCTGCTGGTGAGGTTGCTGGTGGTGTACATGGTGCCAACCGTCTTGGTGGTTCGTCACTGCTTGGATGTGTTGTTTTCGGACGTGTATCTGGCGACTCAGCTGCTGCCTATCTCCTCCAGACGACTAGCGCCATCGTGGAGAAGGCAGGCGGACGTCTTGGTGCATTCGTAGGACAGTTCGAGTCGAAGCCCGCTGCTTCATCTGCACCTACACAGCCTGCTGCCACGAGTGTCCCCGCCCAGTCGTCGTCACTATCAAAGGAATTCAGTGCCGCGGATGTAGCTAAGCACAATAAGAAGGACGACATCTGGGTTATTGTTAATGGCCAGGTGCTGGACGTCACATCCGTAAGCGTAGGCCTTCTAGTTCTGCAACTTTCCTGATTTTTCGCGACACAGTTCTTGCCTGATCACCCAGGAGGCGAAAAAGCTATTATTCTTTACGCTGGTCGTGACGCGACTGAGGAGTTCAAACATGCTCCCACGACCCGAAGGTATGAAACACTGTCTCAATTCCTTGTTCTTGGCTCATTCGCTGTGTAGGTTATCCCAAGATATGCACCAGACGCTGTCATTGGTACACTGAAGAAGTAGGGGGGAAATGATGCTACGACTACGCTCAGCAAAAGTAGAGGATCCATATTTGTCATCTTTCTTCAGCATCGCATATCTCTTTCTCCCCATGTCTCTACTTGGTTGCTGTGATCCAGTGTATTCTAATGTTGTCTTCATACCATTTTCAACTGACTGATCCACGAGGCCAACATGAGGCCGTGGCTGTTGAACACTGTAAGTACTGAATGTCGAATTAAATCTTGATACGCCTCTGCCCCTGGGAATGTTCGCCTTTTGCTATTTTGGATGTGAGCCCCGCTTGCCATGGCGCCACTTCATTTTGAACGATATTGTTCACATATCATGGGCACCCAATTGGTTACTGTGTCTGGCCACAACCGTGACTTGTATACCGCTGTGCCGTCTCCTAGATTGAATCGGGAGAAATAGGATGGACACGAGTACTTGCAAGGGTTGGCCAAGCTACCAACGCTTCCGATAGTCATATGCTGTGAACTGCGTGACCATGTTAGCGTATGGCATATGCGCCTTCTGGCCTCCTTTGTGAGCCTCCGTGGCGTCGGAGGAGTCATCCGAAAAATGTAAGTATTTATTCCCGATCCCAAAGTAGATGATAAGACCCGACACATTGAGCTGATTTATTATGTTCTATACAGAAGGGCGGGGATGCCATACTGCGCACCCACAGTATACGGTCCCAGACTTCCGGCTGAAGCTTTCATCGTCCCGTGATATGTGCGGGAGGCTGTGCGTACTACGTTCTTCCACTCCGCCAACTGTGTGAAATGGCGTCTTCCCACCATTACCACCACCACTACCACCACCACCACCTCCTCCACCGCCGCCGCCAGTGCGTGTGTGTGTACCGTCGCCACCATTCTGTGCGCCGCACACCGCGGTCCCGAGCTCACGCCATTATGTGACTTGCTCCCTTTTCTGTGAACCCGTTACCTGTCGTTTCAAGTGTACGCAATGTGGCCCAAGGATAACTCTCATGTGGAAAATTATCGGTGCAATTGCTCTTCGCCTATCAACGTGGCTGTTAGTGGACCCTCCCGCCTCCTTCTATGACTCGCATACCGGCTTGACAATTATTGGCATTGGCGGACATGCCCGAACACTCAACATGTCGGTACCTGTTGCCTTTCTTGGAGTTCCACCAGCCATTACTGGAAGCTGTACTCGGCCAAGGTTCATGGATTTATGGACTGGTGGCTAGAGGGACATTTCGGAACTAGGTATAAAAAGCGACCCGCCTGGCCTTATGGATAGTAGAAGACGATCCAAACCCTCCACCTTCAATCCAACTATAATCGATCGCCTACATGCAGTACCTCTAAACCCAGTCGCTGGTGCCGCGGTATTCAGAAGCAATGAAAATACAGGGTAATACATGAAATCTAATCGTTCCAAGATTAGAGGGTCTGACTTTATTGCGTGTGCGATAGCCCAAATTACGCCCCTGCAACTTCTAGCGCTTCGACCGCGTGGTGGTCTGGACCCACTGTCGATGGTCCACCAGACCAGCGCTTCCAGGGTAACTTCACCATTTCTCCAGAGTTATTGGCAATGCAGTATGTTGTTATCCTTGATATCATTATGCCAATTTCTCATTGCGAAACTACAGGAACTCTGGATACCAGCACCATGTGAACGATAATACGGCATTCCGTAGCGTTCCTGAGAACTCTATGTTATCACACTCAGAGACAGCAGATGATAGAACGTTTTACTATCCTCAAGATCCATTGTGTCCTCCGCCTGTGGATGAAAATCTTAACCCAAGCATATATTTGGTAGGTCTATCGGATCAAGTAACGAGCATATTATTCACTCAGCTACTAGGAGCCAGTTCAGACCTGTTTGGTACAACCCAGGCCAATTCCCTCCGTCCTCGCAGGTGATGTACATTACAGCCGTCGACGGAACCATTGCCTATCATGATGCCGCCTCAAGAACAACGTTTGTCATTCTCTCCAACATTTAATCATAACCTCTGATCGTCCTTGCTCCAGCGGCCCTTCATGAATGCGCGTGGATTGAAGATGATAAACTGTGTGGTCATGCCATTTCGGATCACAAGCGCCAGCTTGGCATGCATCTTGGCAACTTTCATGGCATACATGGAAACGACAAGAAAGAGGTTACATGCTTCTGGCGGGCTTGCAATCAAAAGATGCAAAGAGGCGCCATCGGGCGTCACATAATTAGCCGCCACCTGAACACCAGATGGACCTGCGAGCATTGTTTCAAGACGTATTCTCGCCGCGACGCCATGAAGAAGCAC